TTGAAGCGTTTCAACGTACCATTTAGTCAACTTTTCAAAACTGCCAAACCGGTTGTTTTGTCGCGACGTCGGGGAGCAGAAAATGAGGCGTGAAATATATTCACGTTGCTATCGATAATCGCGTAAATTCGTTCTCCGCCTTTCACGCGCCATCGCTGTCATCGTCAATTTTTCCGGGGAAACAGCGCGTATTCGCCACCATCATTCGCCCCTCACCCGGGCACACACCGAAATTCGAGGTATCACTCGTATGGATAGTTCGACGAGTGTCATAGAAGGTCGCGAGAGTGAAAGAGCAGGGGGGTGTCGGGGTGAAGGGGGCTCGCTGGGAGAGAGGGCCATCAGTGCGAACGACGTACGTGCGTGTGAGTGCGTGCAATTTAATGATTTCCAGCCGGAATTTCGATGACGCCGGGAGTGCGGGGCGAGCGAAACGAGGAAGAGGAAGAGAGCGTGGTGGGCGGGATAGGCGGGGATGCCGGGGGGGAGAGGGAGATGCAGAAACGCGCGGCCGGAAGAGAGAACGAGCGAGCGCGGCCGCGAGTTGGTCAGGGCCGGCGTGTTTCCGCTCGCGAATTCCTATGCGAGGGTTGGATTGAGAGAAAGAGGGATAGCACAGAGAGATCGACGGAGATTGGAGCAAGGGAAAGAGAGAGAGAGGGGAGGGGAGGGGGGACGGAAAGAACAAGACAGAGAGAAAGAGAGACGGAGCTCGTTGAACAAGAGAAAAGACGCTCGGCCGGGATGGGACGTAAATTTTCTAGCGGTGCGTTCATTTGTTCGTTGAACGAAATGCGAATGCATTATACATGGATTGCAGGGGACATTAATTTTCTGCCGTGGACGTGTAGTGGGCCGCGCGCTCGGCAGGGCGGCAGGGCCGTGCCGGGTTGGGCTGCGGGGGAAGAAGCGGGGTGGTCGAGCGCGAGGGGGTGGATGGCCATCCACCCGGTATATAACAGCCGGATGCTAGGCTCGGGACGCGCGGGTAGCGCGGTGTACGCCACCGGTCAGGCCGAGGTGGTGGAAAGATGGGAAAGGAGGGAGGTGGCGATTCCACGGGCTGTTTCGTGCTCACACATCCAACCACGTGCGAGCTTTTGCCGGGCTTTTCTACCTACTTTCGCGAGCCTGGTGATTTTGACGAGTGGAACGGCGAGGTGCATCGGCGTCGCGTTGGAAAAAAAAAAGAAGCGGCAAAAATCTCGCCGTCGGTCGGCGGCGGCTGGCGAACACGAGATCTCGCGAAAAGAGTCGCGTCCGGTTGCGGCCGGCGTCAAAGGGTTGCCGCGCGGCGAAAGGGCGAACGGGGTGGAAAATCATTGGACGTTCTGTCAGAGGTGTTTGATATTTCGAAAATGATTTGCGCCAACGCCGCGGCGCTAGAGAAAGAGCGACGGTACGAATGTAAAGGGCGAGAGAGGGAGAGAGCGGGAGAGAATTGAAGGGTGTTGGAGGGTGTTGGCAGGGAGAGGCTGGCAGTCCGAGTGGGCAGTGTGTGCGTGTGTGTGTGTGTGTGAGAGAGGGAGAGAGAGAGAGAGAAAAAGAGAGCGAGCTAGAGGGTAGTAACCGTACGTCAAAATTAAATGTTGAAATTCGTGTAGAATGTCTGGCGCGATAAATTCGTTCGTGCAACAATGATCACGATTTTTAATGGAATAAAATTGAAATTGTCCGGGCCCCGAAATGATGGATAGAATTTATGGCTTGCACGAAAATACGACGTGGCAGCAAATATTATATTTAAACTACGATGCCAAACCAGATGATATTTCGAAATATTAAAGCGAGAGATATTAAGAAAAATGCGATTAATTATTTTTCGGATTTTCGCTGCATTATTAATTTGAAATTATAATTTCTGATAATTAATTATTATTATTGCAATACCTCTGGCTGGAGCGGTACACTCGAGGATATTTTAGAGTTCATGAAATTTAAACAGTGTTGAAAAAAAGTATGCCGAATGTCCAGATGGATGCTCGGTGAAGTGCATTGATTCGTCAAAAGTTCTTTACAATTCTTAATTCTTGCATTTGACAAAGGGTTTCAAAGAATTGGGGCTAGACCCTTCGACGAGGCAACCTCGAGCGATCCCTCCCGCTTCTCGCTCCTCGTTGATCCGTTTCTTATCCTTTCGTTTTGCACGCGATATTTTAAATTTAATCAGAACTCCTTGCTGCGCGGCGCGAATTATTGCAGATGCGAAGTCGTTACACCACAATGAGAAATCATTTAATTATTCAAGAAAGCACCGCGATGCTCCCCATTTAATGGCAAATACCAAAAGGGTCGTCGATCTTTCGCAATACATGATTAATCATCAACTGTGTTGTCGCGTTCGCTTACCGAATCAGCGGAAACTAAATAAGAATTAATAGAAGTCGATTAACGGCAATTACTGTATAAACGACGTTTACTATTATGCATTTACGTATTAATAGCTCAGCGAGTGACACGGTCGATTAAACAATAACGAGTTAGTAAAAAATGAATGTCAACCGCACGTTTATTTGAAATACCGACGCTATATGCAAGGTTGCCGCAATGTGCTTTTTTTATTTTTTATTATCACGGGAATGTCCAACGTTGCGTCAGAGCGGCGTTTATCGCATAATAGTATGAGAAAACTGACTATTTTTGTAGAAAGGAATGACCGACTGGACTTGCACGTTCTATGTCATTATTTCCCTTTTATGAAGCAAGAAAGAGAGAGGTGTGCACACTTTGTAACCCTTCTCGCTACGTTTGTTCCTACCGTCGCTACTTCCGGTAGCGCCAAGCGCACAAAAAAGGTGAATATTACGTATGTGCGAGCGTACACGTGGGCGAGCTCATCGTTTCTACAAATAAATGTTTCAACCGTCAATTAAGCGCCGACAATAAGAAACCACTAGACTTCCCCCCCGATGCTGCCGCTGTTATAGACAGTATTAATACGTTTTTAATTGTAGCGCGACAGAAAACATACGGTCTTGGATGAAAGAGGGAAAAACCGTTTATTCATAAAACTATTCATAAAAGTTCCAATAATGGCTCTCCTACCGTACTTGAATCGTGTATAATTCCCGTCACATATTATCCGCGTGAAAAAATTAATTTATTTTGATATTTTATGTAAAAACATTACTAATTAAAAACTAATCAATATACAATAACTAATTTGAAAACTTTCACGTGAAAACGTATCATAATTTCTCTTCTATGCAAGGCTTAGCTTCACGAGTCGTATATTTTATCCAAAGTTATTTGAAAATAATTGAAAAAATTGTTGGAGTAAACAGAATGTATGAGGCACAAATATACGTGAAAGTTGATCCTTATCATAAATAAATTAACGCCTTAGCGTATACACCGTGCTGTTCCGCCTCATATAAAAACCTTTGCAAATGCAAAGTTATCTTCTCCCCCTGCATTTATTTCACGTGGGATCAGCTCGCTCGTTCTCTCCAGGAAATCGCTTCCTCTAATAACAGACTTGGCCAGCGCCATATACCGACATCACTCTAAAATCCAACTACTTTTATCGTCGTGTATCGCATAAAGAGACTTCCATCGTCTTTCCTTAGTAGAAAGAAAAAAATGCTGCGCTTAAGAATGCATTTCATCGATCGCGTTTTGTTTTCGCGCTCGGAAATTCCAAATGTCAGCACGCGATAAAAGATTGCAGAAACTAATTTTGCTCGCTCGAGTTATTTTTATTAAATCGAACACGATGAAATTCTCCGACGAATCACGCGACTGAATAAAAGATGAATCCTGCGGAACGACTGAGAGTAAGAGGAAGAAAGGTAGGCGAGAGGCAGGAAGGCAGAACGAGAGAGCAGAAGGAACAAGTGCCCGGGGTAAAAAGGATTGGGGAAGAATGTCGATATTAATAAAAGTTAAATTGAGCCAATCGCTTGTGGGAATTAGAATCGAGTCCACTCGAGACGAACGGCGAGCCGTGGAGAGGAGGAGGAAAAAAAAAACGCAATAAAAACGCAGCGGCAGCTGAAGTCTGCCTCTTGAATGCCGATCGATCGAGGCGATTAAACGATCGAGAGGCTACATTGCTCTATCATTATTATGCGGGAGAAGAGACGGAAGAGAGGCGCTTAAATATTCGTATTTTGTAGTAAATAGGAATTTTCTTAAGCCCGTGCGATAAACAACAGCGCGCGCATTCGCATGCAAAACACTTGCGCGTTAGCCACTTCCAATTTACGCACTCGTCGACACACCGGCATACCCCTCCCCCCACCCACGGTACAGCGAAAAATGCCGTGTTTTTCTTCCCACCTACTCTTCGATGTAGATGTAGAAACCTGTTGCATGCCCGTAAAAAAAAAAAGAGAGCCCCGGGAAAAAAGCCGAGAGTCGCTGACCAGCCAATTCACTTCCCCGACTGCGTTTTTCCACATAGCTTTTACCTTTTAAGAGCGTGCTGAGGAGTGAGAGACATACTTGGCGAGCTGACAAACGAGTCATTAATGACGTTTCAATCTCTTCATCAATCTTCGTCGCGCAGACCGCGGAGGACAAAGTTAATATTGAATGTACGATATGTTAGGAGGATGATACCTCCTCTTACACACCGATCAAAAGTAAACAGTGTGAACGGCTCGAGAACATTAATACTTTACGCATGGTTACGAATAATAAAGTACTAAATCCGCTACAAGTGGATCTATGCGTCAAAAAGATAATCCGAACGTGAAAAATTACTTATAAAAACAAAATCTCCCATAGCTTCTTACGAAATTGTTATGTAATTGTAAGCAGTTTATAATGAAAAAGAATTTATGACGATATTTAGCATATGTTTGTTCCCCGACGAGGGATGAAATTTCGAATTTTCGAACTATCTTGAGGAAAATCGCGTGGCATGACCGGTGCGAATTTCCCGATCGAGCGTGTACGCGGCCGTTACGTGCTCCACCGTCGACCGTAACACAATTTACGTACGCTCGTGCACAGCCGCACGAAATTCTAATACGCCTTACGGTATCTGATCGCAGGTGAACGACCGTACAAGTGCCATTTACCGGACTGCGGGCGGGCCTTCATCCAACTGTCGAATTTGCAGCAACACCTGAGGAATCACGACGCTCAGGTGGAGCGGGCGAAGAACCGGCCGTTCCACTGCAACATCTGCGGCAAGGGCTTCGCCACGGAGTCCAGCCTCCGTACCCACACGTCGAAGGTCAGTCATGTATGTACCAAATCCGACGTCCAACTCGCAAATTCGCTGATACGCGGTGCCGGTATACTCGTTTATGGGTCGAGAATAAATGAAGAAAAAAAAAAAGTAAAAGAAGAATCGATCTCGACAATCGCGCGTACATATTTCCGCTCTTCTAATCGCTCCTCTCTAACGACCGAAATCTTTGCATTAACTCTTTCTCGCGCGACACTCCGTCAGTAACTCGTTACGCACGCACATGGTGGTGGTGGGTTCACGCTTGCCTCGATACTTTGTACAGATGGATTCCCGTTCAAGCGCTCTTTGTCCGCCGTTTCCTTTGTTCCGTTTCGAGGGCTCCCCGGTGTAATCGATGTGTCTCAAGCAAGTTAAAACAGTCGCGGTCGCTAACTAGAGATGCGGCCGACTTCGAGCTTGAACGCATACCGCGGACATCAAGCTTGCGAACAGAAAGATCAAATTCGACCTAAATAATCGCGTCATGATTTGCAACCCTCCCTTTTCTTGTAGACGGCATATTTATTTTCTGAGTAACAATAAATCGAGGGTGGCTTTAGATATTTTCCTTTGGAATCCTTCGCGTGGGTGCTTGGGCTTGCTTTTTGCCTCTGGATTCTCATACAACGCTTATCATCACGGAATCGATGATCCGAAAACATCACAAAAAATAAATAAATAGATCGCACGAAATCTTAAGCGATCTTCAAGCAGAAACGACAGAACGGAGCTTGGAAAAAAAAACGAAAAATTAATCACGGGCGCCCACAACAGAAATTTGGCGAACAAAGATGTCACGAGGGGTGAGAAGCCCTTTTAATACGGTGCGTTACGAATGTGACCGAAGGATTTTCTCATACAGGTCACCATGAATGAACAATCGTTGTTTACACTCGCACGAGCTCCACGGTGGCAAAGGGTGCGCGCCACCGACCGGTTATTAGAGGGACAGAAGTCTGAAAAATAAAAAAATAAAAAAACACGGTCTGATCTGGGAAAAAGATCCGCGACCCCCGGGCTCGTTAATCGAATTCACCCCTCGCTCGCGTGGAATCGCGGCGCGCAGCGATTACCGGCGGAATCTTGTATCGTGGGGCAGTTTTTTGCCGCTATCGCCGTCGCCACCGCCCCACCAGGCCGGCAACTGAATTTCTCAACCCTTTCGCCTTCCGCGCCGGGCACATGTCTCAACGAAAAAACGTGGGAAGGCATCTGTCGGCACCGTTCGCGCGAGGCGCTCTTTTCCTCTCTTTCGTTGCTCTCCTCCTTTTCTTCCTCCTGCATTTTTGCCACGAGAAAAGACGTCGAGTCGTTTGCGTTTTTCTCTTCTTCCGATTACATCGCGTTACGTAATAGTTCGTAAAACAGTTAATGGATTTGCTTTGACCGTAAAATAATTACACTCACGATATTACATTCGAACAGCCGAGAATAAAATGGTAAAAATTGCAGTTGATCGAGCAGAATTAATCGCCGTTGCCTTTTGAAGCTTCCGATTTTTGCAAATCGTGGAATCAGGTGCGCCGCGTCGAGACCCACGCGAGCTTAATCCGTTCACACGTCGGGTGCCCCCGGCAATAAATATCGCTCTTTTAACGCCTCGCTCATCGGGCTGCCGTAATTGAAACCTAATCCACGGCTAAAGCTTTCGGATTATCCCTTCCCCGTCCCCCGCACGACCCCGATAAATCTCCCGTGAAGTTGTGCCGACGGCCCATGCCTTACCAACAAGCCCACCCAATCGTTTTTTTTATTTGCCCCAAAAAAATGCGCGGCTACGAGAGAATGAATTGAAGCGTAATGACGATCCCGTTAATCGCTATTTTTTTCACGCGTCGCGCGATAATCCTCGCATTAATGAGAATGCTTTTTCACGATCGAATTATTAGGTTTTTTATAGAATGAAAAAAAAAGCTTTGATAAATTTTCCAACAGCGGAACTCGCCCTTTGCGAAATTGTTGCTGAATAACCGGCTTATGCGCGCGAGATCAATGCGCCGGATTAAATATTAACGCGAAATATACATGGACGTTTATATAAAGCCACGACGCCGCGAAAACGGCTGCGTTGCACGAGCTTATCGGCAAAAATATCAGAATGCGCGTAGCTTGTTTTAAACGAGGAAAAAAAGAAACGACGGCGCAACGAGAAGAGCCGAAGAAGACGCAGAAGAAGTAGACGAGCGAGAAGAAACGGCGAGAGGATCTTACCGGAGAGAGCGCGGCGAAGTAATTAAAAGCCGCCGGCGCGCGAGCGCGAGAGCGAGCGACAGAAACAGAGTACGCCCGCTGGAAATAAAACGAAACGAAACAAATGGAGAGCTCGAGCCCATCTTCCGCGGCTAATCGAATTTTCGCCGGGGCAGATTTCTTGAAATTGTTTTCGCTATTCCAGACCGCCTGGCCGTCCGTTTCCCTCGCGCGCCGGCTACTACCCCGATAGCTAATGGATCGCTGTTTAAAAAGAAAAAAAAAAAACAAAAAGAGAAAAATACAGAGAGGGAAGAAGCGACCGGAACCGCGAGAGAGCGCGAGGCGCAAAGGAAGCGAGACAACGAGAAAAGAGGAACGGCTCACGGAAGTGCGACGGGGAGTGAAGGGGAAATGAAAGAGTTACGCTCCAGGTCGAGGCCTGGCGTGTCGGCGAAACATTATCCCGCTAAGAAAGACAATACACCCGGAGTACAATATTATAATAGGCCGGAGCGTAAATGTATTATAGAGAACGATCGGTAGCCCGGGCATAGAAACTCGTCTATGGTACCTATATACACCACCCTCCCCCCTCCCCCCCTCCTCCTTCGCCACCTCTTCCTCTTCTCTCCGTGTATCCTATTAACTGTTACCCTCTTCCCGCTCGGCTCGGAACAGGGGCGGATCATCGCGACGATACACCGCCACGATATGTCCCCGGTTAATACACCCACGCTCCAAAATCCCGCAACGATCGAGCCACGAGGAGAGCTCGTCACCGCGTCGAAATTTCCTTCCCGTTAATCAGACTGCGGCGATCTGCCGCGACCTCGTAATATATTCGTGCAAACGAGCACACACACTCTCTCTCTCTCTCTCTCTATCTCTCTCTCTATCTCTCTATCTCTCTCTCTCTCTCTCTCTCTCTCTCTCTCTCTTTCCTTCTTCTCCTTCTCGTGGCTCTTGGCCACTTTCACGTGGCGCACAGCCTTCGTATTTATTCGTAGTTTAGCGGTACAAGGGTTGAATGTCGTGCAACACGATACAACCCCCTTTTCTCCCGCCTCGCGGACTTTCCTCGCGCACCTCTTTCGACCTTCTTCCAACTCACCTCCGAGTCCTCCCCGTCCCGGCCCCCTCCGTCGCTCTCCGCGAGCCCTCCTCCACCCCTCTTCTTAATTGCCCCGACGCGCGGCTCGGTAAAAACTCGTTAGCCATTAGATTTATTTTCTCTCGCCACGGGGATTTATCCCTCTACCCTTGCTACACTAAAAAAAAAAAAAACCGCGCGGTGGTTGTGTCACCGCTTAATGCCAAATTTTTTTTACACGCGCGATCGTCGTTTGCCGCGTACGGATTGATAACCCGCGATAAATGCAAATCCGCTTGCCCGACAGGGGAGGAGATGATTCCATCCGCTTTTCGCGCCGTATTTTCGCCGGCACTGAGCGCTAATTAATTACCGCGCTCGCGGTATTTACACGGTGTTTTTTTAATTCCTTCCGCGAGAGCGTGCGCAACGCACGCTCGGTGTATGAATACTCCTGAAAATCTAAACCTATGACTGACGATTTAATGGTATCGCATTAATTCAGATTGATCTCCATTTCATGCTGGTCTCTCTTTGTCGCAGTGTTCGAAGTACCCATGGCAACGATTAAAGGTAAAACGATCGGTTCAATATGGGAGAGCTCATGGGAATTCCTTTCGACTGTAATTTCAACTCGTTTCGCGGCGCGTTTATGCTAGCGTCGCACGTGTAAAATTGCGGTCTCTGATTTTCATTATAATGATCCATTCGCGCGAGACACGCGCGTCAACAAACACACGCACACACGCACACACCTGTCTTCGCACGTTTACGCAGTTTTCTCGAAATGCGTGTAATTATGATACCATTGTGACGCGCGAAATTATAATGGCGCCTCGCATTTTTCGCGCGTCTGTTACACGCCATCAATTTAATTATCAACATCGCGCGGAATTGCACATTGCGGAATGCACGAAACGCCGCTTATCCGATCAACGTCGCAAAGACCGCGAAACGATTGTTAATTTGGCTCTTGTTCCTTTTTCCTCCTGTCACACGATCATGAGTACGCATTCGGTACTGTGTCGCGTGGCGCGACAATCATAATTGCAACAGTCATGGAGATGTACGATGATGTATCGCCGAAGAGCCATACACGACGAGCGCTTTCGCCTGTCGATCGCGGCTAATTGCCGTTTCTTAATTTCGGACCGCTCTCCTAATTAAGCGAGGTTCACTTTCCATTCCCTTCTGAATCCCTCTCTCCACGCCTCTCGTGAATTCTCAGTACGGCCTCAATCTCTCTCTTTCGTCGGTAAACATCGCCGGCTGGCGAATCTCCAGAAGGATTTTTCGCTCTTTGTCTCTTTCGCGGCATTAAAATAGAAAAGTGGGACGGCCTTTCGCGGCAGAACACCTCGTAAATCGGATCGCTCTTACGAGATCCGTCTCGATTTTTTTCACCGCGTCCCGTTTTACCGCGGCAGTTTTCACGTTTATTTCGGACGTTCATTCAGTCGTTTCATTTATATAATATTTTTATAAAATATATAGCAAAAATTATATTTTAAAAAAATAAAAATATTTTTATATAATATTTCTATACTCGACATTTTCTCACATTATTTTCGATTATTCTTATGTGTAGAAAAATTTTTTTTTTGAGCTTCGTGTAATTTTTATTTTTACAAGTTCATTTTCCGATCGCACCCTTCGAGCTCTCCTTCTCTCTCACCCCGAGGCATTAATTTTTTCGACCCCGCCTCCGTGGCTCTTTCCGTCTCTATTTTTTTCTCTACGCTCGATCACCGGCGCGGGCACTAATGAAATCATTCCCGTGGCGTTTCCGATAGGGTGGGATTTGTACCCCCATTGTACCAACGCCCCTCCGCTCTCCTTTTTTTTCCGCTCGCCTAGTCGAACACGACCGGGGTCGATCCGGATCTCCGATTGGCACAACATGGAGGGTGCACTCGTCGTCAACCCTCGCAACGTTACATGAACCTCGCTTTTTTTCACCCTCATTCTCGCCTCGCATCATTCGTCAGCGACCGATTTTCGCGTACGCGGTTCTTGAAAGTGGATTAATAATACGGGGTGACTAGCGACGCATATTAATTTTTATTGATCGTATATTTTTTTCGTACCGAAAAAAGGAAACACTGGACTGTGAAAGGAAAAAAATAATGTAATTGCATTGATTGCTGAAGATTGCGTGATTTTAATTGCGGGAAAATAATTTCTGTGCAAAACAAAAATCTAAGAGATCTCGGAGATCTTTTAAACATCCTTTGGACTTTTGCGTTGTTTGTATTCTTCTCATCGTTCATCCGAAAGCTCCGAAAGCAGCTATGAGTCAGACGCGAACGCGGATAAAAGGAATCAGGAATTTCTGGCGTCTTCCTTATCGGGAGACAAAGCGTTCTCGTCTCGAGAAAAGAACGTTCGCGCGAGCGAGCCCGAAGCGGGAGGGAAGGAGCCGGTGAATATCTCTCCGTGGATTCCGCGAGCCGCACGCTGGAGCAACGAACAACCGAAGTATCGCACCGAAGGTTGTCTGCCGGCGAGTCTCGCGGCCTCGTCGCGGCTAAAAAAGCCAAGGAAAGACGGTGGCGACGAAGAAAAAAAAAAGGAAAGAAGAAACGACGGAGGGCGGGAGAAAAGAATTGCGCTGCGCGCGAACGGCCTTCGGATTTTATCGCCTCTCGAGAAAAAGAGAGAAGCACATAATGTTGATTGTCGGCTACATTTAGACTGCGGCTTTCAATCTATAGCACACTCGAGATTAAAAAAGATGGCAGAATTTAAGAAAAATGACTGGCAACGATCGAGCAAGGAAGGAAAATGATTTCGCCATGTATATTATGATGGTCGCAAATCACGCGTGACATTGTATTGATTACGCACGTGTGCGTGAAAAATTCGCCGCCTCGATTTGTTCTAATAGAATCGCTCCGCTAACGAGATCTCGGCTCCCGATCAAAGATGGTCCCGTCTCTATGAGCACAAAATGGCCACATCGCGGCCGACGTCACGCACCGCTACGCGTGTGCTCACACCCACTTCCTTTTTACGCCACTCCCTGACCCGGGCCCGCGTCGGGCCTCAAGGAGCGGATAATCTGCGACAGGGATCGCCGGAAAAATCGAGGAACCAATCGGCGGTAGGGTGCGAAAAAATTCAAAGAGTGGGCGTGAGCGCCGTTGCGTTCTCCCGACCGGTTTGATCGGCGTCCGATGAACACGGATCCGATGAGGTTTATAATTATCGGAGAATCATCGAATACTATTTAGGCGCGGTTAAAACTGCGCGGCGCTCAATTATTCGCAGCGGGAACGTTAAAAATATCGCCGCGCGTTACTTTGCCGTTGCCGTTCATTTTCGCATTATTCAGCTGTCGATTGTGTCTACGATATTGATCGACGCCGCGAAAAATTTATTTAGCCGTCCAACTGACGAAGTCGAAATTATTCGTAGATTGTTCGAGTAATTTTAACACACGTGTATGCCTTCAATATTTCAATACGTTCGACCAGTTCTTTTTATCCTCGATGAAAATGACCAAACTGAAGGTTTTCCCCCTCCACACGCTCCTCGCCTTCGACGCAAGTATCAAAGTATTTTAAATGTGAAACAAAGAACACGTACACAGAACTGATCGCGGCGGAATCGTTTCTCGTGCGGAATTGCTTCCTCCTATGTTTCTATCAAAGCGAAAATTCTGACACGGAAAAGCAGAAGATAGATAGATACACGTAAGAGCCTCTTAGCGAGGGATCAGGAAGTATGGAATTGGGAATGGTAGCGGAGAGCGGCGAACCCGCGCGCGTATAGCTTCGCAAGAGAGAGATGAATCTGGTCACGGCGAATCATAAAGTCCCTCGGGGATTCGCCCACGCCGCGTCCACTCTCTCGAGCAAGCCGCAGAGAGCACGCTGGAGAGACGCGGAGAGCGAGAGATGGAAGAAGAAAGAAGGAGGGAAAGAGAGAGAGGGAGAGAAAAAAGAAAGATAGAGAAAAGAGAGGGAAAGAGAGAAGCAAGGAGAGGAAAAGAGAGAGCAAGGAGAGACGACCGTGGAGAACGGGACGGGAGAAGAGGAGAAAGAGCTGCGGAGAAGTCGAGGCACTCGCGGCGCAAAAAGCGAGGATGCAAGCAAAAAAGGAAGAGCGCGACGAAGAAACCGGTTTTTTCCAGTTGGGCCAGGTCGGGGCGTCGAACCTAGGGACCGCAGCCTCCCTCCGAGAATAACTTGCATGCAGCGGCGGCGGCGGCGGCGGCACGGTCAGCGACGCCGTCCTCGTCGTCGTCTTCTCAACGCGCTCACGGCTGCCCCAGGTCCGGGATAAAAAAGGAGATAGAAGGCATAAGTATGTCGGCAGTCGGCCACCCACTCTCGAGAGTTTATCGCGCGACCGAGAGTAGTGGAGTCGAGCCAAGGGAGAAGAAGAAACACGCGCGGGAACGCGCGCGCGCGCGCGCGCGCGACAGAGTCGCGTGGAAAACCGGAAGGAAGACGCACCGAAGTGGAAACGTCGAGGCAATTATCGCACGATTGGTGTCTCCCCGGCTTTTCTAGTCTTTTTGGCACGACGACTCGCACGTTCGCGAGCGGGAGGAAGAGAGAGAGAGAGAGAGCGGGATAGAAAATCAGGATTACGCCGGCATCTGGCATGTCGTTAAAAAAAAATGTCTAGGAAAGGAGGAAGCGCGAAGAGGCTTTGAGACGAACGTGTATGTATAATATTTATAAAGATCCACCGGCACAACGGGACGCCTATAAAACGAGCGCGCAAAAATAAATTTGCGTTTAAGGCGCGAGAGAGGCGGAGAATCATGCCGATAATAGGAAGGAGGCAGAAGTGTGTGCGAGAAAAAAGTCGATGATGTCTAAAAAAAATTCGGGGTCATTGCCGTCGTAACTCGTTTCGATCTTTCTCGTGTGTGCGCTGCCTCAACGCGTTCGCGATTGTCCCAGGTCCGGGGATAAAAGAAGGACGACCGACGCGAAGAAAGACGTGGGACGTGGGGCTTGGGGGAAGAGAGGGGGGGGGGGGAAGAACGGGGGGAAGAGGCGAAAAGGTAAAGGAAAAAGAAATCACGAATCGGAGAAAGAGAACAGGAAGGAAGAGAGGAACGGAGGGGCTCCGAAACTCTTCGGGGTCATTGCCGTCTGGTCTCGTTTTAGCCCGTTCACCACCTTCTCTTTCTTTCGCGTCTTGTTCTTTTTCTTTTCCTCCTTATTGCGTTTTAAGTACTCTTTCGAGCAAGTACGGCTGCCATGTTTTTCCTCAGGCGCGTGCACCTACCGCCTTGTATGCGTGCAAGCAACCTTCGTGCGTTCGAATAAAGAAAGACGGAAAGAGGGAGAAAGGAGAGAGACAAACTGCGATAGAAGGGGGGACGCAAGATAGAAGATGAAAAAAAAAAAGTAACACGCCGAGGATAATACGATCGCAAATCGGGTTTTTAACGCGTAATGGGCCAAAGAGTAGAAAAAAAAAAAAAAGAAAAAGAATCGCTCTATCTGGCACTGAAGGACGTCGAATTTCATTCATAATTTCATTTTGATTCTGATTAATATGGCCGTTGGTAGACTCGGTAAGACGAATCGCGCAAATCTTGTTTAAATACGTTCAAGCACGCGCAAAGTATAGAGAAAAGGAAAAGGAATGCGCACAGTCGCGAGCCGAAGATGTACTAGCAACGGCCATGGTAGTTAAAATTGATGTATGGTACAAGCTAGTCATTCCATGCTTCGCATTCCCGTTCATGAGTGAGGTCGCGCGGGGTCGATCGGAGGTCCAAGGCCGACGAAAGTGGCCGCTTTGTTTTCGCGACGCAACGTCTGGCATCGGCCTTTCGATTCGTATGTACGTAACGCGAGGCTAGGCCGATGCCGGCGGCATTAGCCGGCGAAATCCCTAATCGCGGTTTAGGGATTAATCCGCTCCGATCGTACCGCGGACCCCACGCTTCCACATATTTGTCTGTCTAGGCTTCGCTTCGAGCTCCCCGATCATTATCCTTAAGCTCCCCGTCCGAATCAAGTGCTCTGCTCTGGCGTTAATGATTTTTCATCGGTTAAGGCTCTTCCTCTACATCTCTACTATTTTCAAAAGTAAAAAGCAAAATTTCGAGACAAGATTAAAAGTGGGCACAGGAGTGTTCAAGAAAATCGTACATGGGCACTATCCCTTTCAATGACGATTCAATTCCGATACATCTCGTCAAGACTTTTCACCTAATTCCAACCCCTTTTTCCAAGAGCTAGCTATGATTTTTCCAAATATATTCGCCGATATATTCACTTGCCGCCCATACAGAACAATTCGTTATTTTATCAGTGCAAAATCAATGCAAATCTTACTTTAATAGTTGCATATTTGAGAAACACAATAAAAAGATTGTTACAAAATAATAATTAAATTGAGCACAAGATACAATTTATAAATAAAAGAAAGAAGACAAACTGTTGAACGAGCAGCGAATAAATCGCGGCAGAAAGTGGATCATTATTGAAATAAGACACCGATGCATTTCGAGAAAAGAACATTTCGTCCCTTTTTTTTTGCTTTCTTGTCTCGATTTTCTTTTCGTTCGCACCTGACCGACTGGGAAACCCAGCCAGGGCGCGATACCACAAAGTTCCTACCAGACACACTCGACATGAATTCCCAATGCAAAGGAGTAGTCTGTGGTGGCGGCGGTTTATTGGTGCCTTAACTCTCACCGGTCAAATCGTTCTGTTCTGTGCCCTGCCTGTCCTGCGCTTCTGGTTCGCAACTCTGTGGTGGTATTCTCTGGGTCGGCTCTCTACTACCGGTGCGCCGCGTGTGCCTGCTTCCGGTACTTCCGGGCCCCCAAAAAAGGAGTTGCAACAGCGTGTTGTGTTCCAGCAACACGCCGCCCTGATCGGCGGCCCGAACGCAACCAGCTGTCCAGTATGCCACAAGCTCTTCCTCGGCGGCGAGGCGCTGATGGAGCACATGAAGCACACCCACAAGGATCCGAACGCCTCCGGAGTTGCCAGTAAGTATTGAAAAATCGCGTACCGACCGCCCTCTCGGCCGCCGGCCGTCTGTGTCTCTCTCGTTCCTTTTCACGCTCGTCGCTTTCTGTTTCTTTCACGTTTCGCGCGCCTACTACTAATCTTCCGTTAACCGATCGATTAACCGGAACCTCGTAACGCAATGCGTTTCTTTGCATGCAGCGTGCTTGAGAGCGAAACTTGCCGTTTTTTCTTCCAACCACTAATCGACGAAACTTAACACCGAATTTTCCTCGCGCGTTAACTGCTCGGGAGACGGGAGAACCTCTGTTTACTTTAACCGCCTTTAACTCAGATTCTTAACCGGCATCTTTGACTTAAGAATTGCCAGCACGAACCCCGTAAGGGTTCTAAACGAGAGAGAGACAGACGTGGACGCGAGAGGGGCGACATTAATCGTGAGTAAGAGGCTAAGAGGAGAGGTGGAGCAACCGCTCGTCGAGACACGAGGGGTGGTTTGTTCTTTAGCCCTTAAGTACGTTTCGCATCCATCCCAAGAACTTGCTTTGGCGCGGGCGATTACGCACACATTGTCCTTGTTCACTTCTCTCCGTATACTACTGTTTTCGCCTGGGCGGGAAAGGCGTGTAGCATTTGACACAACTGGTCGACTAATACTTGGGTATACTACTCTAATACATGTTACACGGTGCTTCGAGGGTGTCTCGTTCGACCTCTACACGTGCCTTTAATTACATGCGTGCGTGATGCGTGGTGTGTGAACTCTGCGGACGTACAGAGAAAAGCAACAGTCGACACCTCTGGCGTGTCTCTCCGTTCGACTTTTAACGCGAGGACCGGCGCTTCACTGCCGATTGCGAATGGCGCCACGGTGGTCTTCGCACATGGTCGGCATCTAACATGAATTGCGTCTATTGCGAAACGCTGCCAATTTAACTACGCGTTCGGAATAACAACGTCGTCGCATTGTCGTCGATATTTATAGCGTGAGGCTTACAACATCGCGTCGTACGTAAAAATCAGCAAAGACGCTACGCGCGTCTCTTCTCATCGCTCGTTTCGACTCGATGCAGCAAACAAATAACAGGTGTTTCGATTATATACGAGCGGTATTTTGTTAATTTAAAAAATTTCTATTTTGTTCTCTGTGCGTCCGCGTAAGTGCAACGCGCGCGGGTAAATGCGCGTGGATCCTGGCTTTTCGGGCCGGCGACCTTGCTCGTGAAAGGGAGTCAGCGGCGGCGGCGGCGCCGGCCGGCGAGTACTCTGCGTGGCTGAGGTCAGTGCTCTCCTGGTCCTTGGCTATCCGGCGTCCGTAAGGTCTCCCTTCGCCTTCGAGGTCGACCGGAGTCTGTGCGTACGTACGCGCGCGCGGCCACACGAGTGCGTGAGAAATAAGGTGAGGGAGGAAAAAAAAGAGCGAAAGGGAGAGAGAGAAAGAGAGGGGGAGAGAGAAAAAAATATGCGGGAAAACATGATAATGGTGGAGGAGTCGGGTGAGGAGGAGAGGCGGCTTTCGTTCCTTGGGACGCTTTATCCTGCTTGGCATTGACCTTGAAATTGTGTCGCCCTATTGTTCCCTCCGCTGACTGCACAACCTCCGTTGCCGGGGTTTACCTAGCGAAGCGACGGACCGCCAACCACCCGTGTCCAGTGTGCGGGAAGCACTACGTCAACGAGGGTAGCCTTAGGAAGCATCTGGCCTGCCATCCTGAGACCAGTCAGCTTAGCACGAGCCTCAGGATGTGGCCGTGCTCGGTGTGCCAAGCCGTCTTCACTCACGAGAGCGGTAAGTATTTTGTTAGCCGCGTAAAAGCGCGCGATCGGCCGGCCGATCGGCCGAGTTCAAAGTTTGAAATGTTACAGAGCCCGAGTTTCAGTTTCCATTTTCTTGTGCTGTAAAAACTTTTCATTTACGTTCTGTGAAAGTATAAATCATACCTCTTGACGCACACACCGAGTGACACTTCGTTCATCATCGTACATAAAAATATATACGCCAGTGCGATCGCCTTCCTGTGTGTGATCACCCTCGTCTCTTTTCTGGTGTTAAGGTCTGCTGAGCCACATGGAGCATATGAGGATGGACCCGAAGCATCAATTCGCGGCGCAGTATGTGCTGAGTCGCGCGGCCGCCGAGAGGCGGGAAAGAGAGATCCTCGCGAGTTCGAGTTTAGGTATAAATAAACTGTCGAGTTTTCTACATTGACATTATAAAGATCATGCGGCGGCCCACGGCGTTACGTAAAAAGTTATACAAGTTATTGACGACCGATGACCGAGCGTGACTCTAACGCGACGTTCTTACGTTGTACAGGAGCGGGTTTGGGTGTGTTGGGTGGAAGTCAATCCGGAGGACCGCAAAATTTGCAACAACCACCAATGTGCCCGTCGCCGTCGGCCCATTCGGACAGCAGTAGCGGCAACGGAAGACTCTCGTCGGCCGGTAGTGAACCTGGTACGCTCCGATACTTGTTCTACGTCTACCACTTACAAACCGAACGCTGTGTGATCTAGATATAATAGATGTAATGTTGCTCGTGCACAGCTTTGTAACATCGCCGTTATTCACCTTTTTTTCTCTGATTTCGTTAATGATAAAAACTCTGTTGTGAAGTACCATTAGTGAACTTATTGTAGTACACGTAAGTTACATATATATATACTTGAGTCGAAATAAAATATATACGAATTTCTGGTCTGAGTAATAATTCTCTCATGTGAACGGCGTTCTACTTTGGTCTACTTTCACGGGCGGCTTCCATTTCGGGATGACGCTCTTTTTAACGCTCTTAGCGTCTGTCGATTTGTATATCCGACGCGGAACGATATTTACTGCCCAGTTAAACTATTGTAGTAAAACGTGTGCAAAACCCCCCCGCCCGCTCGTTGCCCTGTACATACTGACGAGAGCAGATTTTTGCGCAGGCACCGGTCTACTCAACAACAACAACAACAACAACAACAACAATATGGCATCACCGGGACCGAGCGGCAAGCTCAGCGAGATGCTGCGAGCGGGTAGTCAACCGGGCTCGGCGCAGCAGTACCACGACGAGATGCAATCGCAGCAACAACGTATGGCTGTCATGGCCGCCGCCGTGTCAGCGGGTAAGAAATTAATAACGATAAAACGAAATCATGTGTAAATAAGAGCAAACCTAGCACCGCTCTAACGACGTGCTCGAGCGAGCCGCGCGCCGAGTCACCAAGGACTGCGTTATCACTTATCAACTCAATTGCACGAGAGGGGAAAGCCGATAGCTCCGTTCCAATTATTGCCGATAAAGCTTTGATTTATAATGTTGTTTCCCCGCTGACGATGTTGCATATGCGCCCGCTTTCCTCCAGCTTTGAAAGATGATTGACGCGCGGAAGTACTTTCGACGTGACTACATTTATTGCCGAGGAAAATGAACATTTCCACGTATACAGAAGCGCGATAATGCAATTATCGATGTCTTGTAAAATATTATCGCCAGTTAACTCGGTAAAATTCATCGCGCACGCAGCTTCTTTTGCAAAGCATTTGCGGGGTCGTAACTCGCCAAGAAATTCTCGCCGAAGAAACGGCGGTAGGAAAAACAAATATCGGAATTCCTTACCTTCATTCCTCTCCTCCACGATCAAAGTTAGCACGGGACGCGTTTGTGAGCAACCCTCCTCCGACACGTGTTCCGCAGATCATGGTTCAATTGCGATAGTCCGAAATTCTGAAACATAAATCATACGGAATATTTTAGATTCAAAATTACAAAAAGAATATGTAGATTATAGAAATTAAAAGAAATATATATTTTTACATATTTTTTTTTTTTCTAGTTATTGCTCATCGTTTGGAAAGAATTTTTGTGAAATTAAATCAATGTTTTTGTTAGGATTGCAAAATTCCGTGTCGCCCAATTTGTCGCCGGTCGACATGGCATCGCTCGCGGCGGCTATGAGGATGGGCAACAACGGTGACATGAGCGGCGGTACTCAAGGTTCGACGGGTCCTCAACAGCAAGGAGTGCAAGCGAGCGGACCGGAGCAGGCTCTGAGAATGCATCAGGCGGAAGCTTTGCTTCGTTCTCAAGCCGAAGCTGCTCTTAGACTCGCAGTAAGAAAACAAATCTAAATAATATTATGCGACATTTTTTACTTAAATTCTTAATTACACACAATCAGCATATATGATAATCTGTATAAATTATTACAGTTATAAAACACGCACATCTTAATGCATTCAGTCATAGTCTGAGATATTATAAAATATATATCGCAAACAATAATCATAAAAACTTTCAGAAAAAGCAATTTAAAGACTGAATATTTTTCAATTCCTTCTTCCATTTTTCAATTTTTCCTCGCGTCTTTGCAAACAGGTATCTCAAGCAGCAGCAGCCGCAGCGAGTTCCGCGGTAGGCGGCGACGTGAGACATCATTTGGGACAGCATAATGGAGGTAGCACCTCCGGCATGCCGGGACACCATACGAATCAACAAATGTCTCAACAGGACACCTTAACGCCGGACCTCGGTGAGTATGCGACGAGAATCGAACACGATATACATTATAATATGTATATATAATATTGAAACACGTTGAACTTTTAATAATTTTGATTCGTGAAAGCCTTTTTTTTAATAGAACGTCTACGCGCGATATTTTTCAGGAGAAGCGCTGCGACTGCAGGAGCAGCGATTAGAGCAGGCCCTCAGGTTGCACGGTGATCCGCGCGCCTTGAGCTTCACTCTGGCTCAGCATGTCGTCAATCAGCAGAGCAATCAGCAACCATGAAAATTCAGTTACTACTGAGACGAGTGGACCCCTTGGGCGCCGGATCAGACGACCTTGCAGAACGAGCGCATGAACCAGCAACAGTCGCAAGTGGCGACGGAGCGCTCGACGCCGTTGCACGATCAACAACAGCACCAACAGCAGCAGCAAGGTCCGTCCTCGATCGGTCATCAGCAGCAGCAACAACAGCAGCCTGAAGATCGCGGCGTCAAGAGGAAAGCCGACGAGATGATCGGTAACTCCGAGAACGCGTAAGAGCGATCGCGTCCGATTGCGAATGACGATTCGTCGTCGTCGTCGGCGTGACTCGCCCGAGCGCCCAAGTGCGGTCGCCAGAAATTCACTCATTGTCTCAGCAGTAAGAAAACGTTAAACAAAAGGACTTCGTGAGGAAGAGTGTAGTACTTTCGGTGTCTTCCTACTCGGATAGAACCGACACGGCCGGAGGCCAACCGGAAGCGATCGAGGGAGAGCCTCTCTCGGTCGACAGGACTCTCCGGATGGTACCGCGCCGGACGAAGGGAGAGTGAGAAATACGTACGTGTGTAGCAATCCGTTGCACGGCGCGAGGCGGAAGGATCGCAGTGGCAACGCTCGTCTGCCCGCGAATTCTCGCGCGGTTTCCCCGCGCGATTCGTTGTTCCTACATCGGTCCTGGATCAAGGATCTGTCGAACGGGGAGGCTCCGCGGATGACGCGGAGTCGCCTCGTCGAGGATTCGACTCAGGACACGTTGCCACTGCCGTGCTGCCGCCTCGACTCCCGAAACGTGCCATAAATAACTAACGAGAAGCTGCTAAAGAAACAGTAAGTCATCCCGGAGCCGTCCTGTTCAACCGGGACGCCCCGGGGTGCACACGCCCCCAAGGTACTATGATCTTTTAGTACAAGAGCCGATGAAACGGCGCGCCGACGGTGCCGAGGGTCCAACGGGCGATCCTCAACCGTCCCGCTGCCAGGCTCAACAAACCTAAACTATATATAAATATTATACATACATAGATACGTCTATCTCCACCGCGAACCACGCTTAAGGTTCCACGCCCCCCCCCCCCCTAAATTAAACAAACAAAAAACTCCCGTAATGCTTAATAAAGCGAATCGCACACCATCAACACGCGAGTACGCAAGGCTCATAAAGACGTTGTGCGTCACGCGGTCGGCGGCGAACGGTCCACCCGAGTGTGGTATCGTGTCGCCGCGTTGTACGGTTGTTAATTATATACGTACTGAAGCCCCCTTCCCCGTGTGTGTGACAGACGGACGCGACGCAAATCCGCACGGACGTTCACTCACCCGCGATCAGCGTTTCGCGCGACGACGGCAAAGCGACGTTGACACTTCGCGCGCTCGAGGAACGAACGCGTCGGACGTAAACAGATACGCGTCGCAACAGATACGTACGAATGCACACACACGCGAATCACACACACACATATATATACATACGTAAATACACAACAAACACACACATGTACAATACAACTCAACGTATATTACGAAAAAAAACTCATCAGCAGCACACTTTTATGGTGAAGATATAATGCGCGCAACTTGTGCTCGGTAGCACGAAAACTATTAGCTCATAAGCGAACAAACAAAATATAGTTATTACAAACAGTTATATTATATATATTATATATACATACAGAGTATGAAGAGTATGACAGAAACAAAAAAAAACGGGCGAAACCCATTCACACTTACACGTTTAATTGAGGAAAAATGCGGTAAGCGTGAAAGAGCGAGCATTTTTCGTGAGCAAAGCACGCGACGAAGGAGAAGAGAGAAATAAAAAAAAACTAAATGCTAAATATTATATATATTATATATATAAATATTATAAATAATGAATATAGGGTCTATGAGACTAGGATAGTTAGGCGAAAGGGAAATACGAATGAATGCGCAGCGCGCGCCCCCGTAGATTTTACGTGATCCCAAGCATTGTCGGCGAGAGAATGTGACAGCACAGGAAGAGAGCGAAACGGCGGAAATTGTGCGAAAGCGAGAGAGAGAAAGATTGAATACTTGAGTGTTTTTTGCGAATGGAACGACCTTGGGATCGGCGTAGACGCGCGGGCGCGCCGTCGAGCGGATGAGCAGATCGAGTGTACGTGAATGCTTCGTGAGCATCAAGGAGGAGCGAATGCGAAGACGAGAGTGAGATTTTAGAATGGCGTGCTTCAGGTAATCTGAGGTCCTGTGATCGTTATAAGCGAAATATTTTTTTATTTCCGGGTAATATAATCTGAAACGCGTAAAACTCTTGCGTCGTTTTGAACTTTTACTTGCAATATATCGTTACGTTCTCGCAATACTTAGGATGAAGAAGAATAAGAAGAAGACGAATAGGAATACAGAAGGTGGATGAACAAAAAGAACAAAAAAAAGACGTAAAAAAAGATACGAAGATGAGGATGACGAGGGAGAGGAAGAATATGAAGAAAAGTCCGTAGGTTTGATCGTGGAGCGAACTTTTAGAGACTCGAGCCAGCCCCTTCGCCCTCTTAAAACGACATTCCCCACTTAGCGACGTCCCATCAATTTAGATCTTTCCCAGATCGAAATTTCCTTTCGCACCTTCCCATCTCTCCGAAACTTTGACGAAACTCGGGATCGTTTGTACTTTCGATGGGGTTATCTTTCGGTGAGACGAAAACGCGATAAAACGGGACCGCACCGGAGAAATATGTTTGATGTTCGGCTGGAAAATCATTTCTCGATATTAGAGTACGAAAACGTGAATCAAAAGGAAGCGAAAAAGCGGAAGTAGAGTTTAAAAAAAAAACAAGAAGAGGTCAAAACATTGTTGTCAAAAAAAGTTGATTCGGACATTCATCTACGACACGATTCAATTTCTTCGTTTCTTCGACTGGCAATCGCGGACCTAAATAGAGTGCGGAATTGAATGGTAGCGTGCCGAATTTGTTACTCCTGGACATCAACCTCGATCGCGTTACTGTTGTTGTTGTCTTTTTTTTAAGAAACTCCCAACGAGATTTTTTATCCTCGACTGGCTCGTTTTTGGAAGACATCTCGACTCTTTCAATCCTTGCTTTCCAAACACCTCCCCTCCCCCTTTCACCCATTATCTTGTTTCCGAAATCGAAACTTCCCAAATTGCGTCGAATAAAATTTCGCCTACGAATGTAATTGGACAAGTCTTTTCTCTCGCTACGTTCGAAAAAAATCATACATCTTTTCAGAACATAAACTATGAAAAATTTTTCGAAAAGGATTCTATGTATATTCCCTTTCTGAAAAAGAAATTCTACACTCCATGTTTCATGCCTCTTTGTTGGCAAATTACGAAAGTAGCCTAACGTCGTCATCTTCGTTGAACGTAAAAGACACGCGCCGAGAAGCCGCCGGATAGCCAGGCTTTTTGACCATCTGGGACGAGAGAAGTAAAGATCGCTAAAGGATTCATCGTCAAAGCTACATTTAACGATTGTACTCGCCTCGCGATCGGAACTCGACGGACACGTCCAGTACATTTTCTTGTGAGAAATTTTCCAAAATTCGCGACTCCCTAAAACGTTCTCATCGCCATTGGGATTGATCGTTCGTAAAGCCAATTCGGAGAATCGGAATATTTATAATATTTAGACATCGCTTTTATTTTTGCGAAAGGAAAAGGGATAAGCGGGCCTCCTCGAGTTCCGGCGATCGCAAATGCGGGTCGATTCATCGATCGTTATTATTAAAGTTTTTGCGTTACAGGGCGTTTTTTCCTCGGATTAAGTAGTATGTAAATACACCTTGATATCACAAGCATAAACTGAGAATTTACTGGTAAACTTAAACGAACGTACATAATGCGAAATAGGGTTAGTTTCTATGTAAATACCTAAAGCTGGACGAGTGCATACACCTCGTTCACGCAACCAACAATAATCGTTTCTTATCGAACCAGAGCTTCTGTTCGTTGTCGGTGCGTGTCCCTGATCTGATCGGCGATCGCTTCCGCCGCCCCGACCTCGTCCCCCGTCCTGTAGGACGGGATTTTACATCCCGAGAGGGGAACGGGAGCGTTCGTCGTCTCTCGGACATCACCGATCGGGAAATTCTTTTTTTTTTCTCGACACCGATACACACAACTGACACACCGATACACTTACACACAGACACAGCACACGGCATTGCGATGGATTGTACAGCTACGATAGGAACACGCGTAATACCTAAAACGCAATCTTCGCACACTCCGGCGCCTACGCAACACCGTAGGGACCGACATTTTTCGGACATCTTTTATTAGCATACGATCGCGCTTTGTTTTTTCGGGAAATATAAAAGTCGCGAACGATGAGGTATAGGTATATCACGGTTAATATGGCGAAAGTTCGAAACGCTTTTGTGCGAAAGGTGCGAACGTGCTGCAAAAGTCAGGAATAAAAGAGTTTTGAGAAAATCTGGGAGAGAATGAGAGTGCGAAATTACTGAATTTCGGCATAATTTCGAATTAGGAGATCAGTCAATATCTGTGAGTCTGAGGATAAATGATGGAGCGTGTGAAAAAAAAAGAGGTTTAGTTAGGTGAAGCACGTATCGCTCAAGAACGCGAAGCAATGAAATTCTCGTTGGAATTCACGAGTCTACAACGATTTTCGCAAAAAGACGTAATTTGATTTCGCGGTCCCTAATCGAGCGTCGAGAGGTATCGAAAACAGTGCATGAAACGGTAGTAAAAGCGCGAAAGAGCGAAAAGAGATACAGAAGGATGGAAAAAGAGAGATCAGCGTTACTTACCACCATCTCACAATCACCATCACAAAAGAAATTTTGATAAAACAACAACAACAACAATATACAAAACACTACCACCACTAATCACGTCGAGATCCTTCATGATGATCGCGATCATGAAACGATTGACAGACGACTGTTTTCGACCGGTGCATCCTGCCGTGCGCCGAGGGTTGCTTTTTCGATTAAAGTAAAGCGACGTAAATAATCGGGCGGGGTGGCTCCCAAAGCCACCCCCCTCCGATCGCGATTAAAACACACATCCCCGCGCGAGAAGGAAGAATTCCCGAGGCGCCGGCCCGTGCCCCGCGAACGTGTACCATAATTTTAAATTTAAACGAAAGGTAATGCAAAAAAAAAACACACAAGCGCGTTAAACAATAGATCTAGTAGTGTATGTTCTGTAATCAACTGAGCAGTAAGCGAGGATAAAGATAAAGAAAAAAAATAATAATAATAAAAAATGCGGGTTGCACCGCAAAAAAAGCACAAAAAAATAATTTACAAATATATTGATTTACATATGCCCGTAACTCGTAAGGGGGCCGGTGGCGCAAACGCGTCCACCCGCGTGAGATTTTCGGGCCTTACGACGACGAATGAGAGGAGGAGACGGCGGGACAAACAAACACGGCGTACGCGAGTCGCGACGCAATACGAGCTCGCAGGTGTAAAGCGCGCGAGAGGCGCATCAAGAGCAGGAGAAAATCGTGGGAGACCTGTGAGCTGTTGTTGGGTCGTCCGTCTTCGTCGCGAAAGAGGCCAGCGTGCCGCGCAAAGGCGAAAGATGTGGAGGAGGATGAAGATGCGGCCGAGCAGCGACGAGACATAACAAAGAGACGAGAGACTCACGCGCGCTTAACGACGGGAGGATCCGGAGAGGAAAGACCCCGAGGCGTCACGGACGACCCGAAGACAATTAAGCGCCCGACCGTAGCCTACTCGCGGAAACGCGACTAAGATAGTCGAGAGAGGCCCAGGAATGATAATGATAAAAATATATATATATATACGCAAAGGTATATATATACATAATGAAAATCCACAGCGCGACGTTGCCTGCAAAATCGGCCCTACCCATAATCTTAATCTCTTTCATGTAAATTTGCTAAATGTTTAAATAATCTAAAAAGTGCCATAGCCCGGATGCGCTGGTGCATACTCCCAGCGCATACACACTTACAAATACGACTCGACCTTCACGAATCAAACGCAAAATCCGCGGTACCGGCACCGCGCGCACACGTGTGCGCGCGCGCGCTCGCGGCCGCGGTAGAATTGGTATTCTCGCCAAGGAACAAACACAAATGTACAACAGCGACAGAAACCAACGCAGACAGGCACCCCACAAGAAGCGTGGCGCGTCGCTCCCCCCCCCGCCGTCGCGGCGTCGGGGAACGCGCCCCCTTAAACGACACACAGATCAAAGAGAAGTTGCCCTGGTCACGAGCGTGCAACCCCGTGCGCTCAAACATTTCTCAATACACGAGCACTCGTGCTCATATATACTATTACACGTTACACAGCTACAGAGATACAGCTATACACTCTTTTTTACACTTAAAGCACACTTGTCTACACTTAATTACACACGCTACGGATATGTAAAGCCAATTGTTTTTGTAAATTGTCCAAAAAAGTTTTCTTAAAAAGCTACGATTCGGCCCCGTAATAATATATATTTTCACGCGCGCCGTGCAGAGGACGCCGACCCGCCTTGGAAAAGCCCCCGGCCTTGAATAAAGGTCCGCTTTTCAGGCGGAAACGCGTCATCTCGGGCGCCGTTGAAAAGAGGAAAAACGTTGATCAATTTTTCACGGTAATTTGGTGAAGAAAGAAATAAAATTCGTGAATGATGTAACAGCACACGCGTTTGTGCTTGTAGTACTACGGAATAACGCAGAGCAAAATTTCGCGGCCTTTGGCATACGTTTGGATGCAGTACCGATGATGAACGGCGCGTGTACGCTCGCGTGAGACATAGCGCGCGAGTGCGCACGTTCCAAACGCGTCCCGGACTTGACACGAGAGTACCCGGATGTGACGTGTGGACCGGTCTCTTCGCCGGGCTACTGCCCGACGACAGACTGGTGGCGAGGTGCCAGAGAGTTTCGTCAACGAGAGTCGACGAGAAGAAGAGAGAGAGAGAGAGAGAAAGAGAGAGCGAGAGAAAATAATCTCGAAGTGGGAGAGAGAGAGAGAGGAGAGAGAGAGAGCGAGAAAAGTGCGACGGGCAATGTACAAAGCGGCGAGCGGAGTTCCAAATGAAACTTCCGAGCCCTTTGATCGATGAGAAAATGGCACCTCGGAAGCCACCGTAGGAGACCCCCGTTCCACGAGACGCAATCACGAAAGGTGTAATAATAACCTCATGAGGAACACACAACCAAGAGGAATGTGGCAGCGGCAATTGCATAAGGGCCGTTGTTCGAGTGCGGCTTTACAAGCAAAAACCGTTGGTTTGTTTTTGATCGGGTTTTAATTTTTTAATGAAATAATCTCACGACGAATATATATGACGTACGATCGCGCGTCGCCCATGCGCCCGGTTCGCAAAGGGAGAGCTTTGCAGAGGTGCGGATTGCCGCGCGGCGGCAATATTTATCGGGTGGCAACGGCGTACGGCGCACGACGTATGTGCATATTATTCGTGGCAGTGTGTATCGTAAGTGCGCAGCATATGATAAAACCGACAGTCTAGCAGTGCGAGCGCCTCGGCGGCATTCGCGTCTTCACGCGGTGACCCTGACCGAGCCTCCGTGATTAAAAACCGGAATAAGTTGTTTCAATGTCCACTATATAAATGAAAGAGCCATAGTTGTTAAGGCGGTGGGTTCCGGCGTTCGGCGAGTCGGCTCGGCTTCACATCATACATATGCACACACATATACATACGCGTCGTCCTGGCCCCAGAGAGAGAACTTCGAGAGAGATGACGGCGGTGAGTCAACGGGGAAACGCGCGAGAAACGGAGACTTCAACGACCGCGAACATTCGGCATACCGGCAAAATTACGAGGTTCCTGGCAGTACGAAACGATCGAGGTAGCCGGGACAATCAGATTCGCGAATTTGGCGTCTAAATACGACGTTCGGAAATCAAAATTTAATCCACTGATCCGTATTTTCACTGCGTCTTTTTTACGAGCGTGATTCTCTCACTCTTATTCTTATCTCTTAACAAGGAGAACGGCATTCAATGTCAATACTGAGGACGAGGGTCAGATGTCGCGTTTGGCATTAAATGTGCAGTGAAAATGCGGATCTCTTGCCCGGCTACTAAGCGGATGGGAGAGAGAGAGAGAGAGAGCAGGGAAACATCGGGAGATAAACGGAGAGAATCCAGAGACTCTAAACCTTATGATCGATCGAAGTCGTGAAGAAGTAGCGACTGCCATGATCCCAATCCATATACCGACCAATTGACAAACGGTCGACGACGACGAGCGTACGGACCCATCGCGCTGTCTCGTCGCGGGCAGATCATGCGAGCGTGACGGACCGATTGTGTGACATCGATCGGCTCGAATCGTGTCGCGGTGGCCTGCCGCGGCGAGGCGATACTCTTTTCAAAATATTCTTCATACTTCCGTTCAGGAGAATGTGTTTCTTTCAACCTGAACCCGAGCAACCCCCCGCATGCGTGTCCGAGGTGAAAGGCCGAGTCCGTTTATCCGGTGGTTCAAACAAAAAAAAAAAGCATTAACGGCACAAAAGACAGATGAATCTGTAACATCTATGAAAAATTGCGAGTTTATCGAGAGCGAATAATCGTGGATCGGCATAAAAAAGAACGGAACACGAGAACGAGATGCATTAGTATATTGTCCGCTGAGTGGGTGCCTTCGTCAGGGTTTTCCGTTACAGTAAACAGACAGTTCTCAAGTATAACTCACAATTAGTAGTGCTATGGTAGTACAGTAATCACAGTGTACCGCAGTTAAACAGTTAAATAAGTAAGTATACGGGAAGCACGTGGTCTTTTTCAGTGTCTGCAGAATCTCGTCGTACACCACCTACCGCTAATCGGGTAGTGGCACGACCGGAAGTATACCGGATTCATTTCGTGCGCAACTTCCTACCCCACCCGTCCACCGTTTGGCTGAGCGTTTCTTCCCCTCCCAAATTTTCGGACCTCGGGCGACCGATAGAAAAAGATTCGATCGAATTGTCGAGAGAAAACGCAAATCCTATAAGCAAAATTTAGAAGCAAAATTACGCCCCAACCTTGCCAAACCGGTCGCTCGCAATCCCTACCTCCTACGATTCAATCGACATTTAACGGATAAATATGATAATAAGTGTACTAAGTGTTTGTAGTTTAGCCAACGTGTACGTTGTATACTCTGAGATAGGCGCGAGGAAGTTGAAGAAGGAGATAGAGCGCGAAGCGAAGGGATAGCGAGAGAAAGGAGAGATAGACGATTGCACGGTGGAGCCATATTTAACTAACTGATAACGATTAATTAATTACAGTAACCATTCAAGATGACTTAATTAACAGTTAACCGTATCGCATACACACATGCATAATTATTAATTACACGTACTCCAGTATATAAGTAAGGGCCGAGCGGTAGCGCCGCGCGTACCGCGCGCACCGCCTCTATTCAATAAATAAATCGCGGAGGCACTCACTACGGAAACCAACGAGCGGGGACTTTGGGACTCGGACGCGGATCGGAGGGTACCTGAACACGCGAGCTGGGACACCAGATCGAAATTGTCCGTCAAGTATACAACGTGAGAAAAAAAAAGAAATAAAAATCAGGAAAACGAAAAACGCCAAGTTCTCGACGACGCGGAAAGCGGCCCGTCCGCGGGTCTTTTCCGGCGTCGGACGGTCGGCTATTCTCGGCTTTCAGGATTGCTTTCAACGCGTCGAGCGGTTGGTCGCTAGCGTCAGCCGACTCGGCGAGACCATGAGATCGTTTTCAGACCACGCGTGTTCAGATGTCCCGCACCCCATTACTTTATTCGTCTTTCAAGTGCAACGTTGAGTTATTTCACTTACAGCGTTGTTTTTCTACACAATACAAAATACCCTACCACCTGTCCCTACCGGCAAACCAATCCACCTCATCACGCTCCCGCAGGAACAAAGCATCCCCTTCACCCACCGCCCCACCCACTCATCCCCTCCATATACAGTGTTGTTTCAACGTCCGTTCGCGATAAACTTGGTTGCGAGTCTAACGGCGACCGCGCTCCGTTCTCCGTTGAATAAAATTGAAAGACGTCGGGTGACCCTTTTTACTTTTTTCGCGAAAACGAAATTTGGAATGTTTATACCATACATTTATTTTTATATCCCTGAAAAAAATTTCCCGCGAAACTCGGAAGGATGTCCTTGCAAAAGTAACCCAGTGGATGCATCTGCAATCTTGACAGCGGTGCACCTCGACAGTGGAACGGAGCGCGCTTGACTTTGACTCCGAAAACGGCGAACGTTAAGTTTCAGAAATCAGACTTTTACGTAAAGTTAGTTACCGAGTTATACAGCGCAAGTTATCGTTAATTTTCGACGCGCAGCCTCGTTGCGACGAGAGCGATTTCAATAAAAAAAAAAAAAACGCAAAGTCCATCCGCGCTGTCTTCGAGCCGAAGAGCGCGACGAGGATGCGCGTGTAGGTTTAATGGTATCGATTGAGTTTGGTCGAAGTCCCCTTTTGGGCAAACACACCGACGCACTTCCGGTCCCGCCGGCCAGCATCGTTCGACGGAAAAAAAACAGAAGAAAAAAGGGGAAAAACAATCTCGGGCCTCCGAAAAGATCGCGACAGAGAGGGAGCGATCCTCCGTTCGAAATTCAATTCTAGTCAAAAGAGGGTACAAAGCCGAGACGGGTGTCAACTCGGACAGGCGAAAATCGGTACTTATTTAATGCGAGAAGAAAGAAAGAGGGAGATACAAGGAGGGCGAGAGAAAGAAGAGAGAGAGAGAAAGAGAAAGATAGAAGGAGGAGGCTCGAGAGGGAGAGATACTTTCCATTGGATTGCACGAGCACGCGTTCCACTCGGCGCGCACAGAAGAAGTGTAAAAAATGAGAGACGAAGAAAATTGGCAAATAAAAAACAAAAACATGAAAAAAATATGATGCTGGAGATATCTGCAATCTGTGGAATCGGCAGGGTGGCGGGACCGTACACGAGGAAATATCCGCGTTGCTGACAAAACGTAGCCTCTTTTCGTTGTGTCAAACCGCCGGCCAGGATCCGGGCCGATCCTTGTATAAGCAAAAAGACAAACTTTCAAAAAGCAAAAAAAGATGAATGTACGGTGCGAATGGATCTTTCATGAAGCTTCGATTGTTGTTCCGTCGAGTTTTTCCTTTTTGCATATAAAAATGCCTACCCACCCTCACGCTTTTCCGGAGAGGCCGCCGGACGGGATCTCGCACGTTTCGATTCGCTGGAAGAAAATCGATCGGCGTGGACGTATGAAAATCTTGGTAGGAGATAAAAAAAGAGAGAGAGAGAGAAATCGAAAATGTCGAGAGCCCGTCGAGCGAGCCCCAGCCTTTCGATACCGCGATTAACCTACGATTATTATGATTATTATTAGTTAATAATTATTATCATTATTATTAGAATGAGATTGCCAGAGGGCAATTGAAGGCGTATTTTACAGAGAAACGAAAGGGAGGGGAAAAAGAGAGAAAGAGAAATATCTTGGAAGCAATGCCTCGATTTAAAGTTCGCTCGAAAATCGTCGAAGCCATAATATGTTATAAACGTATAATAACTTTTAAGTGAATCGACGAGAAGCGGTAAGGGAAGAGAAGCCACGTTTCGAGATTCTCCTTTCTTTCTTGATTTTTTTTTTTTTCATGGCTATACTTTTCTTTATAATTATACACGCATACACGAAACACGCGTACATACAATTACACCGGTTAAATATTATATATGTTACTTAGCGAGTAATTATTTATGTGCGAAAAGTAGTGAAAGAAACACACACATGATATCGTGTTAAAAAATTCAAGTCCTTCTCTCTTCCTTTATTATAACTATTATTATTATTGCTAGATAATTAGGCATCGAAATTTTATTGTTGTTGACGATCGCGCGAGATTGGTTTTTCATAATATTTGTTATTTTTTTTCTCTTTTTAGTTATGCGCGTAGTATCGCACGACTGAGAAAAACGGACGCGACTTGTCGTGAATCGAGTTTTATACGTATTTTTCTTCGTTTCCCTTTACGTCAGATATATCGAGTTCGACTCTCGCTTTCTTGATCTTTTTTTTTTAATTTGCATATCGCGCGTGTGAATCATGTGCGCTGTATAGAAGTTATTGAAATTTTACGTTCCTCCTTGCCCCTTTTTTTTCTATGTATACCAGTGCACTTTCCTTGTTTAGAAAGTGAAGAGTACGGGGACTAATTTCGATCTCATTTTATATGCGTTTTCAATCGCGGTGACGGAAAATTAAACACGTTTCGAATCGGCGAATCGCGAAGATTGAATTTCATTTCTTCTACGTCCCGTTATACGCGTACTCTTCAATCGTCCCTTTGCAACGTTTTCGTTCGCCGAACCGCGAGATTACTAATGAAGACCACGCATTCAATTTTGACGATTATCTTTGGTCTCATTGCGAGAGAGTTCCTATTTAATGAAAAATAAAATAGTAATTGGTAAAAAAAACGACGAGAAAAGTTCGGTGAGGCAAAAAAAAAAAAGAAATAGTTGAGCGTGGCGGAAACGCGGCATTCGGCGAGCGAGCTCGTCGGATTACGTTTGCTAGTCAGAATTGGTTTAAAAACGATGAAGCAAGCTAAGGATTTTTTTTACGATTAGTTACTGCCTATTATTATTAATTAATTAATCTGTTAAGATTAAACGTTACGTTAATTGACGCGGCCCCACTTTCGAGCTGCACTCATCCTGAAGTAAAGTAGGTCAACGTATACACGCGCGCAAACATAGGCAACACACAGACACATACGCACACAGCTGCACATACGAAACGGTATACAAACTACGGTTCTTTAGTTACTATTCACGTAGATTGAGACGACGATTTATGAAAATTAATTACAGTCCGCCGAGAGAGACGTAGGTCATATTAAATTTTAGTCGATAACTTCTTATTTTTGTTACGAACTTCCTTTTTTTTCTTTCTCATGCCTTAGACGCATACACTCACGCAGGCTTAGCGCTGCTGCAAACTATTACATGTAGCGTAGTGCTAAAACATCATCACTATTATTACACCTACTGCTACCGCTATTGCTAGAAAATGTTAGTATATTGCTATTATTATTATTATTATTATTATTATTATTATTATTATTATTATTATTATTATTATTATTATTATTATTATTATTATGTTATATATATTATATGTTATTATTAACATTATATTATTATTAATATTATTATAATTATTATAATTATTATATTATTATTAGCATCGTATTAGGATCCGTGTTGTAAACTGTTCTGTCTTCGTTCGCGTGTGGTACATTAGGTAAATCAATGTGATACATGTCTAGTTCTCTTTGTGTCAATTCGACCGTGATTAGTTCTTCTTTTTCACAATCTTTTTTTTTGTTTCTTTTTTTAATTCATCTCTCGTATGTGGTTCCTCGCGTCGAAATTCGCGATCGACGACGACTTTTTCCTTGCGTGAGAGAGGCAGGATAATGTATCTTTAAAATACGCTGACGATTGTCACATGGAGTTTAGGACACGTGCATTTATTAAACTTTATCGTTACCTATTATTACCTTGTCAAATGAAATACCGGGTGTACGAACGCGTCAAGCGTGCGGAAGATACTCTTACAAATCTTCCCTCATATATTGCGTCTAGGCGTATCAGAATTCCGAATATCATTTAGTGAATTTGATAAAAATCCAGATTACATCTGTGTTAAGAAAAAAAATATGCGGTTCTCAAGGCGCGAAATTAAAAGTTGCATTGATCTCGATAAGGAGCGCTCGTACACTCGGCGATATTCGTTATTAGTTAACGCTATTAGTTATTATCAGTTAACGCTCTTAGTACTATTACCACTATTATTAGTTATCGCTATCGACTCTTGATACGTTCCCTATTGTCGATCGGCGAGCGAGATAACTATTTCGATTGCCCCTCGTCTCAAGCGTGCTTCGTTGCGTAGTGCTGTCACATTTTTATTTTCATCGATTATCAACAATTGGGACACAAAATTGGGATCTCTCGAAAGTTATTATCGCACACAGGAAATACTTCTTGTCTTTTGATACATTTTATAATGCGATTATAATTTTTAGAATAGTAAAATAATTCTTAGAATTAAACGTGTGTCTCTCGTGAAATTGTTACGTCCGGATTGTTCAAACATTTTTTCATTTCTAAATTGACATGCGACAGCACTAACCATGGAGTTAATCGATTGAGGCGGGGCAAGGTGTGCGCGATTTGAGATATTTCGATGAAGGGTTTGTGTCCAAAAAGTGCGATGACGAATTAAACAAACCAGATTTCGCGATCGGGACGTCAAAGCGAGAAGAGCGGTTCTTCTCCTCGCTGGCCGTTCCGATCGCGGAACCGTTCTAGTTGCAACTAGAGAAGCTATGGGATCCTCAAAGCGCCCACGCACGTCGCGAGCTACGTACATACAATTTCGAGTTTCGGAAACAATCGACGCGCGAAAAAAAAGAAGTACGAAAAGAAGAAAAAAAGGAGCGAGCTGTTTTAAAGCGAGCACTATAGTAAGAAAAAGAAAGAGATAGATATTAAGAAGGAAGCATACAATTATATTCGCACCAGTCTCTTTCGGTTACGAGCGAGTTCCGCATTGTGTAGGATATGTCTAATTGATGATTACGATGTGAAGATAATATTCACGAGATGAGGACGAGGATGGTCGATGATTGCGACTAACGGTGGAAGAGCGAGACCCAAATTGAGAAATCGCGAGAGCCTTTTTGCACGAATACGCATTACGAACGGATGCGTAACCTCTAGGAACGTTCTTTTTGTTGTTGTTAATGATGATGGTAATGATAATACGTCGATTTAAAAAATAAGAGGAAGAAGGTGCTTCTGTGCGACGGAAAGAGCTTCCGGGCACGCGTGGAAGGAAAATTCGAAATTCGAAAAAAAACCCAATCTTTTCCCTACCACGTACGCGACGATCCGATTCCATCTCGCGTACGTGGGCAGTGTTCGATGAGAATTCAAAACTAGCATGTATCGATAATTACTGGAATCAAGTTTTCTGGACGATCAGTCGACCGTCAATTATCTTTCCAGTAGTATAGCAACGACGGGCGAGCGGGATCGCAAAAATCTCGCGCGTCGATTCTTCTGATTCAAGAAATAATTGTTCTTACGACCGATCGGAATATGCGAGATGTCAATTTCATTCTTCGATCCCGTTCGCCCCCCGTTGCTGCGCTCTATTTAGCCGAAAAGGATGCTCAATTCTTGTCGATCGATCATATTGCCATAATCTGTATTTAGGACGCTCGAAAGATGTGCTTTATTTATTGCGGCGCAAAATTTGTTACTCGAAAAAAAATGCGCGACGCTTCATCAAGGCCCTTTCTAATGTTCCAAAATAGCACTTTCGACATAACAAAATAGCCATTTCGACTACGAATATTTTTTCAAAGAATATTTTTTCAAGGGATATTTCTCAAATTTTGATGTTCGATACACGATCAAGCGCAGGAAAGGGTCTCGACGAAACGCCGCGGCTCTCTCGATCAAACATATCAAAATACATTGACTCCACGTTGGAGAATAATGCGAAATTACTTTCGACATGTAATTAGATTGTAAGCGACAAAATCGGACGAAGCACGCGTCCACGCGCGAAGCGCGACGCGCGCTCGCGCGTAGACGCCATTGAACACTGCATGATCGATGATCGCGAGAGAAAAAAAAAAAAAGATCAACGCGAGATCGAGGATGGGAAAAGATCCGATCCTTGAAACATCCTTTAGGCTTACGATCGAGGATTAAGAGTTCGTTAGATGTTAATGTCTGCGGAGCGGGTCGGTTTGGCGTCTTCGTGGAAGTGATCTTCGCGCAAAAATCTTATCGCAAAATTCCAAATTCTCCGAAATTATATCGACAGGAATATGAAATTTGTCTGTGTGATAGTCTTTTATGGCAATAAGAAAAAAGATTACGTTTATACGGGAAGAGAATCGAGGAACTTGGTCGAATAAAAAGATTCGAACTGAGGAGATCACTTCGACAAGATCGCGAAGCCGATTCGCGGGCGTGTAGATCGAAGATTGGCGAAAGGAAAAGAAGTTTATAAGCGAGATATAAATTCTTTGTGCCTCACGACTTCCGGCTGGACGACCTTTCGCGCGCAACGATACCCGTAATTAATTCCTCGGATCGTTGGACGGGAGATGAATGAAAGAATTCGAGTCGCGGTTAAATTGTAAATACGCGGAAATTGTGTGCGAAACGCTCCCGATTGTGAAATTCGTTCCTTCGTAAGGCGCAAACGGAAGCTCGTCGACACCGGAAGCACGCGATCGGCCAGCCTAAATTTAAGGTCTTTTTTAGAAATTAGCGGCGGAAAGGCAGATATATATCGCGAGGGCGACTATCGCTGCAATTTTATGAATGAAAGAGCAAGGGTTTGCCTGCGAAGCGAAGCGAATTGCGAGACAGAATGAACGACTGAGAGAATGCATTGACGAAGAGCGTTTGCTAGCGAGAATGCGAATCGAGTAAATGAGAGTGGCGTGAGAGAGAAATGTTAAATGTGAGAAAATGGGATGTAAGTGCGTACGAGATAGGAGAATAAACAAAATTTTACTACCAAGTGGACTAGAATCGCAACCGATGGGCATTATTAAGCGAAAATAAAATTTTCGGAGCGTTTTTTCGACGAAGAAAAGCGTCCAAAATTGTACCTATTTTCATTTTATAAATTATATATATATATGTATATGTATATGTATATGTATAGATATACGACGACCTAAACCATTATTATTGCAAGATGTAATTGCAAGAGAGAGAAAGAGAGAGAGAGAAAGAGAGAGAGAGGGAGAGAGTGTGAAAGAGAGCGTGTGTGAGAGCAAGGTATAGGAAGACGATGAAAAATAAGAAATTATTGTATCTATATTCGGAAAAATGATCGATGATGTGTATTCGAATCGTGATTATTATTATATATTATGATTATTGTGTATAGTTAAGGCGAAAATGGAATTTTAGACGAAATTATCGAACTCGAGGTATACATATAGGGATTGTAAGTGAGTAAAGAGCGCGAGAGACAGTGCGAAAGAGAAGGAGAGAAAGGGAGAGAGAAAGAGAGTGAGAGAGAGAATTTCTCGATGGTGATTGCACATTGCATGTCGACAGGCAACAAAACAAAGTCCCCCTCCCCTCCAGTAAAATCAATAGAAAAATTAAGTCACGGCCGAGTGAAATACAAAAGCAAAAAACGTTTCGAGTTAGTGAATTTTTGGGAAATTTCAAAATTTATGCAAAACGGGCGACTTTTTTCCATTTTTCGAAAACCGCGGTTCTTCCAGAAAAGAAAAAGAAGAAGAGAGTGATTCTCGTTTCCTTTGTGCCAGGACCAAAAGAAAGCAAATAGCCGAATATATATCTATATATAAAAATATACATATATGTATGTATGTATGTACGTACATACGCTCGTATGTACGTACGTACATGAATCAACACACGCAACGTGTACGAGACGTGCGAGCGCGTCCTCCAGCGCGGCGATTCTGCCGGATCGATGCGCGAACGTGCGACTTTCGGACAACCAGAACGAGTGCCTCGGGTCCGATCCCGAAAGAGGACGGGCCCAGATTTGGGAAAATTCTTTGCCGGCAGATCGGCGCGCTCGGGGACACGGAGAGTGGAGAGGAGGAGAGGCAACAGGAGGCAAAATTAGCTTGGACAGCAATAGTTACAGATCAGAAACAAGCACAATAGACAGGTTGACCAAAAAAAAAAAAGAAAAAAAAGAAAAAAAAGAAACGATGTCGGAACAGCGGAAACAAAAATCGCGTCAACACGAGGCAACATATAGTTAAATATACTTTATCGCGCACAGATCGCAATTTCAGTTCTCCCCTCGCGATCGTAGATCGATCGTTATTAGATTTTTCGACGCTCACGGTGCCGCGACATCGGTGTCCCTCGATCGAGAACGAATTCTTCGCGAACGATCGTTCGGTTGAACATCGCGAGACGATCGGAAAGGAAAAAAAAAAAAAAAAACGCGAAAGTCATTATCGATCGACGGACCCACGACGTTGTTGACGCCTTCTCTTTTCACCGCGAAATATCCGTTTTTCTCACCAGTATTGTATTTTTCCCCTCTTCCCCTTTTTCCCCATCAAACTTCAGCCTGATTACAGCATCTTTATGTGCGGTACAAATCCCGCGAATATATCCCATTCCCACCCTGACCACTCCACCGTCACCCCTCACACAACCAATCCGCCCTCCATCCCCTCCCCGGTCCCTCCACTACCAAATCGATTTACCAGTGTGAGTGAATGTGTCAACACGTGCGAGGATTTAAAAAGATTAAAAAAAAGAAATCTAGAGCGAATTTCAAGGAGGAAAGGTGGAAAAAAAATGTGGAAAGCGTCGAGCAAAATGCGATCGTGAGGATTGATTAAAAGAGAAAATAACCGGGAAACCGTGCACACACACACATTCGTCGGACTGTGTAGGGACATTTTGCATCAATTGTGTAAGAGACGAGACAGAGGGAGAAAGTGTGCGTGTGTGTGAGAGAAAAGGGGAGATTAAAAGCGAAAAAAAAAGATTCAATAAAAGAGGAAGCGAAGTCGAGTGAGAATGCGCGTGTGGAAGATGCGAGAGCGAGAGGTAGAAGAGAGATCCTAAGAGAGCGAGCGAGAAGAAAAAAAAACGGCGGAAGCTAAAAAAACAAAATGTACGAACGAACATTGATACTGTCTTCGTTTTTTAAGGTCGTTTCTCCGTTCGACACGCTACTATATAAATATTGACATTTGTCATTGGATTATTACCAACGATGATGAAGTATCATTATTATTATTATTATTACGAAACTATTATTATTACGACGATAAATGATTATTATTATTATTATTACTACCATTTATTATTGTCATTATTATCACAATTTATTATTGCGATGATGATCATGATTATTATTATTAATATTATTATTATTATTACGTGGTACAATAAAAATTTAATAAGCATACCTAGTCTCGTGACTTTCAACCAGTCCCATAGTTGTGGCATGATGATAGCTGCCCTATCGCGTGACTTCAGTACCATGATCTCTCTTACGTCCAAAGATAGCGATAACTGCCTACAAATATCACAAGAAAACAGAAAGTTAGTATTTATAATGTGCAATGTTATCGAGTCTGCAGGAACGGTCCACTTTTCATCTCATATCTCCACTCAACAAAAATCGCACAATAGACTTTTGTAATTTTCTTATTTTCTTTTATTTACAATTTATAAAATGCTTAAATTCATTATCAAGATTATTTTGTACACAGACACTTACATAAAATAATAATAAAATAAGTAGCATCAATTTTAAAACGCTACACAACGAACCGATATTATCGCAGATAACTTCTGATAATCTAATTCGATTTTTATAAAGAGACGTTTTTTGTTATCTATTGCAAACCTAGATCTCGTCGCGTATCTTTTGTACGCTTCTTAATTAAATTTTCGAAAGTCGAATATTGAGTATATCCGAGTCTGTTGACAAATATCGCACGGGGTCATCAACAGCCTGAACGAAGTGGCACGCTGTGGTGCAACGTCGAGTTAGTATAAGATACAACACGAAGAAAGAAGTGTCATGCTTCGTTTCGGTGCCCGCGGCAGATTCGTCATCTGCGACAATCTTGAGAAATGTCTAAATGTTTTTGGCGGCGTGTATGACACCTGCAGCATAGCCGCTATGTCGAGGATCAGGAAGAGAGGTGGAAGTTCGACGTCAAATTGTTTGATCGATTCCGCGGTACTGCGTGCAACCGCTGAAGCGATTCAGAAGGAAAATCGTCGGCTGTCGTCAACGTGGCCCCGCAATAAAGCCCAGAAAACCTGCCTTTACGAACTACACGTGGAAAAACAAGGCAAGTCGCAGATTTGGGTGTGAAACTACAACTATAATAAGTTAAATAATCTCTCTAACAGAATTTATGATTATATTATTCAAATTGTGTTTTAAATCTGCCGGAAACTATTATATAATGTAATTCGATATGAACAAACAATACTAAATACATAAAAACTTTAGTTTTTGAAATATATTTTTAAATTTATAATGTAATGTTGTTATACATTAATGCAGAACATATTTAAAAATTGGACAAATTGTTTAACTTAAATTATTTAAGCATTTGAGATCAAGTAAATTATTTATTAACTCGTTTTATCAATTTTTAGGTAAAGTTATCAATTTTTCCGGATGGCTGCTGCCGGTGCAGTATCAAGAGACGATTGCTGCGTCTCATCTGCACACCAGATCTTTGGCATCGCTCTTCGATGTCGGTCACATGCTACAAACACGTGTCTCTGGTAAAGATGCCGGAGAATATCTGGAATCCTTGACAACATGCGATCTGAGAAATTTAAATAATGGCGCCGCGACTCTGACAGTGTTCACCAACGACAAGGGAGGAATTCTCGATGATCTTATTATCACGAAAGACGACGAGAACAGATACTTTATTGTGTCTAATGCAGGAAGGCGGGATGAGGACAGTCAACATCTTTTGGAGCGTCAGGTAAAACATTGTATATTTTTGATATATTTTAATCATCACAATTTACAATAAAGATTTTTCTACTTTCAGGAAGACTTTAAAAAGATTGGTAAAAACGTGTTTATTGATTTCCTGAGTCCTTTAGAGCAAGGACTAATAGCACTTCAAGGCCCTGCAGCAGCAACCGTCCTTCAATCGTTAGTAAAAATTAATCTTCAGACTCTCAAGTTTATGAACAGCGTGAAAACCGAGATATTAGGCAGTAAAGTCAGAATTTCGCGATGTGGGTATACCGGAGAAGATGGCTTCGAGATCTCGGTGCCTGCGAAGAACGCAGTTAATCTAGTCGAGAGAATTTTAAAGATTCCTGACGTGAAACTGGCCGGTCTGGGAGCCAGGGATAGTCTAAGGTATCTAGATAGATATTATTATATATTGTATTGAAGTAACATTCTTGGAACATGCACACACACAGCGAAGATAATGCAAAGATGGAAAGAATATGAAACGAGAAATTTACAGAAAATAATTAAAGATATTAAATAAAAGTAGTATAAACTCGAATGGGATTCTATTTAAACATTTTTTTTGTAAATCTTTGCAGACTAGAAGCTGGACTCTGTCTATATGGTCACGATATCAACGAAAACACTACACCAGTCGAAGCAGCTCTTACATGGCTAGTAGGTAAGTAATCTTACAAAAATTATTAAATTAATCTTTGAATGCGATAGATATTTTCCCACACAAACGCTGTCCTATATAACAAATTTTTCCTATTCAAACGCTTTTAAATGGACGAATACTTTTCTCGCTTTATTTAACTTTGTCATGCAAACCATAAGAACTGTTCCTTCGTTCCTCACTTTTAATAATAATTTACAGAATATTGATTTTTCTTCCAGCAAAGCGACGAAGGGCCGAGGCCAACTTTCCAGGCGCACATCGAATACTTTCGCAAATAAAAACGGGCGTAACAAAGAAACGCGTCGGGCTCTTATTAAATCAAGGACCACCAGCTAGAGAAGGTGCGCCTATATTAACATCGGAAGGTGAGCCTGTGGGCAGCGTTACTTCCGGTGGACCAAGTCCAACTTTGGGCCGGCCAATCGCCATGGGATACATACCACCAGATTTGGCACAATTCGGCGGCGGAGTGTTAGTCGAAGTACGAGGAAAAACGTACAAAGCCACTGTGACGAAGATGCCCTTTGTGAAAGCAAACTACTACACTACGAAATAATGTGTTAAAACCGATTGATCTTTGACAGAATCATAGTGTTTCGAAGCGTTTTTAATTGATAATGATGAATGTTTTTATATGGACTATAAATTTATTCAGCAAAGATGTGAACGATTTGTTGATAGATTTCTAGTGACAGATAGTACAAATCATAACTAATGATTGAAACTGATAGATAGATTTCTAACGAATTGCTACTATGCTTTATTTGCATAAACTGATCATTGAAAATAACTGAAAATAATATAAAAAAGAATATTAATTAAATTTCTAACTTGATTTTTAAATATTACTACTATTACTTTGCTAAAAAAATAATAAAAACCTATTACAATATTACAATATATATTTTAGCAGAGTAGTAAAATAGAAATGGATTATTAATTATTCAAATTGAATAATCATAAAACAATACTATAGCAATAATAGATATTTTAATACCTATTATAAATTATAAATATGGATTTGGTGACAAATTATTTTTATCAATTTATTATTAGGAAATATATTGATATTCTTGCATTGATCCTTTTTTATTGTAAATTATAACTTAATTTTCTTTATATAACTTAAACATATTGTTACATACTTTTTTATAAAAAAACTTGATAATTAATTCTATGACTAATTCTCTTATTTCATTTATAACCTTATATACATAAGCCCATATCATTAGATTAATAATTTAATGTAAATTGATTAACTGCGTAAAAAATATTAACTTTGTTTATATATACAAAAAAATTTATATTTATTTAAAAATATTAATGTTTGAGAATTTCATCTAACGCTTTTAAATGGAAAAGTACTTTTAATTTCTGACTGTAATTAAAAACGGCATGAGGATATACTTTCTATATATTCTGTGCTATTCCAATCTAGCTGATTGTACACCTAAACTCGCTCGTCTCTCTATTGACTAATAAAATCTTTCTTATTGTACGACCTTATAGAAACTGTTTATATCATACATAACGTATTTATTATGTCAGGTATCAATATTCTTCTTCTCAGTGTTCGATGATTTCTCGAAACAGTGAGATCGCGAATTGGTTTATATATCTCTAACATTCACAATCTGAAACGGTACTGTACTATTGTTAATTGCTAGGATACTATATTTTAATTAAGGCACAATTTTAATATATATAGGTGAGTTTTTCAAAACACAAAATAATTCTCTCTTATTAAAAATTTAGAAAAATTTATAAAATATAATAAATATAACTTATTATTTTCTCGAAAATATCTTTTTCAGAGTTATCTATATTATTAATTTTACTTCATTTTTTTCTTTTTTCACTTTGCACAATATGAGTCGCTTTATGCGTAATGAGCAATCATCATTATTGCGGTGTAAAAATTAATTAAATAAATATAAATTGATTAGAAATATAACATTTTAATATTTCTCGGATTATTTAAACAATTTTAGTTATATTTTATAATATTTTATAATATCATAAAACAATTTGGAAACAAATATCATTTTTTCAATATAAATCAAGTATACGCTAAAAAATAAACAATAAAATAAATAAAAAATAAAATATTTTGTCGTTGCAAAAATAATATATATGCTGCAACAAATATGACCAAAATCTATAATATTCTATAGACCATAATTTGTAATATTAACATGTTTAATTTCTGTTTGGTTCAAACTGCTTATGACATAGTAAAGAAACTGTTTTCCTGTTGGCCGTTAGAATGTTTTTGTTTATATCATACATACCTAATTTAAAAGCAGAAATAAAAAGAAACCTTGTACATAAATCATCCATGATAAGAAATGTATTACAAATGTAAAAAATTTATTTCTTTAAAAAGATGTTTTATATTTTTGTTAATTTTTTTCCTTGCTACTAAACTCTAACTTCTACTTTTAAAAGAATCATACATTATATAATAATTAAACGCGTCATGTGTGATACGAGCTATGTAATATATGTATAAAAATATATATTTTAAGAAAAAGATAATTACCTTAATATTAATAAAAAAAGTTTATTTTGTATATAATTAAATTTGCATTTATTATGTTTACATTTTGGAATAGTTAAAATAACATAATTTATTTTATATTTGTATATTTAAAGAAATTTTTCAAGTAACTTATGTTTTTGATAAAACTCTGTATAATCTTTTATATACTAAATATTTTTTTCCCTTTAAAATTAGAAATAACTTGTTTCTCTTTCTTGTAATTTTTTTACAAAAGTCCAAAAGCTATTTTTTTATTACAAATAGCATTGCATTTATACGCGCTTTTTTTTATTATATAAAAATTATAAATTATGTGTTGCATAAGTATGTGTTTCTTTTTAGTGTAGTGTTGCATTAGTGTGTGTTGTGTTTTGTGATAAAAAAATTTTTCTTGCAGATATAAATATTAATATGGCATTTCAAAATGTTTTATTAAATAGCAGATTTGTATTAATCGCTATAATAGTGCTTTTTGCTGTCAGCAACACGAATAATGCACTTGATTACAGTTTCATTCCCCCTTTAACGCCGTTGCATTATAATGTCAAAATAATACTTGACATTGATAAAAATGTCTTACTCGGCGAATGCAATATCATCTTTACAGTTAATCGTCCAACGAGAGATTTAGTTATGAACTCAGTGACTTTCGGTATATTTAAACTTAATTTGATTAACAATAATAATAATAACATAATCAACGTACCGATACATTCATTTATAAATGAAAGAGAAATGTATATTCAATTCACCACCTCATCAAAAAAGTATTTATCACGTGGTGAGTATACCTTAAAGATGACATATGGCAATACCATTACTTATGATGAAAACTTTCTCGGACCTTTATACAAAGTCAAAGATATAAAGAAAATGTAAGTTAAAATAATCAATTTTAAGTCAAATTATGATTAAAATTTTATATAAACCATATACATATATGTAAAATAGGTTAAACGAAAGCGACAGTAACATAAAAAGAACACAACAACTATTTCCATACATATCAACATTTTCGTCAACCTATAGCATTTCCATTCAGCATCATAAAGACTACACAATTTTATCGAATATGCTTGAACGGACAATATATGATGATAAAAATGATATGATGTGGACACATTTCAACAAATCATCTACAACACTCCCTCCAAATTTAATATTTTGGATAACATTCACTAATTCTTCTTGGTCTGCAAAACGTTACGGCACTTTGACATAGAAAAAACATAACAGACTACATGCAATTTACAGTAAACATTATTTGAGAAATTGCTCCCTTTTTGAAAAAAAAAAAATATGATAAAAGTATGAAAAATGGATTACATTGAAATTTGATTGACTCTCGACAAAGTATATCGTATAGCGTTGAGACATGTAAACTTATTCTACTAAAGATACCCGTTATTAAAAAATAAAATTAAAACCAAATTAAACAAATAAATTTATCTATAATATTATTATAATATTATATCTATAATATTATATCTATAATAATTTAAAACTGAAAAATATGCACATTTTCATGTCAGTATGTCAATTAAAAAATGACTAAAATGTGTATTGTGACTTGCATCACATCCCAAAAAAAGTATACTTATTTTTATTTTAGACAAAAACTTAAAATAATCATTCTTTATGTCAAAGCAGAATTTAATTCAGATTTTAGTTAAAAAGTATGTAAAATAACTATGTATTTTAGATTGTACAAATAATACGTGAGTGCTATAAAATTTGTTGTATCAATAATATTAACAAAAATTATCAAAGTTTTTTTATTTTTTTAATCTTTTTGCATTTTTTTACACATAATATTATTTACTCAAAAATTATTAAAAATCTGCTTTCTCTTCTTTCTTAAATAAATCTTGTGTGTGACTATGTAATTGAACAGTTATCACCATGTAACTACAATACACAAACCTATGAAATTGTATAATTATAACAACATTGGATGCAATTCTATTACTTAAACACAATTTTCAACAAATAAGATATTATTTGCAATTCAATCTTATTGCACGTAAATTTGAAGTGGCAAACTTGCGTGGAAATGCATCTTTTTGGTACGATAATATGTTCTGTCAAAAGAAGTCTCACATACACACGCACACAAAAGAATATTTTGCTACATTTTTTGCAGTGTACTTTTTGGATAAAATTATTTTAGATTTTTTCTCCTATTAATATATTACATCTTATAATTTTATAATAAAAATCAACCAAAGTTTAATAGCAGCTGTCAAGAACGCAAACTGAATATTAATATTATGGATATTTTGGTCATATTTATTGCAGTATGTATGTATGTTGGAATCGTTATTTGCCTTTTTTATTATAAAAAGTTAAGAATTGCGTGTTGCAAATATATGTGTTTTATTTCTAATAAAATAATTTTTCTTTCAGAAATTTTCTTCTTTACAACAAACAAAAATTAGTATGGCTTTCCGAAAGCTTTCAACAAATGACGAAATATTGTTAATCGCTATAATAGCTCTTTCTACTGCTATTAATGCCGAAAATAACATTCCATTTAAGTACCAATTGCCGGATTATGTAGTACCGTTGCATTATGAAGTCAAAATGACACTTGACTTTAATAAGAATCTCATTCTTGGCGACTGCAACATCACCATTCATATTTTTCATCAAACGCACAATATAACTATATATCCAATGACTTTCGCTATATATAAAATTATTTTAATTGACAACATTCATCATCAAAAAATTTATATCCCATCGTATACATTCTTCCATGAATTGAACATGCTTATTATTGTATTTGAAGAACCAAAGTTTTTATCACCTGGGAGATACACACTAAAAATCGCATATTTGAATAACAAATTAGTTGATAACGAAGAAAATATCTTTGAATCTTCATATCCAGATCAGATACGAAATAAAACGTAAGTTAAAAATAGATTATAAAAAAAAGTAAAGGGCTTAAGAGCCAACAGACAGATATTAATGCCAAAATTATACTCATATGCAAATACATTTTTCATCATCAATATCTAACTCGGTTTTTAAAGTTTTTTACTTTTTTTATAATCTATTGTCAAAATCGCCAGCTCTTTGTTTAATCTTAAGTTGAAAGTATTTAGCTCATACTATTATGCCATAAATACCATTCACTATTATTATTTATAAAATATGTTTACTATATTTTTTGCCATCATGACATATCTAGAAGTGCAAATTACATAAAATATTCAAAATTTTAAAAAATATAACTCAAATATATATATTTAACATTGCACTTAAAATTTGTTAGCTTGGAAATATAGTAGTATACCTCAAATCGGTACATATAAAACATTGTGCAGAAAATGCTAAGCAACTTTTCGATTTTTTAAACCCCAACGTTCCTCAATTTATCTATCAATCTAAGCATAATTACAATTTTATATAAATTATATGATTTAATTCTGTGATAGGTTAACTGTAGCAGATATTCAGACAATAAAGACCTCACAAATATTTCCATACTGGAACAAACCAGCATTCAAAGCTACATTTAGCATTTCTATTCAGCATCACAAAAAATACTCTTTCTTATCTAATGTGCCTGTACGAATAACGGAATATGAAGATAACAATGACATGATGTGGACACACTTTGACAAATCACCTTTCATGTCCAATGCTGCTCAACGTTTAATGATTATGTTAACTACATCCGACAGAAATTTTATTTTACTTCAAAATGTCATACGTGAGAACCATACATATACAACAGATCATGTACAATTTGGAAAACAAATTTCCGAACAAGTCCTATTTTTGGAAAAAGAGTGTGGAATAAAAATACCAAAAATGATTGAATTCTTGGATACCCAACAAAATAGAAGTGAAGCATGGAAACTCATTCTGCAGAGGTAATACTAATTATTAATATAAAAATAAGAAATTAAATCTCGATATATGAGAACAATGTACTTCAAATTTCGTACACTTTAGGTATCTCGATCTGAGATCGGTGTACAATTTAACTGTCTCTTGTGGACTAATTATTAATTTCTTTAAAAAAATTAAAAATTTAGCACTATCCTGCAACAGCTCTTAATGCTCTTCTATTATATTTCTTGATTGTTATCATATGGAGCCTTACTATTATATGTGTTTTTAAGAAATTAAAATTATATATAATATTTCAAAATTGAAATATAAATATTTTTATATCAGTATATCAATTAAAACAACTGAAATTTATATAATATTACTTGCGTCATACACTGTGAGAAAATATTACTTTTAAATCAAAAATTAAAATAATTCTTACGAATACTATAAAATGCTATTTATTGCATCAATAATATTGAAAAAAATTATCAAAATTTTTCTCTTTTTAATTCTTATGCTTTCTTTCCCACATGATATTACTTATGCAAAATGTTTGAAATTCTTCTCTTTTTCATTCTTTAACGAATTATGTGTGACTATATAAGTGAACAGTTAATATTCTATAAGAATAGAAAACTATTTAAATATTATGTTATTCATTTTTGTTATAAGATTAAACTCGAAAAATCTTTAAATTTATATTTTGCAAAAAATAACTGCAAAGAATATTTATAAGTAGTTCCAACTACACACGCAAACTTATTAAATTGCATAATTATAGCAAAGACTTTTGATGTAATTCTATTCATCAAATACGATTTTTAGTAAGTCAGACAATAAAAAATTAAATCGCACTCTGCGCCAAGACGGAATGACAAACTTAATAGTGCTTCAAATGGCATCTCTTTGGTACAACGATGTTTTTCTGTGGTCAAAAGATGGTTTTGTTGCTTTTTGCGGAACGTATATCTTGAATCAGGTTGTTTTATATTTTTATTCATTAATACTACATTTTTAGATTTTATGATAAAAATAATAAAAATTTTAATAGCTGCAATCAATAGCGATGAATGTGCGTTGCTAATGTAAATATATTTTTTTGATTACATATTTATTTCATTTTATTAAACTTTCTAGATTCTTCCGCATTATAGCATAATGGATTTATTTGTCGATTTAATAAAAAAAGAATTTCTTAACTTGAAAATTCCATTTTATATAAACTCTTCAATAACTAGCATAAACATCATTGAAACATGGGTTGAAATAAATAAGCTAGTTTTACAAGACGTTAAATGTAAGTTAAGTAAAAATTTAACTAAAACATTATATATTATTAAAATAAATATTATTTAAAATATTGATAATTGTCTGTAAATTCGTAAATTTTACATGAATATATAAAAAGCTTATCTAAAAACTGATTTAAATACATTATCTTCGTTTATGAACTTTATTATAAAAGTAAGGAAAAATATATTTTAAATTATTTAATAAATGTTATATTTTAATTATTACAGCATCCATTGTATGGCGTATCTTACAACATCTAATACCTGATAATGTATTTGAAAGCACAAATCACATGCAGTGAGTAATAATACTTAAATAATAATCATTTAAAAAATTAGACTGAAAAAAATAACATGCTTTGAATTCTACTTTATGTATATGAAAGCCATAGTAAATAGTAATCTTTTCGAACTTGTATGCTATTTTTTATTTATAGATTCTCTAATAACATATAATTAATTAATAAAAGTAAAATATAACTTTTATTAATGTAAATAAGATAAATGATTTTTAAAGTTTTAGTGATTAAATTTCAATAAATTTTCAAGAATTAAAATTTAAAATAACAAATGATTAAAAAATTTGTACTTAATTATGCAGATATAAATTCATATTTGGATAAATTATGTAATAATTTTTAATATGTTATAAAGATTATTGCAGTGTTTATTCTTAGCAAATTTTTAATTTTACAGATTAAATCTAAAAGCGGCAATTCCAGATGATTTATTGTCTATTATGCAATATGTTCAAAATGTAATAAATACTGTAAACAAGTTTAATGTAAATGAAATGATGGATATTTTGACAACAGAAGAATATTCTATTTTAAATGTAACAAGCGAAATACATAATGAGAAGATAAAGTGGCATTTATCTTATGAATCAACAAGCAAATTATACCGGATACTTATGATATATACGACACCACGTAATTCTAGTAAGAGTAATAAGAATAATTTTTCATGGTTAACCACGCAGAAATCATCGCATACGACTAAAAAATTTCACAAAGACGATTGGATTATAGTTAATTTACAACAAGCTGGTAAATATATAACAATAAATTTATTACACTCCAATCTTTATTTCATATAATTAATATTTTACATAATTTTAAATTTTTATTTTCTTTTATTGTTAATTTCAATAATTTTAAAATATTATTTAAGTTGATTATATATCTGTAGCAATTGTTAATTATGCAAAATATTTCTTGTAGATTAAATCTGCAAAATTAATCAAATTAAATTACAATTAATATTATTTTAAAAGTACATTATAATTAATAATTTATGAGAAGCATTTTTCAAAATAAATTCCTTAAAACATTTGATTAAAAAATAAGTAATTTGCGAAATTATATAAAAAAACAATATTAGAAAATAAATTTCAAAAAGTTTAATTAATAAATTCTAATATTAAGAAAAGTTATTTTTCTGTGATAGGATACTACCGTGTTAATTATGATATTGAAAATTGGCGAAAACTCGCGCACTACTTGAATTCTAAGTATTATACCAAAATACATGTTCTCAAGCGCGCCCAAATCATCAATGACGCGTTTTACTTTTACATGCATAAACAACTTGATCACGTTACGTTTTGGAATCTCACAACCTTTTTATCGCAAGAGAAGGAGTATATAGCATGGTATCCTATGATTAAAGCTTTTGAATACATGGCGTGTGTTTTTCCAATTCAAAATATTCCAGACTTAAAGGTGGGTAATGGCAAATTTTTAGAAAAAATTATAAATCAAAGCACTACATGTAAAAAATTCTATAAAAAATATTAAATATTGTACATTGCATATAAAAAAGTATTAATAAATGTATATTTTTGCACATCTCATATGTAAAAAGGCATACATCTCATATATAAGAAAGCATATAAAATTTATATTATTTAACAATTTTTAGATAAAAATGATAGAGCTATTGAGGCCACTTCTTCGATATATAGGATACCAGGAAAGTTTCTTTCAAAACGACGTTATTAAATATTTAAGACAAGAAGCTGTAAGATGGATATGCATTTTTGGTGCTCCCGAATGCAAAGAGCATGCCATTTTTAAATTGGAAAAAAGTCTTGAAGGAAAGTCTCAAAATTCTGTAAACGACAAGTAAGTTGTTTAACAATCATGATACTTCAATTCAATTCAATTTTATTGCATGTTTTGCTCCATACCGGATATATTATTTATCATCAAAATATATTATTGTATATAAACTATTGTAAAAATTTTTTTGGTAACGCAGTAATTTAATATGGAAAGAATGGATATATTGTAATGGTTTGATGACAGCAAATGATACTATTTGGAGCAATATATGGAGTAGATGGACTTCAACACTTGATAATAGATTGTTAAAATATCTAACTTGCTCTGAAAATAGTTATATCATTTCCAATTTTTTAAAACTAACAATGCAAAATGAATTTATAATCAAAGTGCCAAGCAATACACGTATTAATATATTTTTTCTTATTGTTGCGAAACATGCAAAAGTCGGTTCAGTGCTTACTTTCATTTTGGAACATTTTGAAAACGTAACATTCAGTTCAAATAGGTAATAATATTTTTTTTATAAATATATTCTTATATTTATTTTTATTAATCATTAATATATGTATATTATTGTAGTTAGTTATAATAATTATCAAATTTATTAGTTATTACTTCCCTTTTGTAGGGAAATTGACGAAATTGCAACATTAATTGTAATTATTACGCATGTGCAATCTTCATTTCACTTGCAAAAGGTATATTTTTTCAATTCAAATAATTTATATATACTTTCATTTCTTGACTTCTTAATATTAATCTTATTTATATTTAATATATATCTCAGATATATAACATATCTAATCCGAATTGCACTTAACACAAAAAATTTTGCTCTTGAAACTATAAAACAAGAAAAAATTCATATTTGTTGATACTGTCTAAATAATCTGTTTTAGATATTCAATTTTGCGATATATAATATGACAATGATACATATAACTCAGGCTCTTGATAAAAAAGTAAGGCAACGAAATATGGAATACATGAGACAACTCAAAAACTACGACACCCTTTCAAACTACAAAAACGATAACACTTCTAAAGAAGAAAGCGGTTATCAATAAAAAACAATAATTTTACCTGTGTTGCTAATATACATTTATATATTAATAATTTTTTCTTGATTTTTAATTAAATATTATCTATCTGTTTTAAATTATCTTGTTTTTATTTTTGTTTTAACTATTTTTTGTATTTTAATATAAGTATTATTTTTAATACAACATAAACTTGAAACAAAGTCTTGAAAAGTTCTATCGAATGAGACCAGAAAGAAGTCTGTACCTCTCATCGTTTTCGAGGAAATCACATTCGAAAACAGAATCGAAAAACAGACTAAAATCAGACTTGTTGGATAATGCAAATATTCGCATTAATTAATTTACGATAAATTATATAGAAGTATTAGACATCTATAAAAGTTTCAATATTTTCAGATTTACTTTCTTAAAAATATTGTTTTTAGATATAACAAGATTATCAAGTTTTTGTTTTAATTTGTTTTTTTCTTTCATGTTGTATATTGCGTAAAAAATTAATTATACTTAACGTTTAATAATACAATTCTACAAATAATAGCTTTTTTTCAAACACAAGAATGTGAAGTATCATTTCTTATATTTTTTTGATACTGAATACGATATCAGTTTCAAAAATGCTTTATTATGTCACAATTTTGAAAAATTTAAGTTTAAAGTAGTAAAAAATAGCTATTTTGACGTAATTTGCCGTGTTTTAACTGTAATATGTGATGTGTTAAAAAAGTTTTTTTTTTATAAATGAAGTATATTACTAAAACCTTTTTAACTCTCAAAAATAATTTTTTATGTACATACATACGTTTATAATTAATAAGATTTTGATAATTACATATTGTGTAAATTATAACAATACTTACAGTATAATAAAGATTATTAATGGACAATATTTAATTATCAAAATCTTATTAATCATAATGTATATAAAAAATTATTTCTGAGAATTAAAAAAGTTTTTACTTTATTTAAGAAAGAAACTTTTTTAATACATCACGTACCATAGTTATAACGTGATAAAGTACATCAAAATAGCCCATTTTTTCAAATTTTATCTTAAATTTCTTAAAATTGTAACGTAATAAAGCATTTTTAAACCTGGTATTTAGTATTAAAAAATTATAAAAAATAATATCTTGCCTTCTTGTGTTTAAAAAAAATTATGTTGAAAAATTGTTAAGTAAATAACGTAAATCAACGTAATTAATTTTATTTACTACAAATTACATCAATTTTATATAAATGTAAGTTTTTTTATTATAACTCACCGTTTCATGACGCAGCAACCGGAATACTGCAATATTTGTCTTCGTCGATCGTTTTCATTTAATAGTGCTCTCCGTAGACTTTGTTGACATCCATGAATCTCAAATTTCAATCCAATGTTCCAATATTTGCACTTTTGATTGCACTTCACACTCTACACGTCGTATTTAAATCACTTTCAACGATTTACACGAAATATAACACTTTCCCGATACATTTCGCAAATGTAACCACGATTTCTATGGCATCGAAAGATTCTCAACCCAATAGTGTACTATATTTGATTTTATTCAAATTAATTCACGTTTTTGATTTGAGATTCAAGATAATAATATTAAACACGACATAAAAAATATTGCAAGATGCGCGGCTTTACATAAATTTTTCTTTATTAATTTTATTGGTTTTTCATCTCGCAATTTTAAACTTTAAATTTATATTTATATGTTTATTATAATATTTTGTTAATGTATATATTTTTTATCTTAAAAAAATTTACTAAAATTAATGCAATTTAAAGTAGAAGCTATTAAAAATTATTTTAATTATTATTGTATTACTTTCTTTCTCTACTTTTCAAACAATTATTAATTAATACATTAATTGGGTCAATAATTTCTTCAAATCATGATTTATGTTGATATCCAAAGCCATGTCCATAATAAAAAGATATTGAAAAATTCTTAACATCACTCTTTTTTATCTTTATACGCATATCAATACTACATATACGCGTATCAATGAAGTGTATCCGCAGTGCACGGTTATTTTTGGTTCATCTCGAATTACATCATTATCTGCAAAAAATTCAAAGACAACTATTACAATAATAAAATTTTTTATCTTTTATTCCTAAATAAATAGAAATATGTGTATAAAGTGTTTTCAATATTTCTTTCAACATATTTTTAATAAAATATATAGTTTTAAATAATATTTTGTTTACTTAAATGACACTTTCGTAACATAAGAAAAATATATATATGTGTTCACAATATTATGTAATACGTAACTATGTAATAAATTTTTATACTTAATTTTTCATATTTTTCATTATATTTCATATTTCGATTATATATTATAATAATTAATTTGTTGTATTTATTTATTCAATGTTAAAGTATTTATGTTTACTATTTAATAAATTGCACAATTAAAATATAATTGCGCGAAAATATTATAATATTTATTTAATATATAAAATAATAGAACTTTAATCATTCTTTTTAAAGCAAATTTTTGTAAGGCGCTTATCAACTACTGTTCAATGGTATCTTATAATTGGAACTGCATTGTACTGTATAATCATATAGGTGTAACATATTTTTCTGATTGATAATTATTACATAAAGTAGGGACATGCACCTAGCGGTAATATCGTTTATCAACAATATCGATAAATGTGACATTTAGTTCCAATTCTAGTCCCTAGATGTTTTTGTAGAACACCCGATTACTTGCCTGCTAAGACAAAAAAATAAAAAAAAATAAAAAAATGCCTGCTAAACAATATAGATTTGTTCGCGTCGCATGCCCCAACATACTCCAATACGCTCAAATCTATAATATACGTAACGTATATATAAATCAAAGCATATTGGGGCATACGACGCGAACAAACCATATGACATGGCAAAAAGTAATGGCAACGCATTTCGTACATTATTACCTTAAAATTTCTCTAACAAAAGATTACTTATTAGATCATATTAGACAATCAATGGCATTTCTTAACATGCGACATGCTTGATACTTTTAAATGAGCAAATATATGACGCAATGTGTAATCGTCGCTTTGATATTTATCATCTCGCATTAGCATACTCCGTGCGGCGATACATCTTTTGAAGTCACGAATGCACGTTGAATTAAATTGAATTGAATCCGTACGATAAATGCAATTATCAGTATTGTCTGAGATCAGTATTATTTGACATTCTCGATCATTCCCACACATTCTGATACTTACTTGCGTACAATATTCACTTTTGACGAGTAGAAAAGCCGCGAAGAACACGTATCGACTCGTAAGCGTCGCGAAACGGTAGAAAAAATGAAGTTGGCGCGTCTTAATACATTGCACCGCTGCGTTTACGGCTGTGTTCCGAATTCACTGCTAGAAAAATCGAGATAACCAATCAGCGTCAGAAAAGTGTCAACAATACACTTCGAGACTTTCGATACATTCGAGTATCGATCTTTCATGCCTTTTTTAATAGCGTTTTCGAATAAACGGGGTTTGAACGATCTAGGGTTGATCAATCACTATTTTACTATAAATGCAAGTCTTTCATTGGTGGAGAGGTTGCAATGACGTCATTAACCAATCTTGGGTCGTTCAAATCCTGTATAATCGAAAACGCTATAAGAGTGGATTAACATTTACATCAAATTATATAAAAGTAATTTTAAATTTTAAGATTTAAAGTGTTTTAACCACAATTGAGCAATATTATTTTATTTATTTTTAACTTTTTCTTCTCATTTTTTTCTTTAGAAAATCTGCACGAATAATGACATGAATTTATTACAATAAAAAAATTGTTTATCCACTGATCCTGTAATAATTTATGCGTTGCATATCTCAAGTTTAACGTGTCTTACTTTAATTTATATGCATGTTAAATGATCGCGTGCCACTTTTTATGTGAATTTGTAATAAACAAGTATAAAGTAAAAAAATAAAACATCTCAGAAAATAGACATTCCGAGAAACGATGGAGATGATGACGATGGTTGTTTTCCAGCAAAGGACACAAGTTGACACAAATCGACACAAGTATCACTCTGTCTTTGTTCGATATTCAATGAGCAACAGAGAGAATAATACTTTTGTGTCGCTTGTGTCTCTTGGTGGAAAACTACCGATAGTAGGAAATATAAAATAATTTTTCTTGTAGTAATGATATGTATAATTTTTTATTTTTACTTGGCGTCATTTTCTGATATCATATTTTTTATAGGTAGAATGTATAACAGATTTTTTAATATATACGACGATTTTTTTATAAGTTTTAAATATATACAGCTTTTTTGAAAAATTTAAATATATATAACGGTTTTTTTTAAAGGTATATAACACTTTTAATAATTGCGTATACTTGGCGCCTTTTTTGTATTTTTTTATTACTCTATGCGAAAGATGTATCTTATTAAGTACATTAACATTTAAGCTTATGAAATAAAAGAAGCAAAAATATAACAGAAATCATGATTCCAATAGTTGTCTACTACTTGTATGCTGCAAGGTCTCTGAATCATGGGAAAAATCCACTGAACTATATATATATATATTGGAATGGGCACTGAATCACTTGTCGCGAGTCGAGAAAGAACCACATGTCGTGTATTGCTGTCTTTCTACGTACAGTCAAGTTCGAAACTTTTGTCTGTTGTTTGGCGAAGTAGTAGATACAATCAATACAATATCTATGAATCAAATGTTAAAACTTTTTGGTCTGCCCGTATTCTCAATGATGTGCGCATACGTAGAGACATATGAACGAAACACCAAATCACGATAAACTATCTATTTCAAACTCGCTAGCCACCAATGTACGTAGCATAACAGTGCCCATTCCAGTATACATATATATAATTCAGTGGGAAAACCAGGCAGTGCGAAAAGCAGGCACGGTAGTTTCTCCACCGGTTGAATCATACCCAGAAAACCAAACCCACTGACGTCACGTGCGCATGTGCACTCGACTTTCGGTTTGTGGAAGCGAATGGAAATATATTTTGCGTGTCTTTCCACGAAACCTAGCAGCAAACCGGTTTTATGACGTTTAAGACTACTATATTAAAATATCAAACTGTATCATCTAACGTATAATCACATAAGTATAATGTTTTGTACAGATTACTTTAAGGGAGTATTCTAGTATCGCAGGTAAAAAAAATTTTTATTTTTTTGCATATTTATATAGTTTGGGGTCTTAAAAATGTGTCCATAAAATATTAAGGTAAAATTCGTAAAATTGACCGAGCTATAAAGATTTAAAGGGCGCAGCTAAAGAGAACACGACTACAGTATTCTTAACTTCTTTTCGATTTTTTCTGCCATCAGTGCGCTTGTTATTTGTGAAAAATGTACAAAAACATAACATTAACTTTTTGACCTACAACCACGAGTGAAACTAAGCAATAAGCACGAATCTGACTCGTGGTACTTCGTTCGGACCAAATGTAAACAAGACGAGCCTGGCTCGTGGCGTGTCATTCGGGACAAACGAGAACAACACGTGGCGTTCGGCGCCACGAGTCTGACTCGTGGCGCCGAAATATACATGTCATAAGAAGCATACATTTTGCGTAAGTTCGGACACACGGCTGAGCAACTGAATGGCTCGACGCGCGACCGATCTTCCTGTTTACTATGGCCCGAGCAATCGGGAGAAAGCGTGTAGGTCAAGGGGTTAATGCCCATTTCCACCAATGTAGATTAACTTTAATTTCGGTTCAACGTACTCTTCATCTTTTTCTAGTTCTAAGAATTAGAAAAAGGTGAAGAGTAAGTTGAACCGAGATTAAAGTTAATCTACGTTAGTGGAATCGGGCATTAGTGAAGCAAGTTCCCGTGGATTGGGATTCACCTGGTATAGGCGATTAAAAGTAAGTTACTGAAATTATTCATTATCCACATCGGAACTGCATGCAAAACTTTAAACGCGTTTTTCTCGAAACAATATTTTTCAAATCGGGCGTGAATTTTTCTCAAAAACTACTGAACCGATCGACTTGTAGTTTTGCACACATATAGGCTGAGTTCCACTTGGTGATCGCAACGCTCGTGAACATTATCTATCTTTCTTTAACTTTCGATGAAAAACAAAGATAAAATGATTCCACAAGCGTTGCGATCGCCAAGTAGAACGTACCTATAGTGTACATATTAGGCTATCGTTCCAGCCTCCGTCATTTTGATCTCTTTAAAATTACTATTTTTCCGGGCCGCAAAAAGTGAAAATTTTTTAGTAAAAATCAGAGTACTTTTTTTCAAGCGCCGCCATTTTGTCAATTTTTATTCAAATTATTTATTCGAGGGACGAACGATAACCACATTCGTAAGGAATAAAATAAAAAAAAATTTGTTTATTTCAAATGACGAGGACGGCAGCAATGGTCACGCCCGATAAGAAAGATTTTTTGCGACATGACCTGTGCGTCTACCTATATCTTATAAAATTTTTAATAAAAGGCTTTGAAAAAATTTGAGATGTTACTAGAAATATGAATAAATGTGAATACAAAACTTGAGCTCTGTAGGTTTAATCATTTTTATAAAATTAATTCCCAAAAATTGCCTTGAAAACTAGTGTGTTCACACTAGAATACCCCCTTAATGTTTGATAAGACAATCACAAACATTTTTTAAATAAAAACATATTTTTTTATTTTTAATTAATTCTTCCCGTAAGTCTTCAAAATATTTTGCGTGAAATAATTGAAAAGAAAATATTTTTAAATACATTTTATGTATTTAATTTATGGAAGCCGAACGCACACGAACATATGATGTCAACGAGGTTCGGGGGTTTCTGGGTGTGATTCAACTGGTGGGAAAACTGGCATGAATGGATAAAACCGTGATCGTTGTTGCATCTACAGTCAGTCCGTTTGAACAGTTCACACGATTCGAAGCGATAGGATAAAAATCTCTCCAAGTGACTTTTGATCATTCCGATAGTTGAATTTTGCGCTCTCTTGAAAGCTCACGCAAATCGTTGCACCTCCTACTCAGCGCCGTCGAGATAAGCTCTGGATTTTTTAAAGGTTTAGTTTTAATAAGTATAATTTTTCTTGTGATATCAATATTTAAGTTGACCAGATAAGAATTTGAGCATCACGTTTTTTCTCCTTTCTTTACTTTATTGTATATCAATTACAGTTTTTATTTTATTTTATAATAATAATTATAAGAATAATGAAAATATTATAAGCAGTACGTAGTGTATCATTTTTGCGCGTACACTGTGGTGCGTATTGCGGTTTTCATGGTATGAAAATAAGTAAAACAAACTGTGTCGACCGCGATTTTTAGCTATTCAATAAAAAAGTAAAAAAGGAAGATGACATGGGAATTTGCGATATTATTATTGCCGTAATACGATGAAACAAGCTATACTTGTTAGAGTTAGTCCACTAAACGTGATTTTGATTCAAAATTCGGATCCTCTTCGATGATTTCAAATATAATATAAAAATGCTTTACGACAAAAGTGGAAGACGTTGAATTAAAATGACAAACGAGCACAGCAGCAAAAGAACAAGTCAGATTCTTATAGAATGTTTTTTTCTTTTTCTAACAGTTTATTTGCATTTTTCAGATTTATCTGAAGATGGCCTCATCAATATCCCCCCAAAAGCCTTTATCAATATCCGACTGGTTCGCGAATAAAAATGTTCTTATCACCGGAGGTACTGGATTTATGGGCAAGATCCTAATTTTCAAACTACTTCTGACGTGCCCCGCCATCGGCGATATCTTTTTAGTGATCAGAAAGAAAAAAGGCGTCGATTCGCAAACGAGGTTGCATCTCATACTGCAGGTATTGCAATAAGCTCGAATTTTTATACATTTATCAGAAGGAAAATGAGAATGCATAACAAGAAATGGCTATTTTGAGATAAGAAATTTTCAAATTATTTTGTCTCTGACAGACTTTCATCGAAGAGTAAAGAAGTTTATTAAGAACTCTTATCCTTAACCCAATGAGCACAAAATTGACGAATGTTTCTGATGTCTCATTGTAATCCGTCTAATCCGTCTAATCCGTCCTAACCTAATCGGCGTTTAAAAATTGTAGTAAAATTATGTAACAGCACTTCATTATTTGCATTATTGATGTGAATAAAAAAACTAATGAAGCGGAACTGTGCTAGACGGTTATTACTATCATTGTTATTTTTATTAATGATACGAATCTTGAATACAAGCTGATTTACATATAAGCGCAATAAAATAACCAACAATAACTAACATTTATTGAATATTACAAATTATTACGTATTTAATATTGCTATTTTATTCGTGTCAATTTCACTCAAAACAGATTTTATTTTCTTGCTGAAGAATTATTTAAAGTTTATTTCTTTGACTTTCATGATTTTTTTTGTTAGTGTAAGATCTTTTTTATATAGAGTAACATTTAAATATTAAATTGTAAATTAAATTAAGCTGAGCTTTGATTCTCGTGATTGCTATAAATATTCTTTACTTGTCTACACCAATTGCATTGATTTCGAAACTGATTTGCTTAATGAAGATTGTACTTGCAGCAAGAGCCATTTAGAATTCTCAGAGAACAACACCCAGAACGACTGAAGAAGCTAATAGTGATAATCGGTGATACAACCGTGGAGGGACTCTCACTGTCTGCCGCGGACAACGAACGCGTCACGAGCCGAGTTTCTGTCGTTTTTCACATGGCAGCTAATGTCAGATTCGACCTGTCACTGAAAACCGCTGTCAAAACAAACACTATAAGCACTGTTAATGTAGTCACACTAGCGAAACAGGTAAATCCTCGCGATATAAATTTAAACTTTTAATATGATTTTCTAAATAAAATTCTTGTCATTATTAAACATATAATTAGACTTTTTCAAAAATTTTTATTGTTACATATTTACTTATTTATGCCTGTTTCACATATATAAGTTTAATAAATGTTTTGGATAATAAATTTTGTTAATAAGATATTTATTAATTATTAATTATTATAAAGAGCTTTACTTGAACATATAATAAAATATAGTAAAATAAATTGTGTTTTTTAGATGCCTCTGTTGGAATCATTTATTCACATTTCAACATCTTTTTGCCAATGCGGAGAATCGATATTGGAAGAACGTGCTTATCGAACTAGGATCTCGCCAGAAAATGTTATTTATATGGTCAATACAATGTCGGAACAAGAATTGGAGTTAATGAAACCACAATTGTTGGGCGATCAACCGAACACATACGCCTACAGTAAGGCACTCAGTGAAGACTTTGTGTCGAGATGTGGCCTACCTGTAGGCATCATTCGTCCGTCGATAGGTAAGAACTCTTCTTTAAATATAAAATTTGTTACTGGCGACATTTTATAAAAAAAAATAATTAAACATGCAGATTAATGTTACAATAACGTTCTAAATTACGTAAATTACGAAAAAGAAACATTTTATCAATTTTCTAATTTCATTTTTTAAATTAAAAATAAAACTAAATAAAATAATTTTATTTAATATTTTTTATGAATCAATGTTTTGGTTGTACTACTAACAAGCTTATATATCGCAATATACATTATATAATAATATTATCAATGATATCACTAACAATCTGTTTGTTTTCAGTGACAGCATCTTGGAAAGAACCGGTACCTGGCTGGGTGGACAACATAAATGGCCCGACTGGATTAATGATCGGTGCCGGAAAGGGAGTCATACGATCCATGCTCTGCAATGTCAATTACTTGGCCGATTTAGTACCATGCGATATGGCTGTAAACGCAACGATTGCTCTGTCATGGCAAGTCGGATCGGAGAAGTCTGCCAAACCGTTGTTCTTAAACGCCACGGCAAATCACGAGAATCAGATTAGCTGGGGCGATAGTTTAGAAATTGGAAAGAAACACGCGTTTGCAAATCCCTTCTCACGTAAGAAATATTTTTTCGAACTCTTCTATAAAAATATGACATGCATATAAATTTTTAATGTGATGTTTTTTTAGAACCACTTTGGTATCCTGGTGGAAGAATGACTTCTTCAAAGATTCTACATTGGCTTGCCGTCATATTTACGCATATCATACCCGCTTATCTATTAGATACTCTACTTATTCTCACCAAGAATAAGCCTTTCCTGGTGAAAGTGCAAAGTAGAGTAAACACCGGATTAAAATTGCTTCAATATTATACCATGAAGCAATGGGTCTTTCGGTAAGAAGTAGAATTCATTAAAATATATTAATATTTATTAAGCGACTCAATAACCTTTTATATATTTCGTTAACGCATCAATTTAAATTCATTAAAATAACTTAAGAGTCAGATGATTTAATAACTCGCTTTGCAGCAACGACAATCTGTTCGACTTACAACATCGACTGTGCCCGTCGGATAGAAAAACATTCTTCATGGACACGAAGCTTGTCTGTTGGAATGATTATATGTTGGCGTATATTTTAGGTATACGACAATACTATTTAAAAGACGATCCTTCAACGCTGCCTCGCGCGAGGAAGGTCTTCATGTATCTATACTTCGCTGATTGTTTGCTCAAAATAATGCTTGGCATTTTTGTTGTCTATTGTATCTATTACATGATAAGTGCCCTTGTGTAGAAATTTTTACAAATTTTTACGTAATATATACGACTTTTTTATGATTGTATCGAACTGTAATTGAATATGATTATACAGAAAGAAATTAATTTTTGGATCTTTAATCTTTATTGCAAAATGTTGCTAAATATTTCATATAAATTAACAGAAGCCAATTTTCAGAAAGTATTTATTTTATGTTTAGTTCAACATGATTGCAATAGATTTTTATCTCTAATGTTGTTTAAAATTTATGTTTGAAGTTAGTTTCTTTTTGTATAGCTACTTTCGATTGAACTTATATTTTACGCTAATAACGTTAGGTAAATAACGTCGATTATGTACTAATGTATAATTTATCAATCAACGAATGTGCCAATATTTGCGATTTCTATTATGTCTTATGTATTATAACATCGTAATACCATATTAACAAAAATTAAAGATTTTACTACTAAGGTGCTTTGATGTTTCACTGATTTTACACTTTCACAGCTTGATACAAATTCACTGAAACGTTTCGAATCGAGCGAACCTTGAATGAATTATATCCGTCTGTAGCGATTTGTTTTTCCGCATTTAAGTAAGTGCTGTTTCAAAACTGTTTGAGGAAAGTAGTCCACTTTTCCCTCTCGTCTGATGATCGTTATTAAAACTACTCTGGCGTAAGACAAAAATTAGACACAACTGGTAACAATGTAGTTTTCCACCAAGAGACACAAGCGACACAAAAGTATTATTCTCTCTATTGCTCATTGAATATCGAACAAAGACAGAGTGATACTTGTGTCGATTTGTGTCAACTTGTGTCCTTTGCTGGAAAACATACAATGTAATGAAGATTTAATGAGTCTTGTGATACAGCCCGAGATACTTTCTCCGAGTTGAAACAAGTATTAAAGGAAAGTGCGCGTGCTTTGGGCATAAAACATGAAAATAATCAAAAATTTTGGTCACCTTTTATTCAAGCAGAGCTGCCAGATTGAAGACCCGAGCAACGAGCCACCGAACGCAGGCATACACAATCGAGAATAGTGACATACATGGCTGCGCAAAGCGCTTTGCGCAGCACGTTAAGCAGTAAATGGAAGCTGCATAATTCAACTTCGAGCTCGGCGAAATATTAATTAATGGTAATACTAAAAATAAGTGATGCACAATTAACGCCTCAAGTATTTAATTACTTAAGGGCAATAGAATTATAATTAAATATGGTGCGAAGTAGCGACAAGTAAGTAGTCTTTTGCATTTTGTATTTTTAAGGTTATGTTGGTAATTTAGTTAAATTTTGATTTCATCGTTGATTTAATCATTACGAATAAATGTTCATTTAGGGACAGGCATCATCGACGAAGGTCAAGATCGAGATCTAGATCCCGATCGGCCGAACCTGAAAAGAAACGACGACGATCGAGAAGCAGAGATCGTGAAAGGGACCGAGACAAGGGTCGACATAGAGAACGAAGAAGTCGTTCACGAGACAGAGATAGAGACAGGAGCGACAGAAGGGAGCGTTCTGAAAGGGACAGAGACCGGGAAAGAAAACGGTATACCTCTTTAAAGAGTTGCAGTATCTTAATCTGTAACAATTGTTCATGACACTTATTTTCCTCTTTAGTCACAAATATATCCAAGTTGTTTTTGATAATCATGACAATGAAATAATTTGTTGACATTGATTGTTCTCGGTATACTAGTGGAGACAGTAAAGAAAAGCGTCTTACAGGCTCAAAGTCTTCGCGCTCCGGCAAAGAACGATCAAACAGGTCTCGGTCACGCGATAGAAAAGATAAAGAGAAAGGCGACAGTGAAGAGTTGCCTTTTGATCATACAAAGTTAGATAAGGTAAGTTTTTAAAGATTATGCGAAGAAAAGAAATTGGTGTATGGTATGATTAATATTGCAGGAAGAAGAGCAAAAGAGACTAGAATTGGAAATGCAAAAAAGAAGGGAGAGGATAGAAAGATGGCGAGCAGAGAGGAAGAAGAAAGAACTGGAAGCAACAAAAAAAGACGGTAAGACATCTATTTTGGCAAATCTTCAGCTACCCATGAAAAAGTGGTCCCTTGAGGATGATAGTGATGAAGAGACTCCTGTGGTACAGAATAACAGCAAGGAGGCAAAAGAAGAAGGTGTAAAAGAAGAAGTTGAAGAAATAAAGGAAGAAGTAAAAAATGAAGAAGAAATTGATCCACTTGATGCTTTTATGGCAGAGGTAAGTATTGTGGAAATTTATACGTAATCTAATTTTATATAGACTTTCAATATATCTGACACAATAGGTTCAAGAAGAAGTAAGGAAAGTGAATAAATTTGACAGCAAAGCTCCGAAAAGTGCCAATAATGGCACTAATTCTGGAGCACAAAGTGGTGGCGTAGTCATTGTGACTGGTGTGGCTAAGAAAAAAGTTCAGAAACAAAAAGGAGAATTGATTGAGCAAAATCAAGACGGCTTGGAGTATTCCAGCGAAGAAGAGGGCGAAAATCTTCATGAAACTGCGGCTGGTATAGCGAACAAGCAGAAGCGAGAATTGGCCAAAGTTGATCACGCTACAACAGATTATCAACCATTCCGAAAATCTTTCTATGTTGAAGTTCCCGAAATTGGTATGGCGCTCTTCACTTTTTTATGTCGTACATTTTTTTATCATGTAAATAAATATACTGTTAAATATACTTACAGCAAGGATGACGCCAGAAGAAGTAGAGGCGTACAAAGAAGAATTAGAAGGTATTCGTGTGAAAGGCAAAGGATGTCCAAAACCTATAAAATCTTGGGCACAATGCGGTGTGACTAAAAAAGAATTAGAAGTATTGAAAAAACTTGGTTATGAGAAACCAACGCCTATTCAATGCCAGGCGATTCCGGCGATTATGTCTGGTCGTGATCTTATAGGTATCGCAAAAACTGGAAGCGGAAAAACGTTAGCTTTTTTGTTACCAATGTTTCGTCATATACTCGATCAGCCACCGCTAGCTGATGGAGACGGACCAATTGCACTGATCATGACACCGACTAGAGAATTGTGCATGCAAATCGGTAGGGATTCGAAGAAATTCACGAAGTCACTGGGTCTTTCCCATGTGTGTGTTTATGGTGGAACCGGAATTTCCGAACAGATAGCAGAACTTAAAAGAGGAGCCGAGATTATCGTGTGCACACCAGGAAGAATGATCGATATGCTCGCCGCTAACAGCGGACGAGTGACCAATTTACGTCGAGTGACGTATGTGGTGCTCGACGAAGCCGATAGGATGTTTGACATGGGTTTTGAGCCGCAAGTGATGCGTATTATGGAGAACGTAAGACCGGACCGACAGACGGTGCTGTTCAGCGCGACATTTCCTCGACAGATGGAGGCGTTAGCCAGGAGAATACTCACCAGACCGGTCGAAGTGCAGGTCGGCGGACGTTCTGTTGTTTGTAAGGACGTCGAGCAACATGTTGTTGTGCTCGAGGAAGATCAAAAGTTCTACAAACTGCTCGAGATTCTTGGGCATTACCAGGATAAAGGCTCCACCATTATATTTGTGGACAAACAGGAAAACGCAGATACATTGTTAAAGGATCTTATGAAAGCCTCGTACTCGTGCATGTCTCTTCATGGTGGTATTGACCAATGCGACAGAGATTCGACCATATTGGACTTCAAAGCCGGACGAACGAAATTGCTCGTGGCTACATCTGTCGCTGCTAGAGGCTTGGATGTCAAACACTTGGTATTGGTCATCAATTATGATTGTCCTAATCATTATGAGGATTACGTACACAGATGCGGTAGAACTGGTCGTGCTGGAAATAAAGGGTAAGATAAATTTTAGTCTTAATAATACAAAATATTTTTTTACAAATTAATTATATTACATTTTTTTTTTCAGATATGCGTATACCTTTATCACGTCAGAACAGGAACGTTACGCCGGCGATATTCTACGTGCGCACGAATTAGCGGGTGTACCCGTGCCGGAACCGTTGCGTCAGTTGTGGGAGGGCTACAAAGCTCGCCAAGCCGCAGACGGAAAGAAAGTCCATACCGGAGGTGGTTTCAGCGGGAAAGGTTTTAAGTTTGACGAATCGGAAGCCGCTTTGGCGAACGAGAAAAAGAAATTCCAGAAGGCAGCTCTAGGACTGCAAGACTCTGACGATGAGGACATAGAGAACGATATCGACCAACAGATCGAGAGTATGCTGGCGCCTAAGCGAACAGTTCGCGAGATAGCCAGGCCGACCGCAACGAGTATTACGGTGCCCGGGCAACCAGTGCCTAGCGCCACTGATAAGTTGGAATTGGCTAGGAGATTGGCGTCAAAGATCAACATTGCGAAAAATTTGGGCGCCGAGGCGAAAGGCGCCACTCAGCAAGCGGCGGAAGCCATACTCAAGGGTGCGGGACCTACGAATCTTATTACGGTAAGAATTTTTCTTCAAATATTACTGCGGTGTATAATTACAGTCATTTAAATAAATAAATAAATAACACTTATTTCTCTGCGCGCAGGCAAAAACAGTCGCTGAACAATTGGCGGCCAAACTGAATACAAAATTGAATTATCAGCCGCGCGAGGAGGATCTCGTGGAGAGCGACGCAGAGACGGGCGAGCAAACATTCCGCAAGTACGAGGAGGAACTTGAGATCAACGATTTTCCGCAACAAGCTAGATGGCGGGTCACGAGTAAGGAGGCTCTAGCTCAGATATCAGAATACTCTGAGGCTGGTCTTACAGTACGTGGAACATACATTGCACCTGGGAAGACACCACCGGAAGGCGAAAGGAAGTTATACCTGGCGATAGAATCAACGAGCGAATTAGCGGTCAGCAAAGCGAAGGCGGAAGTGTCACGACTTATCAAGGAGGAGCTCATCAAACTGCAGGCGTCCGGCGCTCACACCGCGTCACGTGGTCGCTACAAAGTTTTGTAAAATTTACATGGTATCATATACGGATGTAGACGATGAAGGTTAGAAATTTATTATACATATAAACAAAGAGTTGGTATTTGTTTATATTTAACAGTACAATAACAAAATACTTAACGATTATGGGAGCATTATCCATATCATTGGCACGAACCACTGCGGGCGATCCAAATTTCACAGATTTACAAATAATATGCAAACACCCGCATTTTCTTTTAATGGGTTCTTTCAGTTTATTTATTCGTCATGTAAAATATGAAGATTTGGAACACTCAGCAGCGTAAAACCGTACCTACACAGCGTGTGCCAGAAAAATATTCAATTTATAAAGAGTTTTTGATAGTTTTGATTATCTTTTAACGGAAAATTCAGTAACGAAATTATCTTAAACTTATTGGGTTTTTTTTTCAAGACACGCTGTGTAAAAGTCACATATGCGAACACACAATATACCGATACGTCGATCAATACGTGGATGAACTGATATAACTTAAATTTAAGGACTCTTCTTATTTACAACTTACAATGAGCAGTTCTCGATTACCCGTGACATTTTTGCACGTGATGAATCCTACATCTTTTGTACATTCGCTCTCGATATATATTCTTTTTTTTTTTCTCTTTGGCAATATTAATCGATAACTAAAAATACATCCTATGCTGCTGTATGCTATTAGAAGGCACTAGAAAAATCACAGACATGAGACACGCTGTAGACATTCGCCGTCGCGAATGGCGTCGCGATTAGGTAAAGAAATGCTTGCGGCACCACGAACGGAAAAGAAAACGAGATTCATCGCTTAGGACTGTAATTTTCGATTCGAATTCATAATAATGAATTCGGATACTTCCACGCGATCAGTTAAAATATTTCAGAATCGTACTGGACAAGATAAGCGATGTATCTCATTTTCCTCTTGATGTAAGTGTATTCATGAAGTTAGCACGCAGATAGTAATGATAAGCGTCGTGAGACAAGCTCGAATTTCCATGGCACTAGAAACATAACCATGAGCCACTTCAGCCCTCGTCAGCGAACCAAGCGGAACCTCCGCCACGATTCTGGGACTCCTCTCCGAAATCCTGATCACGAGCTTCTCCGTCTCTGTCACGCAAGCTCGCAGTTGCAACGCCGATGGCTTTTTAGTAATCGGCTGAACGACGATGAAAACATCGCGATCAGGCGTTATCATGCCGCGAACAGCGCATTGTGCCACTTGCAATTGACGACCTAGAGCGACCAGAAGAGTTTCTAAGGTGACGGAATCCTTGTCGGCTTCCTCATCCATCATATAATAGATTCTGTCCAACTGCAAGAGGGAAGACAAATATTCTGAGGAAACCATAAACATTTCAACGCTCCAAAAATTTATGAATTGATTAAAATTATAATTTATTAATATATTAATTAATGTATAAACTAATGTTTAAACTACATCTAAAGACTATCGTATTCGAAAGTCATTTTAATGAATCGATTATAAACTTAATTATAATTATTATAATTTATAAAAAATGTTTTTTCTAAATGTTTATTTTTTGAGAAGCAGAAATGATTTAAAAATGATATTAATAACTTGTATGAGGACACTTTCCCCATTTTCGATTTTTTGTAACGAGGATTCCAAACGTCCAGAAGACAAAAAGAATACTTCGACAAAAAATGGAAGAATGGAAAAGAAGTACAAAGTACCCACCTGTTTCTTCGAATAAAACAATCTCGCCGCTCCTGCGCAAACGGGACAACAGGCGCCTGGAGGAGTGACTCCGATGCAGTACGGTTCCACCAAGGCAGGACACTGAACAGCATCGCCGCAGCTAGGTTTTGCCTGTTCCTCTATGAGGCCCACGGCGACGCAAGGACCTTTGTAATCCACGACGGTCCTTTCGGCCCAGGCCGCGCATTCGTTATCGTAGACCTCGCCGTTGATGCCGCACACCGGACCTCGTAGACTGCACCCCTTCAGACAAGGTCCCCTGTAGTTCAAGCTGGCCCCGGCTCGGATCATAGCGCAGACGGAGGCATACTGACGATTCTCCCGGTCGCAAACCGGTCCGCTGGACTCCTCGCGCGGACTGCAGTCTATTGGCACGCACTCGTACTGCCGGCAAGGCTTGTGCAAGCGCGACAAGCAGACTCTGGGCCTGCGGACACACTTTTCCGCGCTGTCGCAGGGATGCGGCACGCAGGGATCGCGACTGGAGCAGCTGCCGAACTCCACCTCGGTCGCCGACAGCTCGGCGCACTTCGCCAGACAAGCGGACGCGAAGGTGAAGCCCAATCTGCCGCAAACCGGAACGTAATGGGCCGGGCAATCGCAGGGCAAGGACAGCGCGCGCTGCTCGCCGCAGCTTCTCTTGGAGCATGTAAACTCGCCCTCGTAACAATGGCAGAGATTGCACTCGAGGTAGAAGCTTTCCTTGTGCTGGATGAAACGGTTGTGCACCCAGCAGGACTTGAAATTGAAGCAATTGAGCACACGACACTTCTCTAAACCGTGCAGCGTGCACTGGCAGATCTTCAAGCACCCCTGCTGATCATACCGCGGGATCTGGACCCAGGAGCCGACCGGGACCAGTTGCTTTGACATCTCGCCGAGGGAGCAAGCCGGTAGACAACGATAGATCTTGGCGCCGTTCGGCTGAAGCACGCAGATCTGGCCCTGTGGACAGGGATTCCGCTTGCACGGCGTCGTGATATCCTCTTCGGGATGTGTCACGACCCCCGGCGGATCATCCAGGAAAGGCCTCAATGAAACGCACGGCGTATCCGGTCTGCCCGGTGACAGCTTAGCGCACAGAGTAGCCGCTGTGTGGGGTCCGGTGATCGCGCTCCAATCGACACAACTTGCCATCAGTTCCAAGCAATCTTCGCGGCAGAGTCGCGTCTCGTGGATTCTGGTCTCGCAAGGTCGCAATTGCAGAAGGCAGGCCGCCGCGCGCAGAGTCTTCACCGGACAAGAAGCAGCTGCGCGCACGGGCACGCTTAAGCCGCGAATGATGCCGCCTCTGGACCAATGATCGGCCTCCCACTTGGCTGCCTCGTCGGCCGTGGCCGTGCATGTTCTGGTGAGAATTTAATATTTAATTGTGAGACGAAGCAGAAAAGTTGTTTTTTTTTTTAAATTTACCGAGAAGCATTATTCGAGACTAATTAATTTTATTTTGTTCCAGATCACGGAACTTCAGCTTATTTAATTCGAGCAATTGATGCAACCAAGTATTTTGTACCTGAACAAAGTGGTGGACCTATCGTTAAACCGCGCGCAGTAAGACAAACCGGAACAGCCCATCTCGCAGGGATCATCCGCGTCCTCGAGGCACCTTCTTAGCTCACCCTCCGAGCTCGACGAGAGACACTGCGTGTCCAACTGTGCCCAGGCGGTTTCCCAGTCAGCCTGAAAGGCACGCCAGCACAAAGTTTGACAGGAAGATCTCGCAGCTTTCGTGCAGCACGCCAGCTTGCCAGCATCCAACGGCACACGCGCCGGTTTCGTCGAGCTCGACTTCAATAGGCAGCTCCACATCGGCGACTGCGGCAACACGGGACTGCATTTCTCCGTCAGGGCGTCCATGATCTCCTGGTCGGTGGTCGCGGTATGTAGAGTCTTGCGACATGTCTCTAGACAGGCCGGAGTCGTGGCTTCGTTGCAACAATGTAAATCTGTAGAATTTGTTCAATTTGATATGGAATCATAGATGACGAATCGATTGATTAAAAAATATTGATATATGATTCAATTTTCTTGTTAAATGAAAATATTTTTCTTTTAGTTGTCAATTAAACTTTAAATTCTTCAATATTTAACGCGAAAATTATATCGCTGAAAAATCTGATGAAATCATTAACTGAATAAATAATAGCGTTTCTTTATAAATAATATATAAAAACTTGACTTATAATAACGCAATATTTTAAATTGCTATTATATAATTAATCACTTTACAGATTATAATTTATATACTTTATATTACTTCATATAACTACAGAAAATCAAATTTAATAATTATTTATAAATCGATTCATATTTTGAATTTGATTTTGATTATAGATAATTGATAACTGACGTTGCTTCGGATCTTCGGCGTGTTTAACTTCGGCCACGCTCTTCAGACATTTGGGAATCTGATGGAAGCATCCCTTGCTGCTGTACAATTTCAAACTGGACTGCTTGCCGGGCTTGTAAAAGATATCCTTGCAGATAGTTCTGCAAGTGTCGTTGGAGACAGTGCTGCAGCATCGCTCGGCCTCCTCGCGCTTCTCCAGGCAGAAGAAAAACTCGGGCTCGTCGCTCGGTCGGCAGTCTCCATTCAGATCATCCGTGGAACCCGAGACGGCGCAGGTCGTGCGACACCTGGGATTCTGCGCGAGACGGCAGCATCCTCGGCCGATCCAATCTTCGTTTCTCGTGAGATCTATAAAAATTCAAATGACTCGGTATTCAAAGGCGACGTTACCGCGCGACGACGCGACGAGACACTTACTGTTCAACGTCGAGTTCACACAAGTCCAAAAGTTTACCTGGAAAAAAAGATTCGAGTGTGAGAGAAGATAGTCATAAAAAAAAAAATGATAAAGGAAGTGCCACAATCGACCGATCGACCGCGAGATCCCGAGATCATTTTTCATAAAACAGCGGGTGAAAAAAACGCGGATCGCATTGCAGACATCCTGGATCGTTTAAGGTGCCCATTGTGCGGGGGGCTTCCGATCCAGATTCGAGTTGAATGAATGGAACAAGCGGGCGTCGATTGCGTGGGACTAAAATCTTCGAAGTGAATCGAAGTAAATCGCGGCAAGACTCACCAACTCCATAGAACAAAACTCCAGCAGCCGTTGCGTGGCGTTTTCCCTTGCTTCAATATCGGCACCCATAACCACCAAGGATATCTGAAACGACAAAATTGTCATAAAAACGAAACGTAAGTTGTGATAAAATTATTTTACAAAATCATAAAATTACGAAAAAAAAAAAAGATTTTAAATATGTTGAGAGATAAAAATGATTTCCAGACGTCGCATTTCGAAGATCTAAAATCACTTCGAGAGGAAGATACAAATAGCAATAAAGTCGCAAGAAAGAAGCTCGTTGCATAAATGTAAATGATTTCAACGGATTCCAATTCCGGCGTCAATTCCTTCAATGCTTCATTGCCTCGCCATCGAGCGTCGAGGACTTTCCAAATTCAAAATGCGAAGTGGCGCATTAGTGGCTATTAAGAATCAAGGACACGAATGCAACGCGCGGGCCCCGCGATTTCCTGTTGCTCGTCACTGAATGACAATCATCCACGTAGCCAGATATCGGCCGTACATTCGTTCGCTTAATCCTCATTCCGGATTCAATCGGTGTCCTGCGTGAGGACACGCCGGGATCCACTCAGTATGTCCATCACGGTCGGGAGTTACGACCATCCATCAACATGCGGTGGGTCCTGACGGGCTGTGGCGATGGGCTCAGTCAAAGGTCGTATTCGACTACGGAACGTAAATTATCGATCACCCAGTCGTATTCTCAAAATAACAATTTTTAAAGCTGTTTTATACTTTGACCACGATGATAAATTAATATTGCATTCTTTTTATCAAACAAAGAACGCACACTGCTAAATGTGTTAAAAACACACACTTAATAATTTGAAAATTTTTTACCATTTATATTTTATATATTTAGCACTTTTTTTTTTAATTTTTTCTCCGTAGAATAATGGGATTTATTTTGTGCATGCAATAATTTAACAATCGCGATCGACACTCCCAGAGTATTTCTGCCAAGTTAGACCTGTTAAATGTTAGAGGCGAGTGATGGGGAGTTGTGAAAACGATGTACGTATTTCCGTCGCGGTATATTCTGGGAGGTATGCGCAGCCGGGCCTCGTCGCCATGTAGAAAGGGGATGCATTTTCCACTGACAAATTTTTTTTTGCAACAGCAAAGAAAATTTTGACATATAATGACAAATTTCTATATATCGCTAAATACAAAAGTTTAATAAAGTATACAATTTTCGGATAATCTTTCAGATAAAATGCGGGACCATTAAAAAATAATTCTACCGTCTCTCTATTTTTAATATCGACGCGCGGAAATATTATCATTCGCAAAAATCTGAAATAAACGCTACTTCAAAGCTCATATGTTCTGGAACAAATAAATCAACCTCGACGACCGCCGGTCCAAAGCCGAGATCAAAAGATACCGAAATAGAGCCGCAAGCTTTCATAATTTGCCCAGCGCTCGCATTTGCCGAACTCCCAAACGATGCCGCAAACGACTGCGAGGTGTCGGTCGACTAATTAAATCGGTAGTCAGCTGCAATTCTTTCCAAATTGACGTAATAAACCATTGCATTTTTTTCATAGAAACCATAAATGACATTACCACGTTTTTAAATGTTTTATATTTTTTTAGGCATAGTAAAGAATTTTAAAAATATAGAATTTATTGCCCTCAACGCAAGAGAAAAGTGATGCGATTAAGAAAAGAAGAAAAAGGAGAAGCTCAAAGATTCGCTATATAAATATAATAAATATATTGCTCTGGTCTAAACGAAAAAAAGAAGAAAAAATCCCGTGTCTTCGAGGAAGAAACATCTTTACTGTTTACTTTAGAAAACCCATCACATAATTCAGAGTTTCCATCATGATTTCCGGTTATTTCGCTGTGAGATAACCGAGAATGAAGCGCTCATCAGTAGTCAGACAAGGCGATCTCGAGAGACTCTCTCAAAGTTTACTTGCATCTCAGGTTATTATTTCATATTACACATCTCAAACTTTTTAATATTATAAATTATATTAAATATATACATATAATTTATACAAAATATAAAATTACACCTACAACAAATTATGCTAACTTTTATACAAAGTTGTATGGAAGATTATGCTGGACTTTTGTACAAAACTTCATTATTCTGACGAATAATTTTATTCTCGATTTATTCATTCGAAACTTTGAAATATATTGACATTGAGAATAAATTCATGTTGCAGCCTCCGCGACTCCCGGCAATAAAATATCCCTGGATGAGATCCTTATACGTGATTCTACAATCAGAAATCAACAAAAGCGCACCCAAGGTACATCCCTCTCCTTCGCATAAACTGCGCGGAGACACGATATCGTTGATAAGGCGTGGTACATGCACCGTGTTCAACGCGTCAATTCGTAATATTTGCGTATGAATGAACCCACGGGACGCCTCCGGAGGGGCCACGCGTAAATCTCGCAGCGGGTCCCCGGTGTCTCCGATATTATCTCGGAAGAGAGGGGGTCCCCGCAGTCACCTCTAAAGAAGCTGCGGCGAGACGCACCACCCCACGTCGTGAAACCCTCATCGAAGGCAGCAACAAGGTATCCTTCTTTTTCTTCCCCTTTTTTTTTCACCTATCCATTTCCTTTCTCTCGCTCTCTCTCTTTCTCTCTGCTATTCCCTTTTTATTTCCCGGATCCTAATATATCCGCGGACACGACATATTTCGTGTCCTTTATCGTCCCGGGGTCGGTTCACGGATATTTATCAGCCGCGCGATATCGCATTCGTTCCCGGCAAATAATTACGTCGGCGAGATTTGTCTTTTTGAAATTCCCACGAGGCTTCTTGCCGCGTATAATTAATAGATTGTGTATTCCGCGGCTCGTCGGAACGCGCGGCCGAACGATTAATTTCTTATCGTGAACGAAAAAAAAAAAAACGTATCTTTACAGATATCTCGAATTTTACGAATTGCTCGTTGTTGCGAACACTCTTGTCTTGATGCGAGAGTATCTCAAGAAGTTTCCTCTCAAGATTTCTCAATGGAGGAACGCGAAGTGCACTACGCTATTTAAGATGCATACCTTGGAGCAGACATTCCGACAGGATCCAGCAGCCATTGAGCAACAGGACATCTCTGCGACAGAAAGAGAAAGCGGATATTAGTTTCGCACACATGGAAGATAAAGTCCGGCGGACACGTTGCCGAGAATCATTTTTCCGGCTTTCCCGCCGACACAAAACAGACGCGTGTCCTGCATTGCGTCAAATTAAGAGGGCTGAGAGGAATAGAAGGGATCCGTTTTCGAGGGTCCAGATGAGGGTACGTATGTGTCAAAACTCTACCGGCGCCACGGAAGGACCTCACATATAGAAGATTTAAACGAAAAAAAAAAGATTTGAATATTTATTTTATTTTCACTTGTATAGAATTACAACAGACCGTCTTCGTTACACATTTTGCATTTTCGAAGCGAAATCTCGTATTTATCGCCACAATGATTTATTTAAATGACGAAACCTAGATTTGCAAAACGCTCTATTTGGTGAGAAAACGAGGACAAAAGCGAAGACTTTCCGAGTAGCGAGTATTTTTCGCTGGCGGTCTTAAATATTAAAGTTTTCGTTCCGTCTAACAACTGCGGTGGCGTGCAGCCAAGGAATATTCCGTGTGTCCCCTTTCTTCCCAGCGTCTTCAATTATTAAACGGCGGAGGGGAATTGTCCAGCACGTCATTTGGATCGAACAATCGAATAAGACATCCTGCCACTCGTTCGAGCCTTCTCTTTCGTACTTAAACGACAAACTTCGACACCGATACGATTGTTTTAAGATAATTTCCAGGAATTAATTTTTCAACGCTGCTTAGACTTGTGTCGCTGGTGGCTCACGACAGTTTGTCGCCCTCACAACGCCCCGATTGTGACGTAATAATGTACACACGTACACCAGCATGCTGTTATTCTTATTTCTATATTTCTGAACGTGAACGGTTGTCAACGGCTCCTCCCATCGTGTCACGTTTGACGTGAAAGATCTTTAACGACTTTACGGGGGTTAACATGCGGGTTCGATCAAAGTGACTCGTGTGAAAGGAGGCTTTTGAATGCCGGCTGAAATCGTAAGGGCCGCCGGCGTCGACACGTTATGCACTGCGTTACAATGAAGCTAATAGATACCAATTAAAAGCAAATTGTGCTCCTCTCTCGCTTCATTTCGAGGAATTATTTGATTCCGGTTACGTATGTATATACACTCATGCAAGTGTAGAACACACTTTGTAGAGTTTCTCTCGGAATGCGTAGAAGTCAAATATGAGTGCATAAACGTGAAACTTTCTTTGAAAGTTATAAAACACTTATGAAATATTCTTTTATAAAATTACAGGACCGTTTAAACTTGACGACGCTTACAAAGAGCTATTGCCTGGAATGGAGAATATTAATCGTTTGCTTTCCTAAGCAAACAGGAGGGTGCTCGTCCCGAGAAACGTTCTCCTATTACAGAATAAATTCCGAATGTTTGACTGGATATCAGTTTCGGTCACCGACACCTGGCACTTATCCGTTTGTCACCGAGTTACTCACGTCTGTTCCAAAAATATACCAGCGACAAGATGACTTGTGAAAGGTGAATTACATTTTCCACACGACAGTTGTTGTAGATAACGCCGAGACCTACTTTTTTGTTTCTACCGTGACTTGGATCGTGAGAGGTTTTGTTTCTTTTACTCATTACGCATGGGAGGCGCATTCGCACCACCTCGTCGCCGTAAAAACTCGGGCTGGTCGTTTACGACGCCTTAATCGAGACCTCACCGCAAAGAGCCTTGACTTTTCCACGTGAAATTTGCGGCGACAAGTGCCGTCGCGCCTTTAAACGCGTCGTTTTGTGGCTCCTGTTGCGGACGACACAAAAATAGCCGGCGTCGTTCGCGGCCATCCGGCGTTTACACCGATCTAAACTGCGGAGCCCCCTTCACTTTATCCCACTCGTTACGCGCTACCCGAGAAGCCGAAAAATCCGTGACTCCGAAGAGAAACATTTGATCGACGAATGCGATTCAAATTGATTCATATATATGATTCATATATTCATATATATTCATATATTCATATATTTTTTTATTTTCCAGAGTCATGATCTCGAAATTTGTTGACAAAACGAAGAACACGAACAGGAAATTATAACACGAGAGGACTGCTAATTATATCATGCAGCAGGCTCATAAAAAAAAAAAATCGACACGATAATAGCGGTGTGCCGAGCAGAGACAAATAGCGCCTAAAGTGGACCGTTTAATTTGACTAATTTAAGATTCCACGGAGCGAGACCGGTGGCATTTTAAATGTCATTAATGCGCTTGATGAAGCGAGGGAGGGAGAAGGATGAAAGAGCTCGGAGTCCCGCGCGCTTTGGCCGTCTCTCAACATTAGCATAACAAAATAGGAAACGCAACCGCCCGCGACAATATAATACCTACGAATCCTTCTGCCAACGATCGAACGCCTCGTGTTTATTCGTTCGCTAGATTACATGTTGCGCGAGCATAATGCCGTGCCCCGGGGACACGTTGTAAATTTAATTCGACGTTTTCTCTTGCGGCTTTGTTTCTTTTTTTTTTCTTTCTTCAAATGCTATTCTGCAGGTACGTCGAATGCGTCTAATGCACACTCGCGCTCGTGCGCACGCAGCGATAATGACAGATTCCATCTGCAGTAAATCCTGGCCGCGTCTAAAACACAAGGTGCACACGACTGTGCGTAGTAGCATAGGCTAAAGCCTATCTCTAACGGAAACCTCGGGGACGACGGAATATTTTTGTACATATTAATCGCGCCGGAGTAATAAATTATGATCGCCGAGTGTGGACCACCCTGATCGCCCGCCTGATTAAGCGCGCGCATTAATATCAATTTTATTAATGCAATCGGTGACATTTTTTGCGATATAAATCACTTGTATACTAGCGTCATTTATATCTCCGCGTCCGGTCACGTCCTGCCCGCTTGTACGCTCGGTATGTCGGACCACGCGTCCTGAGACAATGAACGCGTCTTCGCGCGTGTAATTCGCAGCGAATCGGCGTTGCGCCGCGAATTTTTCTCGGAACGAAGCGGGCGCGCGTTTCCTCAACGAATTTAAACGACCGGGTGACGTCGATTGGCGGGAATGTGTCGTGCGCGACGTTGGTTTCCTACGATCCATCCGGACTCCGTACGAGCCCGCGGTTCGCAGTTGCATACGCGGTCGTGTAACTGCATTCGCAGCTGTGCCTTTCGGTGCCCGAAGGCAAGCGACATCGTCCGGGCGTCATTTCGCTCGTAAAACCCGCGCGATTCTCCCACGCCCCGAGATAACGAGCCCACCAGCGGATGTACAGTTTATTATTACGCGCATTAAGATCCCGAAAAGCTGCAAGAAGCTCCATGCAAAATTGCTCGCGCGACCTATGACACGCTTGCGAAGTTTTGCTCAACAGAAGAACTATTCTTATAAGCGAGAGCTATAAATCAAGGCAAAATTTTCTGAACAAATTAAGTGGGTAATTAAGCGGATATTCCGTAGAATATTAAACACTTAATCTTGATAATAAAAGTCTGTCAACTATTATTAATTCTTGTGTTATTTTTTTTTTCCCAGAGATATGAAAGCGAATAAACTCACGGTCTAAGAATAAACGTGCCTCGTATAGAAGACTCCATCACCGATCCAGCAGATATTCATTAATCACACCGCAATTAATCCTGGTCGTCGCGAGCTTCGTCTTTCGCAACTATTGGCCATTATCACCGATTACGCATACCCAACGTCTCGTTGCTCGCAAATAGAATGACGCAAATAAAGTACGAACCGTGTGGCCGGAGAAATTGTATTATACATAATTAATACAGTCATCAAGCTCGTGCGCGCCGCAGCGCTCGAGCGAGCATTTCACGGCGAGAGAAGAGAACGAGACAGAAAGAGAAAGAGGAAATGGACGAGGGGGGTGGCGGAGAGCGAGAACGGGCGGGGGCGATAAAGAGGAGGGAGGGATCGGAGATACGTGTCTCTCGACATGTTTTTATCCGTGAAGCTGTCACGGAGTTTTATGTGTTTATTTATCTCTCCTTCTCCCGCGGCACACACCACGAGTGTCTTATATACCGACGATGGAGTACATACACGTGGTCCACGGTGAAGAGTCTTCCGGAGGCTCCTGCCGATTGGAAGTCACTCTCTCCTTTAACCCCTTCGCTGCTCGCTCTCTCCCTCTTTCTCTCAAGATCTCTCTGCTCTCGCTTCTTTTTTCTCCCCCCTCCGACAAAAAAAGTTTGCGACAACCGGTCCTCCGGAGAATGCCATCGGGTGTCGCCGTAAAGTCCACAAAAAGTTCCTGGGTATCTTCCTAATTACGATCTCTGTTCCTTATATTGTACGAGAGTAATACGGAATCTGACTTTTAGAATTACGTAGGTATGGATAAAATATATATGTCTTACTATCTTTAAAGAAATTAATTTCTTAATATATTGTCAGATTTTGTATGCGGAAAATTGAAAAACTATTATATTAATTAATAATTATAATATTATAATTAATTTATATTGCATTGTCAGATTCTATATATTACAGAATTGAAAATGATGAGAAACTACATTCAAATCTGATATTTCTGTATAATAATTATAATATTTCAATAACTGCGTGTGATCTTTGTTATATACATTAATTTTCTAATTACTAATTAAATTTTTATTATTCTAATATTTAAATTATTCTTTATTATAATTTAAAATTTTTTTTGTCTTATAGATAGAAATTGCGATTTCACAGCAACACTATTGTAAGGAGAGATAAATCGAAGGAAGTTCTCTCCACGCCTGCAGAAAATGTTTACGCACTCTCCTATACTTCACTCCACGGCCTCTTCCACGTATTCACTTCATCATGCGTTCCAGACGAGTCTCGCTCTTCCCATCCTCTCCCGTCTTTATCTCCGTATTTATATCATCGTAACAGGTAATCTCTATTACGATTATTAAGCGTTAACATTACGCTCATCACGCCGTTTATTATATTGCATTATGCGCGCGAAGTGAGATCTTGCAATGCTCCGTCAACGGCCGCGTTTTATTATCGAAATCGTTGAAAGGAGGTCTGCTCGTAAAAAGGACCGAGAGAAAGGCCCCCCCGCGAGAGATTTAATTGTCGATCAAGCAAATTACACAGTCCTGACGTGAATCTCACCGGAGAATGCGATGTTAATACGTGTCCTAAAATTTCTGAATACTTCGAGTGCGTGCTACCGATTTAATTGCCGATCATTGGGCGTGATATAAGTGCGGTCGATGTGATAATTATCGTTTCGGTACGAGTGACGACGCACGAGACGCTCGAAACTTGCGAAACTTGTACTGTAACGCACACGGCAATAATAAAATTAAAAATTGAAACCAGTATAAAGTTACGGTGAGTTAGAGCTCGATATTGCGAGAAAATAATCTCTGTGTTTATTCGCGATAATGAAAACCATATAATAATAGTAATAGCAATTTTATTTTCATTGCGTTTAATTGATATTCGCGATACCGATACCGGTTATGTTTCAGTTTCAGGAAATTAATACGTATCCCCCTAGCTAATGCTAGGATTTCGCGCAGCTTTCGAAAGTATAATGGCTCATTGAGCGCCGTTAGATGCAGGTCTCCGTTACGCCCAGGCATTAGAAGTACTTGGAAAACCGATAAATGGACGCATAATAATGCATTGATGGACTACGAAGGCGGATCGGGGGCGGCGATGAGCGGATGTTAATGGCTAATTAGCAGTATCGATCCCGATCGACGATCTGAGAGAGCGCGATTGTGCGTCCGCTTACGCGCACATTATGCATACTTACGCCTTGCGTAAGTGGTCGTTCTAATTTCCAGTTCGAGAGAGAAGGAAAGACACGCGCGAAATTACACGCTCGGCGTGTGGAGCACGCGGGCGGTTTTTTTTTACGCGTCTAGAGCGGGCGTCAAATTTACGCCCTCGGGAATTATTATAATCCACATTCTCGCTGGAGCATTAAAAAGGTATGTATGTACAGCAGCGACAAGCTGCCAATTATCTCGCCACCGTTTACACGGACTGATTTGCGCAAAACGACCACCGGCTTGCTTGTTTTGCGCTCCGTTTTTGCTTGCGATCTGTTTCAAATGGGGATCATTACGATCGCGAATGGACCGTTTAACGGCTCCTCTCGTAATCATTCGTCGCGATTAACGCGCGACCGGTGAAAAGTCGCGCGTGACACCTGTTTTTCTGCCATTTATGCAATCGGGCGCGAAAATTGCGCGTTGACAACCGATAAATATATCAGGGAGAAGAAAGAAACACACGTGGGATTTTATGGACAACGCAAACAGATTTGCCATTTTACGGCTAATCTATGGCGTTTAATTTTTTCCCTTCGCGATACAACGTTGAAGAGTGTCGTGCTGTATATCATTAAGATGAAATAATTGCGTAATGCTACGCGGACTTCATAATCATTCGCGCCACGTGGTTATAAATCACGCGGCGAATTTTGTAATGCACGCGCGCCTGTGAATTACATACAATTTCCAGTCGTGTAAATAAATTGCTCTCGCGTTCTCCCGGCCATCAGAGCCGACACGTAATGTGTTAATCATTTGCGACACATGGATGCAATTCGCGTTCTATGTAAATCGCGCCGGTGATATTTATTACGGCGCGGCTCACACGTGATATCACTCGCGCGAATCAAGAAGAACTATGAATGATGAATGAGGATTTATCATCGTTGATTTATGGAAATTACACAATAATGCTGTTTTCATAACTACAGCACAATGTAACCTGTTGAGGTGAAGCTTGATATTGAAAATAAAAAGAAAACTCAGGGATGAACATTATAGATAATTAATTGTCCTTCGTTGTACATTTGCATCTACAAAGCTTGAGATATCTTGTATAGCTAATATTTTATTCTATAAAGCTTAACACATATAAATTTCTTTTGGACGCTGATCTATGTGAATCCTCGACTCTCTTGAGAATCGCAATATTCTCCGCACTGTCCCGATAAACGCAATCGGAAGAGCGAGAAACCGCGACATGTTATCACCTTCGTCTTTCGTGTGCGGATATACTTATGCGAGAATACGCGCTGCCAATGCCTCCGCTTTGTGTGTTTCTCTCTTTTCTCTTGTTGTACGTGCGCGAGTATGCCTCCGGAGAGGAGCCAGACCGAAGACAGAGAGCCTGGGGACCGTTAGCGACACCTCGTTCACACGCACGCACGTGCACCATGTAAATTTCAGGGAAGATTAAAGGGACCAGAGAGAGATAGAAGCGAAGAGAAAGAGGGTGCATCGTCGCGGGGAACCGCATCTCGATGAAACAAACTCCCGATAGAATGCGAGACGCAATTGCGCCCAATTTACGATTATCGCGGACAGAATGCGACGCGCGTAATATCGTTAGTATTCGCGTTATCTCGGTTACCGCGCATATTTATCGCCGGCAATTGCCGCATTATCCAGCTTCGCAACAAGTGGACTCACTTTTTTAGTCTACATATTCCCGGGAGATCACTTTCGACCTTGACACTTTTAATTCCGATATCAGAACAATTCTATAAAATCTCGTTATTTTTATGGACAAATAAATCCTCGCGCTTCTCCGCATTCGAATCATTTGCATTCAAGGTGAATGGGAATGTATGTGTAAATCATACTCACGACGTAAATCAAGGAATCCAGCAATTCTATAAAAAAATTAATTTGTTTTAAAGGTTGACTAGAAGAATGTAACGGACGACCACGCATCGCGGAAGAAGGCGGAGCTTTTTGCGGCGCGACAATCCGTGAGAACTCGAGCGCGCATATATTACAGTAGCAGGACACTAGACTTCGAATTGCGATAAAAAAGTTTCTCTCCGAGTCTCACTCTATCGTTCTCTCGAGGAGGGACATTAAAAATCGTCATGCGAACGACGGGATGCAGGCATGAAAAAATCAGCGCGACGAGGAGACGAGAAGAACACGGAGGAGAGAGGGAGGATCTTGCGCACATATGGCGGGAAGTTGTCGTTGATATCTTCTGGCCGTTACGAAGACGAACACACTGTCTCCGTCTCTCTTACGAGGAAGGGTTCAATGAATCTGTCCCAGGCTCGTATTTTTGCGCGCCGCGCGAAAGCGCCATTCGGGCGTGCGACATCGCGCCGGCCGATCTTAAAAATAATCACGGTTCATCTGGCGTCGTGATAAGTAATGTACCGCCATGCTGAAATAACGGCTCCCATAATCCCCTTTTACCAGTCGTAAAAAGTTACGGCTAATATTTCTGGCGGGACAACTGTTTCCTATCGATTTCAAGCACGATTCATAATAGTTTAATGACTGTGAATTTTATGTAGCGACGATAGCAAAAGTTGAGTATTCTTATATTTAAAAATTGTTAGCTATTAATCGTGAATTATTACAATTTCTTTCTACAGGTTCTTCAAATAAAACAATAAGTTTTAGATGTGATCTATCAGAAATGCGAGAGATAATAACAAGCACATATTCTTAGAAAAGCAAATGAATTAAAATTATCAACTTATAGTTCTATAAAGTAAAGAATGAAAGTTATACTCTTTACTTATAAATTAATTTATTTCTTCAATTTTGTAATCATTGATTTCTATCAATTTTAATTCACTTATAAATTACATTATTTCTTCAATTTTGTAGACATTGATTTTTCTTAATTTTAATTCGTCCAAATTCGTTATCTTTTCAATTTTTATTCTAACTTGTGTTTTTTTTCAGGTTTCGTAAAGAAAAGAGAAAAATTACCTTGTGCGGCATCGAGAAAGGGATTCGTCGCAGCGACCGGCGCGAGAATCGTCGCGACTGCAACTATCAGCAGCGTCGTTAAGCAGCACATGTTATCAATGTGAAGCAACCCTCTCCTCAAGTCTTCCAGTGCGAATTTATTTCATCTCATCACCGCTCGCACGCGCGTTTCAACGCGGAAAAGGGAGGGAAAGGAAGAAGAGAAGGAAGGAAAAAGAAGAAAATGTCAACAGGCTCGGAGACGCGCGGAAGACTCACATGTCGGGACGAGACGCGCGTAGCACTCGCACGGAACCAAGGTGTGCACTCGAGCGCAGCTCGCGAGCGACTGAGCTTTTCGTGGCACTTACGAGCCACGAGTTGAGCTTTTTACTGACTGAGTGGGTGAGAGGAAGAAACGAGGAGGAGAGACCCGGGGCCACAACGGGGGGGCGACCAGGAACGGCGAAGGCGGGCGCGAGAGCGAGAGAGAAAGAGTGACGGCGAGGAATTGCGTGCGTGTGTGGGTGGGAAGAGACGCGTGGCGCAGGCGGTTGTCACGCGGTGCAACCGCTATTGTGACATCTTCGACCGTACCCCGTATTTTTTTCCCGTCGTCCCCTAACCGCGCGTCGCGCCAAGTTCTTTGTTACGCGCACAAGTAGCGAGATCCGGCGTCTTTAACTCTTCAAAAGTGTTTCTCGTGTACGAATTTGTCGGAGTGGATTCGCTGCGAAGCATCCACCCGTTTTCTACTAATTTCAATAACGCTCGAGTGACTCGGAATAATTGGAGAATCTTAACGAATAATTTAAGAACTCGTTTTTCCACGCAAATCCGTGTTTTGTTTTCTTTCATCAGAATAATGTTAGTCAAAAAACTTCTATTCATCCTTAAAAACGCGCTGCATTTCTATCGCTCTGTTTATCTGACAGAATTTATCTTGACAGAATGCTCTTCATAGAACCCGAATAGTAGGGAAGATACGAACAGATGTGTCAGAAGATGCGAGAGAGACGCGTAATGGACCACTTGATCGTGCATTCATTCTCCTGCTGTGCAGTATCTTTCACGAGTACTTATTCGTCTCGGGCCGAACAGGTCAGACGAAAATCGGTCCGCTCCCATAAATCTAATGTCGCTGCGGCCCATTGCCTCCGTGGCTTCGAGTGGCACTGTATTTCCGAGAAGGAAGAAAGCCGATAACCCAAGAACGTAACTTCTGCCGATAACGATACGAGACGCCAAGCTCCGTCTTATACTTCTGATGCTTTTCTCGAGCCGGCGACGTAACGCCTCGCGCACATAATCCTCATGTTTAGACACGCCGGTCGCGTGTTATTTGTGCGCACACGCTCATTCTAAATATTATTGCAAGATAAGATTATATTAAAGTACAGTGCATTACTCACAACGTATCTACAATCAATATAAAATTGTTGATTAATGGAGAACTGGCGCGTTAAATCGCTTTCGAATCGAACGGCTCAATTAAATGTCGGTGCGAGAGTTTGTCGAAGTGCATAGTTCGCATTTTCTCCACGCTGCCAGATTTATCACACAGTCAGAGATTGGACCGCGGCGGACCATTCATTTTTTATCGTTGTCTCGCCGGGCAACGGGTGTCCGAAAACACGTCCACCGTCGTCTCTAGATATTTGATTGACTGATCGGAGCGGATTCTCGGAGCGCCTGTAATTTATTAATTTATTCCGTCGATAAATCGCCTTCAATCCGCACGTGGGCAGCGAACAACCGATCCCCGGTACCTCGCTTTCTCTCTCTTTCTCTCTCCTTTAATCTCGCCTCTCTCTCTCTCTCTCTCTCTCTCTCTCTTTCTCCCTGTCTCCGTTGCTCCCGCTCTATCCCTTTAAAAGGGGAGGGAGGAAGGCCGTTATTCTACTGCTGATGTAAATAACAGCAGCGCGGTGTGTCATTTGCGTGCGTTGCACAATTGACGGGCGTTATGCAAAAATGAGTCAACTCACCAGGTACTATAATTTCGTGTAAATTAAGTTTAAAACGCACAATTTAATTCTGCCGGGTACAAAGTACAAGCGCAAGCCGTTTTTTACCTCCTTTATTTTGCCGGGTTTAACACATTTTTGCATAATACCGTTCAATTATTTTTGTAGCGAGAAATCCACGCGAGAATTATCATACCGAAACGTCTCCGGCGTATCGATCGATGCTCGAACGTGTTTCTCGCTATCCGTCATCTTCCCGGCATACCGAGACGGTAATGTAAGTGCGGTCTGAAGTCCACTCCCGGCTAATCGCCGCGTTAAAGCGAATGCACGAGCAGTTCCGTAATCAAAGCACTCTCAGGACGCGTTCGCTATGTTAATCGCGCACGATCGTATAAATATTTAAACGTTGCTGGACCGCTCGCTCGGGGACGGACCTCCGTGCTACTGATCGGCCGTCTTATCAGAGTACATCCACGACTACCTGTCGCGCATAGATAATTAACAATGAATAACGACGTACAAATCAGTCTCGCTCGCGGCGATCGGTGCGAGTAAGAATGTCACCCTCCGGCGATCCCACGGCGAGCCCGCTCGAAATTAAATGATTAAATTAGCCATTAAACCGCGAAACTTAACCGTTATGCCGAAGATCATTACCGGCAATTATTTCTCCTTATGGAAATTGCAGGTTCAACGCGGCTCTCCGATCAATCAAATCGGATTTATACTGTTTTCGGATATTCTGTGCGGTCGCCCGGACTCATCAAGGTTTTATTCAAACCCGCATATTGTCGCTTGATGGAGACATTCGGGAGAGGATATATTTCAATTATTCCGCGAGATCGGAGAGCGCGTTGCCAAAAATCTGTCCGCGAATGCCAATTCCGGGGAAACCAGTTTCGCCGACCGCGATCGAAGTCGCCGCGAAGTGCATACCGGTTTGACCTCATCGCGCGAAGTACCATAAAAATCTTTATTTCCGTACGAGAGAGGATGCACCGGGCAGCTAATTTGCAAAGCGAAACCGTGATGTCAGCCGTCGCTTATGAGTACCGCGGACGTTAACGAGACGTTTGCACGTGCAACCGTCGTTTTGCAACTTGTTGTCCGCCCACGCTCAACTTCTAGCTTCACGTTCATTTCATGCGAAGTAATGAAGTCTTATTTAACTGGTTGTGCATTAAGCAGATAACGAAACAAATAATTTGCGCGTAGTTTAACGTCACGGAATTGTTGTCTCGATACTTAATGTTGCAGCAGAATTTTGCAGTCGGTTGTACCTTCGCCTCGTTACGGTCCACATCGCTTTAGCCCGTCTATTTATTCTCTCTAGACAAACACTCTCGATGAGGTTCTTTGTATCGGAACGATCTAATACCAGGAACACGGGCAACACAAAGTTCGTCGGACTCGATTTAACTCGCTCAAGTACTCGGAATGGTTATTAATTATCTCTGTGCAGACGTCGGTAAATTGGACGGCATCGTATGCATCCAGCGGGCGAGACGAGCGAAATGTGTGTTTTGATTCATCGCGAAACTGCGAATTAACGCGATGAAAAATTATTATCGATATCGTCGCGAGATTTCGTCCACAAACGCCACAACAAATTTATTTCATAAAGAAATTGCGAAATAAAATATTTTATTGGCGCAAAAAAAGATTTTTGAAGATAAGAAAAACGTAAATTTTTCACAAATATTATATGATATGATTTAAAATTATTGTGACTCAGGATTAGGATATTCAAGTCGGCGGAAAATTGCGCTGAAGTTCCCCCTTATTCTGACTCATTTATCTTTTACAGGAAAGGGAGAAGACGGCTAACAAGGGAGGATAAGTGCAAACAGTTCGCTGAACGCCGATATCCTGCGCCAATCGTCGACTGCATGTCAATGAGGCGTTCGAGTCGAACTGAGAAATCAAACGGCACCACGAGCGAGCGTCGGCGCCGCGCACCGTGAGAAATCGGATTCCTCGTGCGAATTTGTCGCACGTCGCGATCGCGGGCGGAATCCCGAACGGTCCGCATCTGCATTTGCGATGCATCGCGATACACCAATCGTTCGTTTGCGCGCCGCGGCGACGCCGCGACGCGCCTTGCGAACCCGGAAAATAATGACACGGGCGACACGCCAACCATGCGAATCCGTCCAACGGCACTAACGCGCGAGACTCGCGTTGCATTCTGCAATTTGGATAATACACGCCGCCGCTGCCGCGGCCCGTCTTCTTACGCGCCGACTTGTCATTATGGAAAGCTGGAGCGTGAAAAGACAATGCTAGGACGATTAGAGGAATTGGAATGCGCGATAATGAGCGCGCCGTTCTCGGTACTGGAGATCACAGTGCACCGCGCAACTATTATACGTTATCCCGTTATGATTATCCCTCCGTGAGGACAGTTGGAAAAATTTGAGTGCGTTTCACACATTTCGTATCTTCTATTGCAGAATAGAATGCGGTGAGTAATTAAAATGCAGAACCAAGTCTGAAGTCAGTCCAAGTCCAGTTTGTTTCAGGATTTTTTTATAATATTGCTATAATCGATTATAGAATTTTTATAAATTTCCATCAGTTAAGCTGCATTTTTTTCTATTTTTTTCAATTATGTGACAATATAAAGTAATATGACAATATTTTATTATAAAGATATCGTTATCATAATTAGAATAATACGATCAATACCTTGCTTTGCAGATACCGCGTGTAGGGATTCTCACAAGCCACCCTCGCTCCGCGGACGTTCATGTCATTACCGACGGTGCATTTTAAAAGGATGCCGAGCGGCGCTAGAAGCGTCGTCGGGGGTGGCGTCGGGACGGCTCGTCCGACCAGCGGGGGTAATAGCGACGGGTGGTGGGCATCCCCTTGCGCGACGGGAAGCGAATCGTGAAATCGTCCGAACAGACGGACGGACGGAGTGACTGCGACACGGTCATATGGAGCCGAACGACGGGGCGGCGTGTTAGGCGATCGGCGGTCCCGCTTCCGCGGGACGAGCACGAGGGCCTACCACGAGGAGAGCGCGAATGATCGATCCGACAGTTCGGTGAGTGTGCGAGTGAGTGAAGTATCGGAAAAGTGCCACGCGCGAAGGAGGAAGAAAGGAAGGAAGAGAGCGGACGATCGGCTTCCGAGTGCGCTTGCACTCGTCGGCGCGAGAGACCCAGAAATGGGTCAACCCAACCCAGCGACGACCGTTTTCTCGCGCGAGTCACTCGGTGGCCTAGTTTCGCCGGGGACGAACAAATAAAAAGAGTCGCGACGTCCCCTCCCGCCGCCGCGAGACGGCGGCGACGTTACGCGCGCGTCTCGTCGTTGCCGTCGTCGTCATCGTCATCGTTGTCATCATTATTGTCGTCGTCGTCGTCGTCGCCGCCGTCGTGGACGACGCTGCTGCTGATCGCGAAACAGTCTTCTTTCTGCCGCGGGAAAGAGTTATGGATTCCCTCGAACTTCCTGCTGGCCTTCGGCTAGCGAGAGTCCATCGATTGACTCGCCGCTCCGACGTCGCGATACGGCATTAGACGCGGCTGATAGCCGTGCCGCTGCGGGAGTGAAATCGCCGAGGAGGTGAGAGAAGCCGCGTTAAGTGCAGCGGTTCAAGTGACAGTGCTTCGGAAAGAAACCCGTTCCGACTCATTTACTCTAATCGTCAAGATTTAATACACTGCAATAAACGCGTTTTTTCTTCTTTTTTTTTTTGAGTTAATTATGGTGACACCTTGAAATTAAATGTGATCGTCTCGAGTCGTTCTCAATGCGTTTCCCACTCGATTAATTGCGCCGGGAATCAGGAATCTGTGGGAAAGATATTCTCGGTGCAGGTGTACTTGCGACATAGTTACTATGTTGCTAACGTGCCATCGCAACCTCGTTTCACGGTCGCGGAAAGGGATGTCCGGTTCGATTGCACCGAGAGAAAAGAAAAACGGGAAAATCGAGTCGACGTGTCGCCACGATGAAATATATCTACTCGTTCGCACATTGCGTAGACTATTTCAGAAGATTAAAAAGAATGCATTAAAATGAGTGCTTCCGAAGATAGATCATGTCGATGATACATGACGGTATATCAGTTCTAAACTCAACCGTTTCTTTCGATTAAATTAAATTCTAAATTCTACACTGTGCAAGGAAAGGAAGATGTAATCGATAAAATTTTTTTAATTAATTAAATTAGTTAACTAACGTTAGTTCTTCGCGGAATTGGTTTTCAACACGAACGAATTAGCCGGAAATTGTTGGCTTACTATGAAATGTCATTCTGAGGCCGTATCGATTGTCAGAAGAAATTAATCGAGATCGCGCACATAACGTCGAATTATTCGCCGCAAAAATATTCGCGCGTGCTACCTCAACGTGCCACCGTAAGTGGATCTAAAAAGTAAACCCGCGACCTCACTCTCGCTTTGTATCGTCGTTCGATCGTGCTGGAAGCGTTTCTCAACCCGGAAGCGGTTTCCCATTTAACTTCTCCTTCGCGAGCGCTCTTCCGGAGACGTGGAGCAAAGTGCGATAAGCAGATAAGATCAAAGAGGCAGAAGGAAAGTTGTAACAAGATAAACAACAAAGTTTCATTAGTTTTGTTATTTAAATATGCACGTAAAGTATCTTTGAAGCAGTAATATTAATATTAAAATATTCATATTTCTTAGATATAATTATCAATCAATAATTATCAATTATCGTTTTTATTATTCAGAGTGTACATCTGTCGCGATACACGCTGCATATTAAGTGCCATTACTTATCCCCATCGACATAACTGATCTTGATATAACTTAATATCTGTGTGTGAGATAATCAAGAGTATCCGCTGTGCAAATGTTATTTACTTAAGGATTACGTTACTCGACTCGTCGACATCCCGCCATTATTTACCCCGGAAACTTGGAATTAATCCCGCCTACCTACGTCGTGTCGGAGAGCGCGCGCGATTAGCCGGTGATAAATTTATGACGGCGATCCTGATATCTCGCGGTATCTTTAATCTCTGACTATATTAAATTTCTTGTTGAAAGGATCGGAAAGGCCGCTACCACGGACACGCTGAAAATGGCGTCGAGCAAACCACCGGAGATGAACTACACGTGCGAGATTTGCGGCCTGGAGGGCTTCAACGACGAGGAGATGCGCTCGCACATGGTGCAATATCATCTCCAGGGTGCCGCCAACTGTCCGTTCTGCGATCTGGGCGAGATCTCGCCCACGGAGATGCTGGTTCACGTTAATAGCGCTCACTTGGACTACCTGACACCGAGGTATACTCAACAGTGCAAAAACATAGATCTACATTATTTTTTTATTATATAATTGAAAAGTTTATTATATGCTCAATAGCACAAGCGTAGATTGATCATTATACTTTTGTTAAATTCTTTATACTGAATTTTATTATAGAATGATATTAGAAAAAAGCTTTTTTTCCAAATTCATATTAATTTTATATTATTTTCTTTTTATCATATTAGCGCAAAGTGAGATAAATTAAGATAATGAATAATGCTCAGAATTTTCTTCAACGACAATTCAACTTTCCAGTTTTAGGCACAATTTTTATTTTTGTATAACATGGTTGCTACAAGATTGAGAGATCGCCGAATTTAGCTCCTGGTGTTATTTCATTTTTTCTCTTAATAATAGATAAATGTGATAATAAAATAGAATTGATATATATGAATTAATAATTAATAAGAACGCGCTAAATGCGACAATAGACTGATAAATGAGATGGATATGATGATAATAAATGAATGATTAGAATAATAGATGGAAAAACTAATTAAATAAGGTAGATAAATTAAAAAACTTTATAATAGAAATTCAATTCAATAACGTAGCAAACATAGTTAAATACAGTCCTATTAAGCATAAATCTCTACTAGAAATCTCTATGCGTAGCCCGAGAGCAGATTTATCCATATATTTTGCTTCCAACATTAATGGCAGGCTTGATTAATCAAATTGGCACTTGTAATAATGACTTTTAATTACATGCAATTTGAAACGTAGATACGCAAAAAGTGGGTCCCAAGGGAAACGGTAGATGTCACCACTAAACGTAATCAGCAGTCCCACAGCTATTAGCAAAGGAGTAAATTTATCTATACAGTTGCGATTATTATTTATTGATGCGACCACCATATAACTATAGATGCGGGCACGAACAGTCTTAATTTTCCAGCAATTACCGATACGCTAATGAATTACCGTTAATATTACCGACACGCTAGTACCTTACCGGTTGATAGTTTACATTTTTTCCCTCCAATATGTCACATGCTGGATAGTCGTACACAGTTTAAAGACACATGTCACAACAGTTTAAGTTAAAAAATAGCAAGTGTTATCAATGCCCTCGTATTTAAAAAAAAGAGCTACAGAATTTATTTCCATGAGATTCTCAAAGAAACTTTTTAAATGCAAGGAATATTGCAAGAGTCAGAAAAGAGCTGGATTGATTATGTGTCACACAGCGAAACGTCGGCGAATGCAGAAATGGCAAGAGAAAGTGTTGAAGAAAAAGTAATACGCTTTGCGACCACGATATTATCAATGCATGCACGTAGTTTCCGTCGTTTTATATCCCCGCGCGCGATTCTGCATAAATATTGTCTGAAATGTTCCAGTGGACAAAGATCTTGCTAACGGTAATCGCTTGTATACTTGCAGCACTCCGGAGAACGATATGATGGCGTTCATCGATGATGACTCGCTGATGGATGAACATAACAGACACGATGAGTGCAGGGCGCCTTCGCCGTCTATGTCTTTGCGGCTGCCTCATCTGCAGAACGGCTGGGGCAGTTCTTCCGCACAACGTGTCAAGCAGCAACAGCAGCAGCAGCAGCAACAACAACAACAACAACATCATCAGCAGCAGCTGTCGCCAAGAAAGCCGGTTGTCCAAGCGAATCCCAACATGAATAATAATAACAACAATAACAACAGTAACAATGCCAATGCCGGTAACGGATGCACACAGTGTTCAGACTGTATTCGTTGTGAGAATGTGAGGAATGAGCATGTGGCTTCTTGTTCAGTGTTGGAAGGTGCAGCGGGCCAAGGTTCACCGCTGCGTTCAGGCCTAAATCTACAACTGCGCTCGCACGCTTCCCCGAAACTTCCAGTGCAGGAGTGCCCCATGTGCCCCTACAGTTCCGACAGTCCGCTGAGGCTGGAAGAGCATATCAATCGCCAACACTTTGATCTCACCTCGCCGTCCTTCCCGCCGGACTCTCCGCCGTCCCGGGATGGAATTTTCAACTGCCCACTTTGCGTTACATCTTTTCCGAATTCTTCTGACCTTGAGTTACATGTTAATATTGAGCACAAGGATATACTTAGGTACGACACTCCTCTGTGCGATGGAGATTCGTGAAGTATTATAAAACAGAAAGCAATCTTAATGCAATTAAGAGATAAGTATTTAATCGATTTATCTTTGACAGTCCTGCGAATGGAACAACCTCACAATCCGATATAGCTACTATCGGTAGCTCGACACCTGCCTGTCCAGTATGTCTTAGTACATTATTTAAAAATAATGACGACCTAATGGCACACATCGAAGAACACTTCAATAAAAAGAGCACACCGTCGCCCGTGACACCAGACGTATCAACCGACAGAATGCTGGCTAAAGACATGGAGAGAAGAGAGAAGGAGGTGAGGAAGTTGCGCGAGCAGCGTGAGTTCGAGATGCTGAGAGCGCAGTACGGTATGGACAATCAGGGTAACTTCAGAGAGCAAAGTGTCACCAATATGCAGAGGGCTGTGTACGCGGGCGAGATGACGGTGGCCGATTTCTTCGAGAGACAAATCGAGCTCAGAGTCGCCGAGAGCAGCGGGATCGACGACGGCAGTTCTTGTACACGCGGTAAGTAATCTATCTTCTATGTAGAAAGCTCTAAATCCGACAATCCAGCGCTGCAGCTTATCTATGAATGACAATACTTATTCCTTCGTAGGTTTGGTTCCGAAAGTACGAGCCATCAGTCAGGCTTGCAGCAACGTGGTGAACACCTGGATGTGTTCCACCGTGGACCATTACGCGTCGACTTACGGCGACAAGGGCTGGGGCTGCGGTTACAGGAATATGCAGATGCTAATCTCGTCTCTCTTACAGCACACAGGGTACAACGATCTAGTTTACAAAGCGTGGGGCTCCGGCGGCAGCAACTCCACGGAGAACCCTTTGCGCAGCTCCATGCCGTCGATTTCTCGATTACAGAAAATGATCGAGTGGGCGTGGGCGCAGGGATTCGATATCCAAGGTGCGGAGCAGCTCGGCGGTAAACTCGTTAACACTAGGAAATGGATCGGCGCGACGGAGGTATTCACGCTGCTGTCTAGTTTGAGGATAAAGTAAGTTCCATGATCTCGGCCGATCGCCAAGTCATACGACGCACACTTTTCTCTCCCTGACTTCGTACAGGTGTCAGCTGGTGGACTTTTATAGACCTACCAGTGCGGACGGCGGCCATCCCGAACTGTTCAACTGGGTGCTGCAGTACTTTCAACGATGCGACGATTTTAAGCCACCACTTTATCTTCAGCATCAAGGTAAACATTTTTTGGTCATTTTTCAGACATCGAAATCAAGTTAACGTATTTGAATGCTTTCAGGGCACAGCAGAACGATAATGGGCGTGGAACAATTGAGAGACGGCTCGATAACCATGTTGGTGCTAGATCCAAGTCACAGCCCGGCGCAAATGACGCATTTCAGTAGCACGAGTAGCGCGCCGGGCGCTATGAGGCTTGTACGAAAGTCAACCGCCGCGATGAAGGCCAGACAGTATCAAGTTGTAGCTGTAACCGGAACTATGGATACGGAAACACAATATCAGGTAATATAGGCGCCTCGTTATTTATTGATAATACGCATCAACTCGTCTACTTTATTTCCCGCATCTTCTTCTTTTTATTTTCAGCAAAGTAAAGTACTACGATCAATGCGTGTTCCTCAAGACAGGTGAGAGTTGCTGGTTCGAGAAACGATCGAGTCTCGCGCGAAGACTATAGACTACTGCCTCAAACCAATCTTGTCCGGCATCCTTGAAATTACGTGACCGCGATGTCCTTTGTTCTTCTACTGCTAGCAGACTTATTCCATTGTATAGTAGTTGCAGATCGTATTATTTAACAATATATTCTTGCATCTCTATAGCCATTAATGATGGACTGACTCTTTGAATCGTGTCCGCGCGACGCCTGTGACGCAGTGGACAATTTCGCGGAGCTAATATTCAAATATCAAAAAAAAAAAAAAAAAGAAAAGAAGAAGGCTCCCTGATGCGTTCGCTGCTGTTCGAGCACGTAATCCTTTCCGAACGGAGAAAGTCCTTATCTTTAACAAAAACTTGCCGTATCCACGTGCGTGTGAATTTCTGCGAGGAAAATTGTCAGATCGAGACGGCAAAAAAGTCCAGGGAAAGATAGCGTTAAATCGATCGTCGTTTCTTGTCCAAAATGTTCTGCTCAATTTTCGTCGCACAGGCTGTGCTAACCCTTAGTCGACCAATCGTCTCGTACCGATCGGTTGCACCATCGAGAGAGCCGTGGCAGAGCTTGGAAAACGAGACTTTTTCGTAGCTGTGATGCTGTTATCAATACGACGCTAATCACTCACGTAGCGTCTAACGGACACACTCTTGGAAACGCTCCAGAATCGATGCGGTGTTCCCAGCACTTATCTGGTTCTACATTCTACAATTTGTGAGAAAATCCTCCATCAAAGGAGGAGAAAGACCTCCATCAAAGTGTTGTCGACTTTTAGTCAATATAAAAAGTGCCGAGAGCCATATGGTATATACCTTAACGACAAATTTTATATAACAATATGAAAGATATTCTTTGACGCATTTTGATTGCTAAAACGCTTCTATGAAAGAGTCTGGAGTGTCTGCAAAAGTGACGTAAGTCGCATTTTCATATATTATATATTATATACTATACACATACACATACACACATTACACATGTGCACTCTTCGTTATATCGTACTTCACTGGCCCACACATAAAGTACAACTACTTTCATATTAATTATAAAATATTCTATTTAATTATCCAATCGACTTTAGACTACTTATGTCTTAGCTCGTAAGTTCAATACAATGCTGTGAATGAGAAGATAGATGAAGAAAAAAAAAAGTCCATTTACTTGTTATTTATATTATACACTTGACGATTATGTGACTTAGTAAATTATTATTATCATTACTCTTATCATGGTTCATAAATTGTACTGATATATCTAAGATCTATTTATTATAGTTAAAAAAAATATATATATATTTGCGACCATTCAATGAAGGGCGCGACACCCGCGTCACGCGAGGATGTCGCGTCGTTGTTTTATAGCTTCGATATTTATGGTGCACCAGTCGAACGTAAGTTTGTCTTTCAGCCCAGTAGGACCACGTCGCAATAACATTGACTGACTGCAAAAAAATGTCAGAAAATGATAAATTATTATTATTATTATTATACTGGATTTTGCCATATATGTCGAATTAAGAATCTGTTCATTATTTGGAGTGTTCAGGAAAACCAAATTGTGGAATCGTTATGCAAGAGTAAAACCTTCGCATTAGCCACACATCAAATTAAAATATATGCTTTGTTAGAATTCCCAAAAAAAAAGAAACTAATTTTTATCCTTATCCTATTATGAGATAAAAATTGAAGATTGAAATAAAAATCAGTTTAAAAAGGATATACATTTAGTCAGACAAATTCTTTTGGAAGAATGCTTATTTTTTTATTTCTTATAAATCATTGGTACAATCTGCTTCATACTTCTTTGAAGCTTGATCACAATGTCAAAAAACTATTAAATTAATTTGTTACTATCCCTATAAGAAACTCATTTAGCTTCATAGATGCAACACTTATTTTTATTTTCTAAAAAATCTAAAAAGATAATTATTTACAAAGACATACATAGTAAATATGTCTGTGACCTGAGCATTTTCTTTATAAGAAAACTTTACGTTCTTTGCTGCAAAGATATCTCTGGTAATGAGATATTCATCAATCCTGTTTGTTTTAAATATTAAATCCCATTGATCTCATACAAGTTTTATGCGCTTCTATGAGATCGCCGCAATTTTCCTCGCCCTTTTCTATGATGCTGAAAAGATTAAATGCAACTTTGATAATAATATAAAACGTAAATCTTCTAAATTAAACAAAAACTAACGAAAACTTACTAGACTTTCAAAAATTATCAAAGTAATATATTTCAACATGTTTCAATTAAAAGTGATTGCAAATTCAAATCTTTAAATTCAAGAATTAAATTTTTGTTATTAGAACAAAATTTGGAAGTTTGGAACAGTTTGGAAGTCATGGAACAAATTACATTCCATGACAGTAAAAGTTAAAATACAATTTTTGTTGTACATTTCTACATTAAATTCAGCTAGTAATACATTTACAGTTTTAAAAGTTTAAAATATAAAAATCAATATTTCATTTATCTTTTAATAATTATATGATTCAAACATAAATAAAAGAATTCGATTTAAAATGTGCAATAAAATAAAACCCGCAATGTTTCTAACCTAAATGCTGAATATTTAATCATTAAATTGCATACCATGTATCCCTCGCTTTCTTCGTTTCAGGACAAGCACAGCAAGGTTTCAATTTCTTTTTCTCCTCCGGCTTCGTTTCAATCTTCGCTTCAGCGTTACCCATTTTAATTAATTATAACAAGAATCACAGAATGTGTAAACGCTGCGCTACAAATTACATATACGAGGTTAAGATATCATATGATGACCCTCGCGGCAGATTTTGCAAATTCTTAAAACAAAACCGTCGATATGACCAATTAACTACCTTACCAATCGATGAAGAAAGATAACTTTGCATTCGTGAATCAGATAGCGCCAGAAACATGAAAAAATAGACATTTTATCATATAGCGTTTTCGATTATACAGGATTTGAACGACCCAGGGTTGGTTAATGACGTCATTGCAACCTCTCCACCAATGAAAGACTTGCATTTATAGTAAAATAGTGATTGATCAACCCTGGGTCGTTCAAATCCTGTATAATCGAAAACGCTAATAGAGTTTAAGTTACGTTTTAATCTTTAATTATGAAAATATGGACTGCTAATTACCTCCACTTTTCCTATCTAATCCGTATATAAGAATATGTATCCAACATCTTTCAATATTTTTCGAGATTTTGGCCCCAACCTGACGAATTGCGGAAAATTCAAAGTATGTAAGAAGGATGCAAGGATTAGACCCGTAAAACTGCAGGTTTAAATTAAAGTCATTTATTTTCCCTTTTCTATACTTCCTCGATTTGCAGCCTTCCACAAAACAATATAACATTATTTTTATATATTTAAATTATTGTCAAAAATTCAAGCCACAAATCTTGGATATCAAGTCAAGTTGGCTTTAGCGGTCCATATTTTCATAGTCAAAGATTTTAAGGGTACCTTAAGGGTTGGAAACTTATCTGATTCTAATTGGTTGATCCACTCCATTACTTTTCCAAGATTCCATTTTCCGAAGTTTCGACTCACGGGACAGCACCCTATAATTATCTTTCTTTAAAAAAAGTGTTTCTAACAACTAATTACTATCAGCAATGCGTGTTTCTTGCACCACATCTCATACAAGGTATGCTACAATATGCATTATTTTTGAAATTGGAGGATATTCTAAACTTTATCTTAACTTTATCACATAACCAATAAAATGTATACGGGTCTTCAGCAAAATCGCACAAACTTTGTTGGTTACCTGCAATTTTATTAAATAATAAGAATTGACCGTTTAATTGAGCATTCAAGAGCTTGACACACAAATGGCATACTTATAAGCTTCTCTCGAATGTTTACTATGATTATACTTTTACTTGATCGTTTACAACACTATCATGAACGTTCTTGAATTCCTTGAAAGAAGGAAAGAAACATTTGTTTCTCAGAATATTTTAACATATTCGCTTTCGCGTACACAAAACGCGCACGAGACTTGAATATATTATAGAATATATATTATATTATATTATGTATTTTGATAGTTTTATTTTAACAGTTGTTTGACAAGTTTAAAGTGTTTAAACAGATTTATGAATTAAATCAATTAAATTGGTTTTAGGCTGTAGACATATATATCTACAGTTGATACAAAGAGAGGCTTTAGAACAATCAGAGCAACACCGTCTCTATCAATTCATCTAAAGGCTGGAAGTCATGAAGATGAACGTGAGAAGAGCAACTGTGGCCAGAGCAAGAGATAATAGACGCCGCTGCGGAAGCCAATGTACAGGTAAAAATGGCTATGTTTGTTCATGTGCGATGTGCGCTGAAAAGTTTGGCCAGTTTTTACTGTTAGAACCCCAGGGAGAACAACAGGTCTAAGAAACGTCTAATAGACGTCTATTAGACGTTTCTTAGACCTGTTGTTCTCCCTGGGACCACGTGCAAATTTATATAAAAAGTGTAAAAAATATGTTTGTTCAGTATGTAGTGTAGAGATTGAAACAACGAAGCAAATTTCTTGTCACCTCGTCGCAGGACGTTATAAATGCTGCGCATTATAAACCTCGTCCAGGAATATTTATGTTTAGGAGTATGATTGATTATTATATTATATAATAACTAATTATAATAATAAAAAAACATTAGATGACGATCATTTGTTACTTGAGTAATTATTTTAGAATAAAATATTTAAAATAAAACTCATAGTAAATAAAACTCACTGTAAATAAAACTTATAAATAAAACCAATCGTTGCTCTCTAGATTCAATAATATATTTAATACATTATTGAAATAATATTATTATTATAAATAATAATATATTATTAAACGCTATAGCGTTCGAATTATTAGACTCATATTTGCATGCAGCTTACAACAAAGTATTATAAAAAAAAACAAGCACACTTTCGACATTTTTTAATCAATACGAATAGTGATATGACACACTTGTAATAATTTCAATATAAACCCCAGGCACAATTAATTATTCTTTATTCTTCTTAAAAGTAGCATATCTCTCTCTCTCTCT